CTCACCAGCCTCTAAAATGCAAAAGAGAGAGAGAGAGAGAGAGAAAGAGAGAGAGGTTAGGAGATGGGAAGACAGAAGAGAAGAAATGAAAATACTCGCTGTATCGGTACTAGTAATTCTTAGTAATACTTGTGCGCCTTTAAACACGACTTTGCTACGGTCGTTATATCGCAATGAAGGTCGTCGTAGCCGGAGGAAAATTGGAAACGAGGATGTAATTTCCGTAGCACACGTCCCCTACAAACGAGAACGAGGATGGCCTTCGAACGGTCGTATTGTAAACCTCTGGCATTTTTCATGAAAATTACCGAGCAATTTCCGCTCTACCCTATTCTTTGTGTGAAAGGCTTCAAGAAGAAAGAGAAAGAGACAGAATGAGAAATAGATAGATAGATAGATAGAGAGAGAGAGAGAGAGAGAGAGAGAGAGAGAGAGAGAAAGGTCGTACGAAAAACGAGTCTATTAGCGGCGATTCGAGTTAAATTATGTTTGACTTGTGGCAGAGCGATCCTCGCCAATGTATAAAGCAACGTGTCCTTTTTCAAACTGTACAAATACTATCTGTCCACTGACGAAATGAATTGGTCAACGTAGCCTAAAGTCTAACTCACTCCTTTTAGAGAAGGATCGCAAGAGACCGCAGAATTGTGGCTTTCGAAGGACCACCTGATAAACCCTTGGCTTTCCAATGGAGGCTCGACGTGGATGCCAGAAAATTAACTCGTCTGTGTCCTTGAAACACTCGCTATCTCTTTCCTTCTTCCTCTCTCTCTCTCTCTCTCTCGCGCCCATTTCTCGAGAACCTCTCCAAGCCCATTCCTCGAGGAGTTTCCGCCTGGAAGCGTTGCGTAGTCTCCATTTCCTCTGTTGTTCTTTTTATTAGGTCAGTAGGCAAGGCAAAAGTTTCTCCCGGCGTTGTTTCAGAGGAAACGAATGTGTAGCGTATGCCCGGAGCGTATTGCAAGTAGGAAGCCTTGTTGATGCAAAGATCAGATGATATACATTTCTCTTTCCTCTTCTCTTGTCTTTCTAGTTTTCGATGGATGTGTATTTGTCGAAGAAAAATAGAATACGCGTCCGTTGGTTCTTTCCTTTTAATGATGCAATCGAGAAAGTTCCGTTAGGTGCCTGCTCGATTTGTAGTTTTCGCTCGAACAACTTTCGCCAAATAAAAGTTCTCTCGCGAACCGATAGAAACCGGAGAAATAGCGGTTGAGTTAAAAATATCCAAGTATCTTGAAAACGTTTCTCCTATTCGTTGTATCATTTTATCGGGATACTCGTCGCTCTTAAGCTCTTTGTCGATCGAAGAGGAACGAAGGATTCGTTCACTACGATCCACTACGGTCCACCGCGATCCTTTCATCGTGATCGAACGAGCTTGTGGTTGGATCTATTGTACCGGTCAGCATGGAAAGAATTTAACGACAGATTTACATTCCCTGTAGTCGAATAGGCTTTTATAAAAGGATGAAAGATTTTCGTAATTTCGTCGCATTCCACGTGATATTCCCATGTGATATTTTTCCTTGGCGCAATATCACTTTATTATCTTTTTTAATATTGTACGTGGCCGTAAGATTGATCGCATACTTTTGTTTAAATATTTTATTTAAGTTCCAGAGACTTTAATCGAAAAGTATAATGGTTGACTGCACTTGAAAACAGTCAGGCATATTCGCTTTGTAGACACGATTTTCCAGCAACAGTGAATATAGAATAATAACGAACAATAGTAGCGATAATACTAGATGTTGGTTATAAGACCGAGCTATATTCGCTTGAAATTCGAATCAAATGCGTGCAACGTGGAATTCGATGGCAGTCGGTATGAGCTCGGAATACAGTATTACATAAGCGCAAGCAATAGATACTGGCTTACTAATGACAGGAAACTTGGTCTTGTAGAACATTAAATTTTCCTATCTTCGTAAACGCACGTCCTTCGACGTACTTTCGTATCATAGCGAAATAAATTAATTTAATTATTTCTATAAAATTTTTAATTAATAAAATTAACCGTTTAAACGTTGGATTAGACATTTAAATTTTGATATTAAATATAGTAAGGAACTAGAAAAAATTTTATGTATCTCAAGTATTTCAGGATATGCCTGTCGTGTCTGAAAATCAGAACAACAATTGGATTAGCCAAGAGAAAAATGGTCCACTTTGCTTGGAAATTCATTTTGAAGTAAAGTACGTAGCGTATAATTTTATTAAAGTACCTTCGTACTTGGCCGCGTAAATTATATGAACGTTTTACAAATGGCTTTGCTTCTCGTCTGAATTTCTTTCTTCTTTCTTCTTAACGTTGTTTCATTCTCTTCTTTCCTCTTAACGTTGTCGTGACTGCGAATCGTTATCTTCCGGACTCCTTTTCGTGCCCGCAACTTTCCCGTGCGTCTCTTTCGCCAATGAATCGTACCAATCGACGGTACGAAGTTATATCTTTGCGTGCTCACGATCGTTTATCGAGGCGCCAAGCAGACGACCGCGCGAATATGCGCGATTATCGACACTCCCATGCACGCCTATAATTCCTGAGAATACAGCTTTACGAATAACGGCAAATATAATATTGTAATTAACTCCCTTAAATGTTACAAAATTTATCGAATATACGATCAACGTAACAACAGTGTTAAACAGGACTTACAACGCATTCAATGAAAAATGAAGTTAACTTATCCTTGGACGTGGAAACGTGCGTGTATCCAAACGAAGCTAAGAGAAAGAGATAGATAAAGAAGGGAAAGGAATAAAAGCTGCGAGAGTGAGAAAGAGAGATGGAGAAGGGGCGAGGGTGGGGAGGGGGGTGAAAGAGTCGAGTTTCCACGTACCACGTCGGACGCTCTTAAGGGATTTAAACAGGGTTTTAAGTATACAATGATGATTTCGTGCGCGGTTAAACCAACACGTAACTTTTTCATTCTACCTCTTCGTTGCTTGGTACTTACTCGTTTCAACTCGTACTAGGTACATTATTCATTTGAACTTACGGAAACGTACATGAAAAACATACGTTCCTGTACAAGGATTACAATTGTTAATTAATTAGACGTAATGAGTAAAAATTGGATTTATTAAAAAAGAAATTAAATGATAGACGATCGATGACACTAATGGTCATTTTCTCTAGATCGATTATATATGTGCACGCTGATATCTATGCACGCGCACGAAGAAGCGCCAGGTTCGTTTTTATATTTCGAGAAAAAGGTACGTGCAAGGGTGTGAAATAAATTCATACTCTCCTTCTACCCTTGGTTCACACCATAAAGGCGTAAATATGCTGATTACGTTTTAATCCAAATTTATGATATCGTAAAGGAAATTTTCGGAAAAGCTTTTTCCAATTTCCCCGGAGGCCTTTTTCCGTGAGCAGACGCGAAAGAAATCTCTTTTCGAGGACGCGAAGACATCCCTCAGGAGGAAATGAGGGGGGAGGGGGTGATGAAAGAGAAGTGGTGGAAAAATGCAAATAGAGAAAACGTTTCGAACGTTTAATGCTAACGGTGAATAATGAAACATCAAGCTCCTTGGCATTTTTCGTTTCTTTTTAACCTTCCTCCTTTTAGTCTTTTCGAGTTCTTAATCAGCGGCACGATTTGCTCGAAAGGGAAAAGGAAAAAAAAGTGAAGCAAACGCCGTGCTCGTTTTCACGTTTTCGTCTAGACCGGCCGTAAGAAAAATTCGTACGCCAGAAGCGTTAGTACCGACAACGGCATCGGCAGCACGGCAACGGCAGAGAATCCTTTCCTCGGGAGAGTTTATCTTCGGAGCTTTTAATTTCAAGCAGACCGAGCTCTTTACTGCCACGAGAGGCATAATTATCGCGAAACTTGGGACTGAATATTTCAGCTTTCTCTCTCTCTCTCTCTCTCTCTCTCTCTCTCTCTCTTTTATTCTTTCTCTTTTTTTTTTCTCCTACGGCAGGCTTCTTCCATGCTCGATTCCTTTCGAAGATACAAACGAGCTAAGAGAAGTAGAGGGAGCATGAGAGTGAGAAAAGGAGGTAGATGAATAGAGGCGATGACAGGGGGAGGGGAAGGAAAGAAAAAAGAAGTAATAGCGAGCGAAGGTGGCTTGTTCGTTCGAGAAACTCCAACCGAGGGATTAGGAAGGAAAGTAATGTCAGGCATTTTGCGGACAGATTTGCATAAGTTCTCCTCCATCTACCACGTTCTCACGCTTCTCCGTACTTCTAATCTTTCTCTTTCCATTGCTCGAAGAATACAAACGAGTCTTAACTTTTATTCTATTGCTTTTATTTTGCCTAGAAGATCCTTTTCGAAAGATTAGACTCTAAGCGAGTCAATCAGGATGAAATTCGATCGATTTTATTATCGACAAGGGGGGAGGGCTCTATCAAATCTAACGCGTCGAATCGTGTTAATGGTAGATTGAACGATACGCTTGCTACCCCTGCTAATCGCCGGGCCGTTAGAAGTGTGAGAAAAGCGATTTTCCATTAACATGCACAATCGCTCTTTAGCGCGTTACTAATTATTATCATAATTTATTCATTCGTGGGTTACCACTGTTTTCGTTTGAGACACGAACACATACATATACGCATGAGGACAGATCCAATAGGGAAGATACTATCTTGTATTTTACATAACCCTGCGGGTCTTCTATGCTTCGATTTTCTATCTAACATAAGCTATTCTCCGCTTTCTCTCTCTCTCTCTCTCTCTCTCTCTCTCTCTCTACATCTACCTCTACCTCCTTTCCTCACTTACTGCACGAGCTTTATCAATCTACATGAAACTTTAAGTGGTTCGCAGCGATGTTAGAATTGCCGAGTAGTCTATTTAAAAATACTATAGTAAAGATTATTAAATATTTCCAACTCGTGTCAATCTAAAACTCTTATTATCCATTTTCAACAATATTGTCATTTAATTTGGATACATTTTATCCCTATTTGAATTCACTTCGATATCAGTTTATAGTGAGTACTAACGGAACTATTCTAATCATCGATTTTCCAGAATGTCCCGTAATCAAAGTGGTTGGTCGGAGGAGGCAGGAAGTTCGGAGGGTGTTCAACGACGAAGCGGAACGAGACAGACGCTCAGTACAACGCAATCCTTAAAAACAAGCAGCGCCGTTCTCGAAGATAGAACGTCTTCTGCTGCAACCTGCAAAGGTGGATTCAGGTTAGGCATCTACGGTTGGAGGAAAAGGTGTTTGTATTCTCTGGTCCTCACACTCATGGTCATCGTCATCCTCAATCTCGCTCTCACTGTATGGCTTCTTAAAGTCATGGGATTCACTTCCGTAAGTATCGATTCTTTGAGTATCCTTGTGGATGCTCGAAAAACGATATGGGATTTTTCCCGATTCTAATCCAAAAAATATAGTCGCAATTACGTATTTGTTAATTTGTGTTATGACACTTGTGAGATGTGATAGAACAATTTGAAAGGAAGACGCAAAAATTAATAGAGAACTAGTAGCGAGCAAATAAAAAATACTAATGTATACGATTCATAAAAGGCTTCGCGATCACTCGAGAAGATCAAGCAAACGTGTATGATGGCTTTGTTCGATAATGAATCCTAAGTTTGGAGGTTCGTCACAGCCGTTGCACATCCTCACTCGCGATCGGTGCGAACGAGGATCCATTGTGTTTCTACCACTCGAATGTCGCACGTACTTTCGATTCTACGTGCTCTTTTTTCCTACGAATTTCGAGTATTGTTATCAACGTTGTCCCGGAATCCGTCCTATAAATGGAGATTTCTTGAGGTTCAACTACATCTCGTTCCAATTTACATTTCAATCAAAAATTTCAACGTTTGTTTCGTAGGGACACCAATGATTTTTTTCTTTTTTCGGAAAAATCGTCGGAAAGAGATCTGTCATACGTATAACAAACCAACCGATAATCATTCGTTTCCATTGGTGCACGAAGAGGAAAGGGAGAAGACAAAAGAAAAGGTGTGGCGAAAGAGAGGTTAAAAGGTCCACTACTGGCGGTTAATATAATTTCTTCTAATTGCCGGAAACGTTATATCGGTACGCGGAGAAAATCGTCGCTTACACTTCTTCTCTTCGTGGGCTTTAATTCGAGCAATCATAATTAACCGACCCTTCTCAGCCGAGACTCGTAATTCCCGAGGGAGGCGCAAAAGCAAACGCGTTTAAACTACTACAGAGAACCAGTTACTGATGGTCCGTACGAGCATAATTTCCTAAGAAAACACTCCTTTTACTTCTCTTTCCGTTCAATGTGTCACTGATCGATTTATCTCGGCACTATGATCAGTCTATTGACTGCGTTCTTCTATGCCCTTTCATGATGAACATACACATAATTTTTTTCGAAGATTATTTTTAACAAACACCAAACTTTTCACTAAGAAAATCTCTCTAGTCTTGCCAGCATAACCGGTTCTTCAACTACCTCCATTATTGAATTTATTCGAAATCGAAAAGAGCCTCGCGATTTGGCGCAATGATCCCTCGATGGTAGCTAAATTCGCTGGAAATTGAGTATCAATCCGTAAGTAAGAACGAGTCTGGGAGCAGCCAAGAATGCCCCGTGGGAAATGTAAGCCCTTCTGCTTCTTTTTTCCGCTCTTCTTCCTCTAGTTATCCCTTTCAACTTCCTCTCGAAAGCACCTCGCGCGAGCCAGCTCCAAGTCGCTTCTCATCAAGACACGTCGAGACACGTCGAGACACGTCGAATCACGTCGATTTCTCTCTCTCTCTCTCTCTCTCTCTCTCTCTCTCTCTCTCTCTCTGTCTCTTTCTCCCTCTCTATCTCTCTTTCATACACAGCAAAATAATTCTCACGTTTGACTTCTATTAGATATACATTCCCTGTCGGTCCTCTTTTATTTACAAACTCATATTATAAACATTTTAAATGAACGTTCTATTGAAATATACAAAGAAAAAAATCAAAATAATAGTACGAAATAATATTCAACGTAATAGTACAATAATAATAAAGTTCTTTTGACGGATATACTCGCAATGCCATTGTTCACGAAAATTCATAGAAATCGACGATAAAAAGGATGCGAATAGAATTTTGACGTTTTTTTTGTCGAGCGACGACACGTGCAACGAGAGTCTAGTATAGTCGAATAGTCCGTCGCTTTTACGCAAGGCATCTTTCTCGGTTGCGTGAAAAGAATAAGAAGAGAAAGAAGAAGAGAAGACTGGAATGCATTCCGCGAGCCAGCAAATATTTTATGTCCTCCGTGCTTTTCTCTTCTCCTTCATCCACCATTCTTTTCCATCTATTCATATTTGATGAGTGTCTCGTTCTCCCTTTTTTCCCGTCGACCTCTCTCACCCTTTACTATTCTATACCATTCTATCTTCGAGCTTCTTTCTCTCTCTTTTCAAACGCCGCCGTTACTTCAACTCGCTTCGAGCAATATCTCGACGAAATTAAATCATTTTCCCGATTAAAGGATCGTCCTATGATGGCATTAATTAAAACATAGTAGAAGGGTATTCGTTATTAAAGACCAGAATGCTCGGCGTTTCACATAACTATATCATCGAATACTCAAATGAATCTCGGATAATAATCAATCCGTTGCTCCTGGCTTGCAAAAGCAAGTCGTTATAGTTGGAACAACTATAATAACTAAATCATGTTTATTCTCATTACGGAAGGAGCAAGAAATTCATTGCGTTTAGCTTGTCTATGTGTTTTGTATTCAAGCCACGCATACACGCACTTTTGTTTGTACATACAAACGCAAATTCTCATACTCTCTTTCTCCTTCCCTCGCGTACAAATGTACGGCAGGTCGGTATTAAAGGATATCCATTATAACACCTAGCCACCAAGTGCGAGTGTAATATAGTACGTAGGGCTCCATGAATTTTGAGTCGTATAGTAAGCAGTATCATGGTGGTAGCTTAGTGCATATAGGCCCTTCCTAGTTCTCTCTCTCTCTCTCTCTCTCTCTCTCTCTAGTTCGCTCGGTCGCACGCTCGTTCGCTTTCCGAGACACGGAGAAAGTCGAGTTTATTGTTTCCAGCGAGATTATATCTAGCAGGATTGGACGTAGACCTTCGGCTGTTACTCCTAAACCACATTTTCATCTAGCACGATCGCAAAGATTTACTATAACGGTTTAATACTGAGAGACTTTAATGAAAGTAATCAATCGGATCAAAATTTCTACTGAAAACAAATATTCGCTTTGCAATATAATTCTATATCTTTATATTGAGCTGTGTTACTCTCGCCTTGAGTCTTTTCACTTTCAGCTGTAATTAAATGCGCGACGTGAAAACACGCACTCGAGAGAAAAAGAGAAAAGCTCTTCCCATCCTCACTCCCCATCCTCGGGAGCTTCATCGTTTTGAGCAACGAAGGCAAAAAGTAATTAGAGAACGAAACGTACGATAAATTATTGTGCTAGAACGAATGAGAGTGGCAATACGAAGATAAAGTTGGGTGGGTTGAGAGGACGAAGAAGAAGGAAGATGGTAGGATGGAGAAGAAACGAGGCAACGTTATAAGAGAAAATCGGACTCGGAGGCATTAATGATGCCCTTCGGGCACGCTGCCTCTCGGAGTCGTCTTTATATAATTGTTACCATTAGCACAAATATATATCTTTTTCTATATAGAGATAGTATATGTTATAAATAAGGCAAGAAAAACAGTAGCCGCTAGTGACGTCATTGCCGTCACCAGGCAGCTCGTTATTTTTTAAGGGAGAGACAGAGAGAGAGAGAGAGAGAGATCTCTCCATGACGAACGAGTTCATTGCAAGTCGTACCCTTTTTTTCTTATAGCATCCGGACTTGCTCCAAGGAAAGGGTATTTCTGAATAGCAAGTATGATCGATAATTCCTATTACGCGTACGTAGCAATTAAATCAATCGAACGAAAAAAGAGAGAGATGAAATAAAAGAAAAGAGTAGGACAATAACTTTGATCATCTTGAATATCTCCGCTCTTTTTAAAAACATGGAGAAGAAACTTCGTTCACAAAAATTGTAGTTTCGCGAGAGTAGGTCATAATATGGCAATAATAATTTTGTTATAGAAGGATGCGTGAAGGAAACGTTTTTTTTTTTTTTTTTTTTTTTTTTTTTTTATAGAATTATGTTTTCAATAACATTGTTCGAAGCAGCTGGACATTCTTTATAGAAAGATATTAATCCATTTTTGTCAAAAAATTATTAGTTTAAGAGATATTTTAATTTAAATACCGCTAAGGAACGATGTAGAGAGATACGACTAAAACGTTGTAATAATAGTAGTAAGTAAATAGTAGTAGTAAGATAGTAATGATTTCTTAGTTTATTTTATATATTATTATTCTGCGCTTACGTATAATAAATTACGAAAGGAAAATCTTTCAAATTTTCGGTCGTTCGGTTACGTACGTTAGCGACTGCTAATAGATCTTCTATTCATTATTTTAAATAAACAAAATAAAATTTATGTAATTATAATAAAAACTTTAATGATTACATTATAATTATCTCCTTATAACGAAAGAAAAGAAAAAAAATTGATTTTAAAAATTATTAACAAAATCGATTTTATTATAACAATGTTATTGTAATATTTAAATAAATAAAGAATAAATTACATTTGAAAATGGTTTTTGAATGAAGTCTCTATGACTTTCCGTTCCAAAGATATCGTCTTCGAAAGATTTCATTCATTATTCGTATGCTACAGCTGTTCGTAGTAATAGTAGTAGTAGTAGTACGGTCGCGTAAATTCTCGGAATTTATGTAGGTCAGTGTGTCACCAAGCTAATGAATGAAATTATATAGGTCAGTGTGTCAACATAAACGTCTTTCATTTACATGGAATATCTCTGGAACTAAAAGTCATAGAGACTTGATTCAAACGCCATTTTAAAGAGCAAAATTTCCTCTATTTTTCCAGCGTATTGTTAATAATTAATTAACAATTTGTTATAAACAATTTTTATAAACAAATTCTTATGAACTAAATTTCTTATTTTATCAAAAAAAAAAAAATAAAAAAAAATTAAACGAAGCAGACCGAGATTGACTTATAAGTTTACTTAAATTCATAATTAATAAACAAATTATTTTTCTACTAGAGAAATAATTATTTATAGGCACGTCTTTCATTTACATGGGAATATCTCTGGAATTAAAAGTCGTAGAGATTTGAATCAGATACCATTCTAAAGGACAAGATTTTCTCTACTTTTTCCAGCGTATTGTTAATAATTAATTAACAATTTGTTATAAATAATTTTTATAAACAAATTCTTATGAACTAAATTTCTTATTTTATCAAAAAAAAAAAAAAAACAAATGAAACGAAACAGACCGAGATTGACTTATAAGTTTACTTAAATTCATAATTAATAAACAAATTATTTTTCTACTAGAGAAATAATTATTTATAGGCACGTCTTTCATTTACATGGGAATATCTCTGGAATTAAAAGTCGTAGAGATTTGAATCAGATACCATTCTAAAGGGCAAGATTTTCTCTACTTTTTCCAGCGTATTGTTAATAATTAATTAACAATTTGTTATAAACAATTTTTTTATAAACAAATTCTCACGAACTAAAAACTCATTTTATTTTACCAAGAAAAAGTTTATATTGAAACTGATTTATAATATTAGAAAAATTAATAAAATCTAAGAAAAAGGGAGATAGTCAAAGTGATCAAAGTTATTACTCCATCTTGCATATAATTGTATGAGATACGGAATGTTTCCATATATTCGCCTGAAGCATGAATTTTGGAGAGGCTGTCATCGGCTTTGAGATCGGCATTGTATGCTTCGATTTCTCCTAAAGCTGATCTAATCTGTAAGCCGTGCGAGAGAAAGCTCGTGGAGCAAGACGAAATTGGAATACCCTAGAGTGAAGCGAATAAAGGTGGATGGAGAGGGTGGCGAAGAAGGTGGAAGGTCGTTCTCTGTAGGACGATGACAGTAGGTTTCGAGTCAGATTATCTTAGTCATGGCGAGAGTTGGGCGAGTTTCGTCCAGCTCAGGATAATTACGTGAGGTAGGTAGGTACATTAGCATCGGTGTATGTACCGCATGCTTACATACGTGTAATTAGCAGTACGCAAGGATGTGCTTTTGCATTCACGTTTCCACGTGTAAGCACCGCACACCACGTATAAAACACGCGCAGTTAAACGAGCATCCAACGTGTCGTTGCGCTCAACCTCGTACAATCCGCGCATGATTTTCCATTTCTGTCTTGATAAGACTATTTTCTCTGTCTCTTATGCGGAAAAAATGTTTCCCTTGGTATGGATTAAAGTGGCATCCCTTCAAAGTATTATAATCTCTGTCTTACATCCTTCTTTGTTAACTTAAAGTATAATTATACGACGTAAAACGTAACTTTTCACATAATAAAAAGTTTTTGATTATTCGTCGATAATGTATCCGCCGTATCTCGATGTACGATCGGAAAACAAAGAACAAGTTGACGAAAGTAAAGCCGTACCAAGGGTCTATAGTAAGGGCGAGGGCGTGAAAACGAAATGCTCTTATAATCCTTGTAAATAACGCGCTTTGTATTAATTTATGGACGGCGAGCAGCCGACTAACGTCCGGGGGCGTCGTTACGATGATATACGCTTACTGGAGGGAGGGGGGATGTTATTTGGATTTCATTACGTCCTCCAACCTGGAAGAGAGAGGAAGAGGGAGAAACGAGGAGCTCCTCCTACACGTATGCTTCGCCGTCGAATCGTGTTTCCGCATTTCTGGCGATATCGAAGGGGAGAAATTGGAGCAATGCCCGTGCCACGAACGACACCCTTGCACCACACTGGACGCCTGTAAATATACATATCTATTCGTGTATTATAATATGTATATATCTAGCACACCCGCACGGGTAATAAATTTAAATCGATCACCACGATGAACGAGAAATATTCTTCGAGTTGTAAAAGCACGAATAATTTAAACGATCAATGGACGCGACGATGAATAAAATTATATTTAAAATGTAAAAATTGCGATCTAAGAGAGACAAAAAAAAAATGAACGGATAATATTTTTACGTAAGATCGAACTATCTTGTGCTTCTACGAAAACGATACTTTAAGCGATTATAAGGAGAAACGCGAGTACATTAATCATCGGTCACGTCGAAGGATATAATCTACAAGTATACGAAGTAAGTATATTAATCGATTATCACGGATTTTCATTGACCATTAAGTAATTTCACTCTACTCCTTCGATCACACTTTGACGCAACCAGAAAACGGTCTCCGTTATTAATCTTATTATTGGCGTTGGATCTTTATTTATTATTGCAAACATCTCTTCCTTGGGATGAATAATCTACCGTTTGAACGATGTGGACGAGTGAGGAAAAAAAATATAGGAAAGAACGTTCGTTTTCCTATAATCTGAGGATTAAAATTTCATAATAGCATACCGTTAAAAAAATAATATGCGAAAGAGCCAAGAAGTTTTTATAATGTTCGGGTGATACGATTGTAACTTTAACATTCAATTATTTCGCGTTTGATTCAACTCGCACTCATCTCGATTACAGCCAACGTATCATGATCGTAAAATAAAAATAACTTTATACTTTTTTTTCTTTTTTTATCATCATCTGTTTATTCTTTCCTTCAACATATAATATATCAATCAACGTGTCAATAAAAACCAATAACCACAAACGAAAGAACAATAGACAAAATTGATTTATTTAATTTTAAAAAATAGAAATTTCAAAGATATTACGAGGAAAGATAAATTTTACTGCTCTAATTAAAAATTGATATATTAATCTAGGTTCCTTGTCTAAATCTTTTTAATAAAAATTATAGAACAACTTACTGTCATATCACTTATTATACATTTTACTCTTATTAACAAGTCTGCTTTTAGTCTTTTATATGTCACAAAATAAATTTCAAAAATCTTCATTTTAAACATTTTTACATTTTTTAAATCTTCGAAATTGAATGCCCGACACTGGAGATTTGGCATTCAATGTATTAAATATAAGAATAAAAAGGAAGATCAGAAAAATATCCACTTTAATTCTAAATTCAGCTCGTAGAAAGGTATTAAAGAAAGGGAAGATCGAAAAAAAAAAAAGAAAAAAAAACAGGGATGAACGTTATCTCTCGTTCTTCGAACTCTCATCGTTCTCGATGGTATCGAAGTTTACGGTTACGGTTAAGTAGAGGAGGCACAAAGATCGTATCATTTTCCGAACGATTTGGCTAATCGAGTGGCAGTACCTTGAAAACCTACTGCAACCACAATGACGCTCGCCCGATCGATGCAGGATTCTGAAAGAGTACTGCCGTTATAAAGGTAGTCCGCAAAAAATACGGATCTATTCCATTCCCTTTCAAGATTTCGACGGACTATAACGTAGCTGGAGTTTAACACTTTAAAAAGACGTTTGTATGTCGTAGCTTAAGTCGAAACGATTACGATTCATTTTAATGAATTCCTGCACGTTTCCGAGCATTAAAAATTCATCAACGCGGTGAACTCGAATCAACGTGTCGTATACGCGCGCATACCAAGAGGAAAATTAGTCGGTAGTTTAGATTTATCGTAGGTTTGGCGACTACCCAACGACCACGTTCTTCCTTTCTTCCACAGCAATAACAGATAAATTGTCCCTCGATCGAACGACCAATCATTGGAAATCAATCAAAAGGGATGAATAAAGAAGATGTACCTTGGCGATATAAAATCTTTAAAATGCCCTCGTTCGTTCCATGACTGTGAAAGTTAAACCTCCAAGATAAGTTAACTTTTTCGTATAGACCAATTGTTTGAAGCTATAACTAAGAAAGCGTTAGAACATTTTTATCATTTATCCACAATGGTCCCTACATATTCATTTCAATAGAATTTTATTTTTAATAAAAAGAAATAAATTTTATATATTTCCGTTAGCTGATGGAAAATCTAATAAATTAACATATCAGTTTTTGATTTGACAATTTATAAATACATTTCATTTTTGCGATCTGTTTTCTAATCTTATTCCTTGTTCGATATATATTTTATGTACGAGGTAGACGAACCTCGTAGAAATAAAATTCTGCCTACGCCGATTTTCCAATATTACACGAAATATTTCAAGCGGCGGCGGCGGCGGCGGCAGTAGTGGCACAATAGAGGCCGTAGCGTATAGAGTGCACGTGGCTCATCACTGGATTTATTATTGAAAGGTTCGAAACGATAAGAGGCAGATAGCTATTGCATGCTTACAAAGCTCGAAGAATGCCAAATGCTAGCCATTTTATTATACAAGATACATTTTTGACATTATCACGAGATACAATTCCTTCGAATTGAAATTTTTTGATTTGCTCTCTTTTCCATTTTCTATTTCTTTTTTTGCATAATACGCAAGCTCGTAAAGGCGGTCGCGTACAATGCGAGCGTTTCGCAAGGAAAATAGCGGATATCGATAGAGAGATAGAGAGGGAGATGCATTTTTATCGACGTTCCCGTCGCAAGAAAAGTTCGATAGTCCGTTTCTTTCCCTGACAATCATTTCCTCTTCTTTCAGGAGGGTATCGGTTCGCTAAAAGTGGTGCCTGGGGGGATCGAGCTAAGAGGTCAGGCCGCTATTCTAGACGCCCTCGTGGCCTCGAGCCTTAGGTCTCGAAGAGGTAAAAATTTAGTGCTCGAATCGTGGAGCAATTTTACGGCCACGGCGAGGTCGCATGATGGTCGATTGTTAGCGAAATTAACCGTGGGTAAGAAAAAATAACAATACGTTATAGGTTTGAGAGAACTGAACGAGCGATTTATTTAATCGCTCGCTCTAAAAGCAAAAAGAACGTATAAGGTTTTCGATTTTGAAGAATTTCGATGTTATTTCAGGCGAGGATCGCGTCGACTGCATTTCGAGAAGTTTCCGAATAACCGATCCACGAGGAGGAGTTCTTTTCTCCGCGAATAGAGAACAAGTTCTGGTAGGAGCAGACATGTTGAAGGTAACCGGTGATGGGGGTGCCGTTTTCCAGGGCAGCGTGCAGACCCCGTTAGTTAGAGGAGAATCTGGCAGAGGTCTCAGGTAAGCATAGAAGAACATTACGAATGTCATCGAAAATAAATCATTGGAAAAGACGAAGAAGAATGATAAATGTTCTCCATTTGTTTTCTCGTAGGTTGGAATCTGCGACAAGATCATTAAAGATCAGCGCACCTCAGCGGGTAGTGTTGGAATCGTGGGCGAACGAAATTTCGGCGTCTTGTTTGACCGACTTGAAATTACAAAGCATTCACGGTGCTATAAAGCTCGATTCCAAATCCGTCTTTCTAAAAGGTCTGAAGACAGCTGTAACGGTCCAAGGACGATCCTCGAGGGAGCAACAGCAACAACAACCAGAACAAGAGCAACAACAGCAGCAACAACAGCAGCAACCACAACAACAACAACAACAACAACAACAACAACAACGCTCTTCTAGATCCTCTACTCATCAAAATCAAAGAGAGACGAGCATTTATCAGCTCTGTGCCTGCGCAAACGGGAAGCTCTTTCTTGCCAGACCTGAGGGTATCTGTCAAGCGGACAAATCCGTTTGCTAATGCGCCGACGCATCGTGCAAATAAAGTTCGTAGAACCGTCTGTGCGACTTAAGATCCTCGTACGGACGACGGAAAACACACCGCGATCTACTGCAGGTGGATCAAAGGACGAGGCCTTTTTTTGGAAAACATTGCAACAGTATCAAACGAATCGAACCCGTTGAAGAAGCGATTGAATTACTCCTCGATACTCACTCGACCTGAGATTTTCTACGTAGCGAAAAGGAGAGAGTCGCTAGGAAGTTCGATCGCTCCTTCGATTCGTTGGATTTCGATCGCACATTGTATATTACCCTTTGTAGAGTGCGTCCGCGTCGACCCACGGAGTAGCTTCGCGCAAGTCGTGTGTGCCCGGTGATGCGCGGAGACTCGATTAACGACAACAACGATACGACGACGACGACGACGATGACGACGACGACGACGACAACGACGATGCGGATTTCCTAGGGTTCTGCGGACATCTATGTGTATGTAGCATTGTTGCTGGCGCTACCCCGCGATGTATATCTTGTATAGCAGTGGAAACGTAACGTGCGTTTAGACATCAGAAGCATCATTAAATAACAAAAATCTACGGCTCCTCGTCTATCCGCTTTCCGTAAACCATTTAATTTCCTTTTTTTTTTTCTACATTTTCTTTTCTTCTTAGTTCAACTTTTTATTTTACCTCCTTTTTCTTAGACACACTGTCTTTTATTTTCGCAAATGAGCGAACGAAGAAGTGGTCTAACATCGATTACATTGCGAGAGGTAATCCGACAAACTCGTATTCTCTCCTTTAGCGACGACAAACGAATCTTTCTTCAATGCGCGATAAAACGCCTAATTCGTAATGCCAATTAGTGGTAAATCGTATAATTCAGGATTGTTTATTTTCGATCGCGTTTTGTGGTAAACCTGAAGGAAAAGAAAAAATGTAGTTATTGTAAAAGGATCAGGATGCGATCCAGCTTGTACGCTGTACGTCGGCCATGTCCATCTATTTATGTATGTGGCAATAAAGTCGTTATTGTTACTATTATTATTAATCGTCGCGACGAGCCTCTTACTTTTCCCGTAGCTGTAAGTAACGTTACAGAATCATCATTTGCCGTCAGACAACCAGTACGTCGCAATTCTACGAAATCGTAAGTAAATAGAATCATAAGAATCGGCAGCTTATTCTTTCGAATAATTATTAAAAGTCGAAATATCGAGCTATATAATAGCGTATAAAATAACGCGAAAAATGTCTATTCGAATAGGTATAAATTAAAAATATTATTCCCATATGATCTTCTATTATTCTCAAGTATGATATTTTCTAAAAAGTAAGCGGCGGTATTGGTATAGATAGCGATAGATATAACAGGCATGCAATCTCGTGCATTGGTCGCTTAAGCCGTTCCAACGGGAGGATAATTTTCGTGAAATTCGAGATTAAAATTGCATCGGATACGAAGGGAGGGGAAAATAAAAGGCAAGTAAAACAATATGCGAGACAACGAGAGAAAAGAAAAGTCGTCTAAAAGTGAGTGATCTAAAAGCAAGTTTGATTGGAGATCCACCGGCGATACAGAGAGTTAGTATTAGCCGATAAAAAGAAATTGTCAAGGGAGGAAAAATATTGGCGTAAAATTCTTTGAGCGGAATAAATGTGCAAGTATCAGTACTTTAGTGATAAGAGCGGTGTAAGAGGAGGAGGGTAAGGAGAAGGAATAAAGGCGAAAAAAGAAAGTAGTCTTGAAAAGGCATCGTAGCGGGCGCAGGGTTAGCCGGTAAACTTAGAGTCTTGTTGAGTTTCCGCTTGGTCAAACGATCAAACTCCTTCAGCTTTTACTCGATCTTTCGATTGTGTAGCTTTGCGCTTTAGAGAGTCGAGAAGCACGTTGAACCGATCGTATAGTCGTCTATGGACGGATAGATACAACGAAGATGAAACTCCCTTAATGTACGATCGTTTTGATTAATCCTCGAAGTGGATTCACGCGCTCGTAGACGTTTAATCCTCGTAAGGGCGTTACCGTCGCGTTTAATTCGGCGTTCCTGCTTCGACGATCGTTCTCAACCGTTCATCCCTCCATTACCATATTAAATATAAATTGTTGAAGAATGCGACGAATAAATTATAACGTATCGTTGAACAGAACGAATTACAGGAAGGATTTATACGCATGGGTTTTAGCCTAGACGTTCCCATAGATTCAAGTGCCGTTGGAAAAGGGCTGTACCTTCGGGGGTTGCGAAGAATTAGTTCGTGTTGAGTATGAGCACGATTATACGTTCGTAATATATACGCAAGCCTGTAGGGAGTTGAATGGGAATGGCGGTAAAATCGTACTGTTACCCACGGCGCTGCCTGCAGGATGCGTTCTGTGAACCATGAAATTGTTGTACGGATACGCGTGCGTTCGATAAAGCTTTAAATACGAATTAGTGGCAGTCGCCACGGCATACGGAAGTCTTCTCTCCGCATAACAGTACGGCTTAACACAATGCAGCGCAGCGCAGCGCGGCACACGTGTTGTCCGAAACAATGTAGACCCAATGTATGCGCTCTTCTCTCATGCTATTGGAAATCTTGTTCCTCTCTGTAATTATTATCGAATAGCGGACAAGATAGGTACGAGAAGCGTTTTAAGGATTGAATTCGTGCGCGGCGCTACCATCGACATCGGGACGCGTTAAATGTGGTCTGCCGTTAATGACGATAGTCGTGTGCTACGCTTTTACCACTATGTCGCGCGATACGCGCATAATCGAAGCGTTTTACTTTACGCATCGTCCTCGGTACGATCGGAGAAAAGAGGGAGGAAGGATGGAAGTAGATGGAGGAAGTTGCAAATAGATATTTGCCGAAGGCGGACCCGTTGCAGAAATTAAAAAGGAAGTGGTATCGATCGTGGTATTGCCGCACCATCATTGAAATTATGTAAGCTAGAAATGTAGGTTAATGCATACTCGAACCACGTTCTTAATGCCGCCGACGCAAATTGTCGAGCTGTGTATTTTTGCGAAAATTTAAGAGCACCATCCAACGTCGATGTTTATCGTAACTCCGTAAAGAAAGCCGTCGTTGAGGTTTTTCTTCGTTTTACGAAAATGAAAAGGCAGAGAAGGTAATTCATCAATCGGTCGATCGACCCGATCCTTTGGCGAATAAATTAGCTTATCTTCGATTCTTCTCGATACCCGTGATATACATATATTATTAAGTTAAAAGTCTTACTCGCGAAGGATCATCAAGATTCTATTTTCAATATCTAGCTTTATGAATAAAAAATCAGAAAAAGCTGGGTTCGCCGGATTGTCTATTAGAGCAAATGTCATCATTTCTTGTACGTATGAATATTTCAAGCAGACGAATGAACATGAAATACTATTTAGTGTACAATCGCTTGAAAATCGTAGATCGTAGATCAAACGTACATGTAAAATAGAAAACGAGCAAAAAACTTTTCAAAGTGACGAATATTTTGACTTGAGTCTGGTGCGTTCGTTTAAAGTGTAAATGCAAATTACGATAGGAGTATAACAGGTTGTTGTTTCGTAAAGAGAACTACGGTATGGAACGTGAGTGGATCGAGTAAACGTTACCGCGTTAAGCATATATGTAGTAGTAGTGGTGGTGGTGACGTCGGTGATGTCGGTGGTGCTCGTTGGTGAGAGCTGCGGGCGAAGAGGCAGCAGAGGTGGATCGCTTCCACGAGAGAGATCCACCGAGAGGGGATTGTCTGAGGTCGGAGTTTAGGACACTCGTGCCTCGAGGGCTCTTACTCTGATCAAAACCGCCAAATGGATAAATTACTCATCCTCTCGTCCATCTTCACTCCTGAGATTCTAAGCGAAAGGTAGAAAGAGAGAGAGAGAGAGAGAGAGACAGACAGAATAGAAAAAAATATATCGAATCTCGTTTTTTATAGGATCATGATTTCCCTTTTGAAACATTTTGAAAAAATTACTCGTTGTTAGTCGTGATTAATCCTTCTTTTTTTTTTATTTTAATTATTAAAATATAAGGATCAATATCAATGAGAATATAAAAATACATTAATCAGTTTATAAACAATTTGACAAATATAATAAGGACAAATTATCTAGAAATATTTGATGATTTCCGTTAGGACAGAAATACCAGATAGATTCTCGAAAATGCGGGACGAGCTAGGAATAGATATCTAAGGTGTCTAATGGAAACCTAATGAGAAAGCGAGGAATCCATCCATATTCGCTCGTCGATTACTATCACGAAGCGTTATCCTTGGAACACCTGACGCGTCTTCCTACCGTCTTCCACCTAACTTTACGTACGTGTCTCCGAGTATGTGTCACATATAGAGGATCGTAGTCTTCCGAAACGGGCGGTTTCAGTTTCGGCCCAAGGAGCTGGAGTCTCTCAGAGAGTCGGTGCCGTGCGAGGGACACGGTAATGGCGGCTAAATTCCTGCAACGACCGGATGCAATTTAATGCCAGTCGTCGTGGCGCTATCATCGCTTCGCTGATGCAATATCTTTCGAGTTTCCGCCGTCTAGTTAGTGCGAAACGAGCTGTTGATAAATCTCTCTCCCCGTTCTCTCTCTCTCTCTCTCCCCCTCTCTCTTTCTCTTCTGCACACCGAGACATCTACTCGGCCCCACTACCACCATCAGCCGGGAGTCTCGGTATGTGGAGGCCATTTCTCCCGGCCGGAATTACATCCCCCAAATTGTAATTTTGTCGGGCACCACTCTCCTCCAGCATCCGCATTATTTCCCTCCTTCTCTTCTTCCTCCTACTCCCCTCTTCTTATTCCTCCTTTCAACTACTTACACGTCTTTTTTTTTTTTCTAATACCATCTCATTTTCTATATTTCTTTCTCTATTACTTTCTTTACCCACTTTTCTTCAACTCATTCTTTTTTCCTTCATCATTTTCGATCTCCTTCTTAAAAAATGTTTAGAATTACCAAGGGAACCGTCTTCGAAGCCACCAAGTTAACGTTAGAGAATCGAGCTCGAAGGTAGCTCGATGCACTAAAGTAGAGAGAATCGACAAAGTTAAAGAGACCTTAATGGGAACGCGGTGAAGCGTCGATGTAGTCGTAGCAGCGAAATGAATTATTAAAATCGCTCGATAATCGTCGCCAAAGAACGCGAAGTAGTCGGAGCTTTTACTTTTACGGACGATCTCCGAGTACTTCGGATCTTTGCGAGGCAAATTGTATCGAGTTAACTCAGGAGTTTACTTCGTACAGTTCCAGCCAAGGGTTTGCTTCGAATGTTAAAAAATTAACGCTACGGAAGAGGAATCTTCGGATAGATAGAAAGAGAGGAACGTTTGAACGTACTTCTTATTTGCGTCTCCTTCATTAGTTCGAGTTCAAAGAGTTTCTTCGCTTATAAGATATTGATTTAAATCGAAAGATTCGATATAACGAAGATACATCGAAACGAAGCGATGGCGTTTCCGTCGAACCTGCCGTTGGATCTGCGCAATATCCGGCAAGGTTTTATCGGCGAACCATGGAAATTGTCGGCCGTCTTACGTTCGGCACCGTGTGAGTTCACGTAAAACTTTCTTGATAATTAATTAAATTAATTAGACTCGCGGCGGGAGTGCGAGGCATCGATGTCTCGGAAGGTTGACGGCGAAGATGCGGATAAGAAGGACGGGAGGAAAAGAGGGTTCTTCGTCGCTAACTCTTCAACGATAAGTTCGCCCGATAAAGTAAGAACTTTCGGTAAAACGGAATACGCTTCACTATCAATCATTATCTTCCACCATTTTCCTTCCCCTCAGGATCACAGTTATCTTCTCTGTAAGAATGTTATCCGAAGCAATCCTCAATGGAAATAAACACACGTTCGAACGAACGAAGCGACGTATGCCTAATGACTACGTGTTGTTTTCTTTTTTCTACACAGCGTATATAGTTTCACGATTCATAGCTAGAGGACGTTTTTGGAGTTTATGCTCGTTTAGTAAATACTAATAGAAAGAAGAATGTTCAGTCAATATTGAATCCATAAACCAATTCCAATTCAAGATGATTTTCTGTTTATCGATAATAATGGAAATTATTATCTAAAGGAGAAAAAAAAGAAAAGAAGAAAAAGAGATCGAAGGAAGATATTCCGTGGAAAATTGATTTGTTATAAGTCGACATCGCAATCTTTCGTAGAAATATACTCGCAGCACGCCACTGAATTACAGTTGTTCTGACATTCGGATAATTTCTTTTATCAAGAACGTCACGCGCGAAAGCGTTAGCTTCGTCGGAAGATCGATGAACGAGAAGGACGAATGATAGAGGGAGAAAACAAGATTGACCCTGAGGCCGTACGAACGTTAACGCCGTTATTAGTACCGTGACTGTAGTGGCTGAAAGGTAGAGGGAGACGGATGGAAAGATAGACTGACAGATAGAGGGACACCTAGTGAGTGAGAGAAAGAAATAGATGGTATGTGTGCGCGTGCGCGTGTCTGTGTATGTGTGTGTGTCTGTGAGCATGGACGGGAGAAAGCCACTCACTGAAATCGAGTTCCATCGTGCTCAATCAATCAAACGGAGGCAAATCGAGACGGTAAATGGAGAAAAGAGGGCGGAAGAACAAAGGAAAAAGAAAGTTGGCGCGAAAACGGAGAGAGCCACGGCGGAAAGCTAGCGAATCGATGTATATGGGAGAATGCGGCGAAGTAAAAGCATGTACGAAGGAGAGACAGAGAGAGAGAGAGAGAGAGAGAGAGAGAGAGAGAGAGAGAGAGAGAGAGAGAGAGAGAGAGAGAGAGAGAGAAGAGTAAGAGAAAGAGCAGAGAGACGTCACAAATCAAAGACGTGGTGACAGTTAATTCATAACTCGCAACCCCATGGCACTTTCCAGTCCCATTCTCTCCTGCTTTCTCTTTCTATCTCTTTCTCTCATTCTACTACGCGCGGCCACCCTCATCCCCGTTTCAATCTGAGCGCTCATGGGAGTTGCGTACAACATATGCACTTTCACGTTGGAACCACCCCCCATATTTCGTATTGCCACTCGAGAGACGAGCGTATTGTTGTACTTTTGTTTCTCCTCGTTCCTTCCCCTTGTCCTCCTCTTCCTCCACCTCTTGGATCCTTTTTTATTATCCTTTTGCGTATCTAGCGCGTTACGAGCGCCACAAGGGAATTATTGCGACGGGGATAACGTGATTCGAAGGAGGAAAAACGAAAAAGAATTGAAGGAAAGACAGAAAGGAATAAGAAAAATGTTCTAAATCGATATTCTCAATCGTGAAAACACGTAGAAAGGCTGGAATCCATCTTTGTTTCTCATCGTTTCCTTCTCACTTTCCTCGCGATAATCATTTCTCAATTCCGGTAATCAAGCTAATGAGGGAGCTAGGCGAACAGCACCGGCGATGCTCGATTGCCGGTGCTTTAAAGGGCCTAATCGATGCCTGATAGGGTAACATTATTACCTAACGCTAGCTCTACGGATCGTGCCATTATCTCGCACCTAGCTACTATTACACAGCCACCTACTACCTTTCCATTCCTGGATTATGTCGCTGAAACACGCCATCTTGTTTCCTTCCTCGAGTTATATTCTGCTCGATGCACGAGACAGTTGGCCAAATTTTGAACAACGAATTTTTAACATTTACTCGTGTGGTTTTATACATGACTAGGTAAAACGTGTAACAATCTTCGCAAAGTATTTCATAAAATTTTACAATGAGATTATCTACCTATCAAAAGATACATACCATCTTGTTCGATCAAATTAACACGGTGCGTCGTCATTTTGTTCTCTCTCTCTCTCTCTCTCTCTCTCTCTCTCTCTCTCTCTCTCTCTCTCTCTCTCTATCTTAGGACTACTACGAAACTTAATCTGGCAAAGCGTTTTCAATCATTCCAAGGCGAACTGGAAAACGAAGGAAATTCGCGTTTCCTTCTACGTCGGCGGTAGAATTGTCTTTCCATTTCGAAGTGTGAAAACTCGACTCGTTCCATGCGACCGCCCATTTAATCACTTTGTCCGTTTATTCAGAGAAAACTTCTCGAATTCAACTTCTTGATTATTGTTACAAACGTCTTCGATAGATGCGACCCGTAGATGTTGATAATTATAAATGGAAAGAGAGAGAGAGAGAGAGAGAGGGAGAGAGAGAGAGAGAGAAGAGAAAGAAAACAAGAGAATGTACAAACTCGAAACAATTCAACAATCTTGAAAACGTAGCGATGTAACGAGTGACTGAAAAATATCGGGCATTTGTTTGATTCTTTCTTCTATTTCTCTTTTCTCCTTTTACTGGAACAGCAATATGAAAAAAAAATAAAACAGAAAGAAAAAGAGAGCGAGAGAGAGAGGGAGGAAGGGAGGTAGAGAGAGAAACAGAACGAAACGAATATTCTCTTGGACAAGAATTTCCCCAACAAAGCCAGGAACGATTCCCAAGAGAAACATCCTCCCCCGTTTCAATCCGCTTCACGAACGACGAGATCGAATGCTAATTCCTTTAGGCGCATCGAGGCCGGAAATTTGAACGGGATTAGGTCCGATCTACTCGTTCTGCACTTACGCCTCTTTCTCGAAAATGTTCTGACACAAGCAACAAAAACTCGCCACAATTCTAGCCTATCTGACGAGAATTGGCTATCTTTCTCTTCTTCCAATTTTCCACCTGTAATTTGATAATGTCAATTACATCATTCGGGAAGTTGTGCCAATGAAATCGACGTAATGCGTTTTTCCGACCGCTTTCTTTTTCCTCGTAGAAATTTAAATTCTTCTTTCCACAAAAGTATTTTTTTTGGAATGGAATATTAGTCGAATATTGTCGCGATGACAACATGGGGAGAAAAGAGGATGAATCTTGGAAACGCACGTGCCGCGGATTGCAGTCGAAGATTTAGCAGGTCCGAAGAGAGAAAGAGAGAGAGAGAGAGAGAGAGAGAGAGAGAGAGAGAGATATCCGAGGGGAGCTTCTAAGAGATTTCAGACAAAAAGCATCGCGGAAACACGTGTTTTACCCTTTTCTGTCTGTGTCCTCGAACGAGAGAGTATGAGAAAGCGAGTGAGAGAGAAAGAGAGATAGCGAAAACAGAATCGAAACGAAGAGAGACAAAGACAAACAGAGCTTTACCTAATGGTCCGGATCACACACCACAGATCATTGCATACTTGTTGGATTTGATCTTTCCACTAGAACCTCTTCGACCTTCTCCGCTTGCATCCCTTTAACCTCGAACTCTCTCTCTCTCCCTCTCTCTCTTGCTCTCTTACTTTCTCTCTTACTCTCGCTTTACCATTTTCTCTCTTCTACCAGCAGCACAGGAATTCTAACGTAGCCTGACGATTTGAATAATCATTATATGCGCAAGCGTACCTCGCAAACGAATTGGTTATCGGAGGATCGTGAGCCTGCGAAGGGCCTCTCCCGACACCATCGTTGTTCCCACTGCTACTGCTACGACTCTGTAGGATCAGCAACGGCGGGAATGGCAGGTGGAATAGAAAGTACTCGGAATACAAACGTCCTATTAAGTGGCAGGCCCGAGGACGGTCAACGATAAGAGAATTATGCGCGGAGAATTAATTCGCCGTATCCACCGTTCCCCCTTCAACCCCTTCCCATTCCACCACCGTTTTCAAACCCACCCACCATTTATAAAACCGTCGAATCGGGAAGAGTAGGTACCATTTTACCCTTCTGGAATATTCCGATTTCTTTGCTCGCTTAAGAGAACGTGTCGACGCGTCGACCTTACCTATTACATCGACTGTAAAAATTTACTCTAGATTACTACCACATTCACGAATAATGAATTTACACTCGTCGTTACCTTATATCGTTCAAACATCACATTTGATAACGTTCAAAGCGATTCGTAATTACGAATTTTTTATCGAGACTGCACAATTCCATCTTGAATTTTCTTTCTCTTTTCTTTTTTTCTTTTTGAAATAACCCAATGAAGACGAAGATTTTGATGCATGACGTAAATGGTAAATATAAGCTTTAATCGATCCGTCGATCGATTCATTTCGTTAAAAAACAGAAGAGAGGATGATAAAAGATGACGAAACCGGTTTCCGATGAGCCTTTCGGAACGTTTTATTTATCCCCATCTCATCCTTCTTCTTCTTCCTTAAAGAATGGGATACCATCGCGAAGAAATAATTCAGGATAAGGGATGATCCAAGTCGGAAATGAGAAAGTATCGCGCTGGGCTTTACTCGAAAGGCCATCCGCGGAAACGTATATTTGGATCTGCTTCCATTATTAATACACAAGGAAAAGGGGATGAAAGATATTTTCTCTTTCTCTCTTCCTCTCTCTCTCTCTTTCTCTCTTTCCCTCGCTTTCGTTCTCTCTGTCTCTCAGTTCCATGCTTGCGAGCGCGTATCGTTTCTGACGAAATGTTTTGCTCTCGTTTTCCAAAGAGTCTACACCGTCATCGAGGTAAGCTTCTTAAAGGCTTTCACTCCAAGCGGCGTCGACGTCGCTGCTGCCGCCCAGTCCACACTACTTCCCCTTGAAAATTGTTACTTCCATCCTAGCTGGTTCAGCTTCCTTTTAATCGTTACGACCATATCCTTCCTCAAAGAATTCTCATCGTTGGATGATAAAAGCATCAGCCACGAATTTTCCCGTAAAAGAGAAAAAACATTTTCCAGTAAGTTTTTCACGTACAACGAAATAATAATGAAAAGAAAAAAAAATAAAAAAAAAAAAAAGAAAGAACATACAAAATTAACATAGAAATAAATAAGACGCGAGATACGATGGCGCCAAATTCATTGCAACTAAATGAGAGGAGAAAATGATTGGTGCCGTTAATACTCTCGTAAAAAGGAAAGACTCGACTCTTGCGTTATTTACCACGACAAAGAAATGTTTGACGAAAAATTCTCTTTGTGTGGTGATTACCATGAACCGGGATGAAAAGAGGCGAATAAAACATCAATGGAGTCATTCTCGTTGTCGTAGTCGTCGTCCAAGCCGGTCGAGCTTTTTTAAAAATCGGCAAATACGTAGGGAAAGTCATAAATATATATATATATATATATGAATAGAAAGCTCGGATATTTATAATACACCTACGTACTTAGTTGGTACGTGGTTAATATATAGATATGTATGCCCTCGTTTGAACGAAGAGACGAAGTTACATACCAAACGGCAGATTCCTGTCGATTGACGTGGATTTTCGATTACCGCGATAGAAGATAAGAGCGCGAAGCGAATGGAGTTTGGCCGGATTCGGGTGAATTCGCGGCAGAGGCTATTTGCGGTCGGCGGCGAACGACTCGCTCCTCGTTTCACGGTTAAATTGCTGTTCCGCGACTGGCAGCTCGTCAGCGATTCGACCTCCGACGGAGTCTCGTTTCGTTATTATATTTTAACGAACCAAATACGATATCGTCGCTCGTTCACTCGATCGAAAACGCCCCGTGTTCCTCACTTCTTTTTTCCTCTTTTCCAGAGAAATAGAGAGAGAGAGAGAAAGAGAGAGAGAGAGAGAAATCAATCTGGGAGGACCATGTTTTTTCGTCAACTTGTTAGCCACGATTCGTTCGCTTATTTTTTTTCTTTCTCTCACTCTTTCTCTCTCTCCCCTTTTTTTCTCTCTCAAAAATGCGAGACTGGAATTGGACATCTGTTTTTTACTAAAAATTCAATGAAAGAGAAGAAAAGATAGTGACATTCCCGATTGAATCATCTTACTTCTCGATCGAAGCTTATCGCGTTCCCTTTGAAAGCTGAAGCCAATCTCTCGCAAACGCTACGCGCTTTCTTCCGCCTTTCTCTCTCTCTCTCTCTCTCTCTCTCTCTCTCTCTCTTTCTCTCTCGCGTACTGCGTCGGTAAAAGTATTCATAAAAATTCTTGCGCGCCATCCACACGAAGCCCTTCGTTCTTTCTTTACTCACTTTTCCCGCGGTTGAAAAACGCGGCCCGTTTTCTCCGGCTTTTTTTATTTTCCAACGTATCGTTGACGGCCATAAGTCAACTCCAGAAGCATCGAGCGAGAAAGAGAGAAGGGTAGAGAGGGCTGGGAGAATTTAATAACCATTGGGGGAGGAAGAGCTCTCGGGTGTAAGACATGGATGTAATCTTGGTGGGTAACTCATACGTTAAGAAGCCAAGGACACATTCCGGCGCCGCTAACAAACGCCAGGATCTTCCGTTACCCCCTCCACATCCTTCCTCGTTCGCTCCAAAGTAGTTCGTAGGTGCCGAGGAGGAAGAAGAGAAGGAGGAGGCCGCGACATAATTCTAATTTTATTGCCGAGCCAAGATGCAGCCTCTTCCCTCTCTCCTTCTATCGTACTAGTGCGAGCGCGTGCCTCAGTCCCTCGTAGAAGGGCTGGCTTTCAACCGAATTTATGAGCAATTTTTCTTATTAATTTTCATAACTTCGACATGTGAGCCCCATAGCACAAATGCGACGAAGCATCCCTTACGTAGATACGCTTTAATATCTATCGAGTTTCGAAAAGAATAGTCGTTGAAAAATTTCTCGCCTTTCTTCCTTAGAATGACATTGCAGTTGTTCCTTTGATGCAGTAATATCGTAGGACGAAAACACATAGGTACTTTTCGAATTGCACATGTTGCATCTACGTCTTCCTTAGCTCGCGTCCAGTATTGCGCCGCTGTCGGCAAAGTCTGCGTCCTCTCATCCATCACGAACGCTAAGGTCAGGTCACAATCATCGTCTACGGGCCAAATGCCAAGAGAAGCTCTTCTCCCGATATCAGGGCATAACGTTACGATTTCTTCGTGAATCGTGTCCCGTCGACACGGAAAACTCCCTTTGCTCGGCCACGAACATGCCCGAGAGAACGACTAGACACACGTTAAAGGATGTTTCGAGTATACTCTTTGTTTCTCTCTATCTTGGACTCTTCAATACTTTCTACAATTTTTCAACAAATATCAATACTTGTGACAGAATACAAATAGTACTAGTAGAATAGGTATAATAATGATTTTTTTTATTACTTGAACGACAGGAGATTTATAGTCGTATAAAATCATTGAAGGAACTCGATCGAAGAAATCGTAGCAGAGAAGTTTTTTATCTGCGAATCGTCTCGCAAATTTCTTTATAAATCTATCGAAAGACTAAGAAACTCGCTTTTAAACGTTAGAAAAGCTGCGAAGGGTGATTATTATTAATTGCTTTCTTTTTTACTATCGAATGGTTAAAGCTTCAGTTTTTTTTTACGTTTATCGACCAAGTTCAGATTTTGCCTCTTTCTCCTTCCCTCTCTGTCTATCGATGCTTTCTTTCTCTCTCTCTCTCTCTCTCTCTCTCTCTCTCTTATTCTCGCTTTTTCGCTCTATCTAACGGACTCTCGGCATCGGACGATCTCTCTCGTTTTCTCTCCGTGGCTGGACATTCGGCCGGAAACTTCATTTACATCGGCAGCATCTATAAAACGGATTAATTGCAGTTTGCCGTGCAACGAATGCTGGCAGGTACAGCCGACGGACGTTCGACAGATAGAATTTATCCGCGGTAGGGTCCTCCTCCTTTTTCTCGTTCTCTTTCTCCTTCTCTTCGTTCCCTTCGTTTCTCTCGTCCGATAATCGAACAGTTCGCGTGTGCCCACACCACTTCGTTTTTGATCGATTTGAGATAAAAAAAAAAATTCTCTCCTGGAGATTTTCTAACTAACAAATTTTTCCATCTGATAAAATTCAAATATCCATCGAACACCATGTCGTGCCACGTCCAAAGTCACGTTATCTAATATCGCTGGCCGTACTGACAGAATTGAAATACTACTGAAACACAGTTTCGATGCTAATAAACTCGACGATGTAGAATAAAAAGAATTTAGTTTCGAGTTCTTTCGATCTTAACTTATCGCTTCGTCCATCTTCTTCGTTCGATCTTTAGAATTCGCGAGAATATCATCACGGCAACGTTCCAAAACTGCGTGTTTTCTTTTTTTCTGATTTTTTTCTTTTCCCTCTATTTCTTTTTTTTTTTTTTTCTTTTTTACTACCAGCATCGTTCCGCTTTTTTATGCCGCTCTTGCGCGCGTTTTAGAAAAAATAAATGTTCCGGAAGATCGTTTGATCGTTCGAACAATTAACCGAGTTTACTTCTAACGAACTAACTTCGAGATGAATTCGACACCGACCGTCACGATTTGTGGTCGTCGAATACTTTAGAAAAGAGTCATTTCGTTTTCCAAGAGCGAAGAAAGAGAAAAGACGGGTATAAATAAGTCGCAGACTCGCAGGAGTCATTTAACGAATTAACAATTTTAATCCGGGATTAGAATTTCCGACATTAGCATAAGCGGCCGTCAGTGAAGCTGAAAACTGGAAAGTACCCGTGAAAGGCGAAGCGTAGCTAAAGGAAGAAGTAATTTCATGCGATTCCGTAGGGAAAAGATGCCTGCCAGCAGTAGAAATATAAGAAGGCAGAGATGAAGAACAAGAGAAGCGAAGGGTAAATTAGCCGATTGCATAAATTAAATGCTTTGATCTAGCGTTGATCCAAGATGACGAAAGATAAATGTTTAATAAATCTCATGAGTTGCTTTTAAAAATTAGTTCGGACACAATCTCGAAGATAGAAATTATTTATAAATCAATTTATGTTCGACATTAAATTCGATGTCTGAATTATTGCAAAAGCACAACTTGACGTATTAAAACGGACCAATAATCATTCGTTGGCTTTTCTAAATAGATACGGATATAATTTGATTTGTTTGAATAATTTCGTTTAAATTATTATTTTAAATTATTATCAGATCGCGAGCATTTCGGAAAATCTAACTACACGCTCCACCTTGCAGCGATGCTTCGAAACGACTAAAGTCGATATTACAGCATTGATAACATTGTATCTTTCTAATCGTAATATTTATAAAGAATACATACGCTTAAACGAATTAAAATTTATCATTTTTCGGAATACCGAGAGCACAAGGAACTCTCCGTGGTCGTATCTAAAAAGTAAACGTTTCAATGCGATAAGCAAATATATTGTTATTAGATGTTTCGTTAGCAATGAAAAGGCAATTTAATGTTTTATCGTAAGAAACGTTCTATCTTATCAACTAACGCTTCATCCTTCAATATGAATTTCTTGCATTTCGATTGCGGATAACTTACCGGCGGTAGAAAACCCTTCTAAAATTCTAAGAACTCCCTGAAGACCGTCGAAAGGTTGATTATCTCCACTGTCCTCTTCGGAACGAGTCCACGATTGAACGATAAGTTTATCTTTAAACCTCTCCAACAACGATTTTATCTTCTCGCAAGTTTGTTCAGCTTCGATTCGTCGATTTTTCTCCTCCTCCAATGATATTCCTTTTTTCTTTATCTCTTTCTCCAAAGCCTCGTTGCTCGAAACTAGATTCGATAGTCGCAATTGCAAATCTTGCAAATTCAATTTGGACTCTTCGAACTTATCCAAATTATCGAAATCAAAGAGATCCTGTTCGACCTCGAATTCATATTCATCGGAATCTTTCATCTCGCGAGAAGATACGGTGAAATTCTCCGTCGTTTTTCTATCGATGAATACTCGGCGGGCAGTATTCGTTCGATTTGATCTTTTCTCACGAAACGTTCCATCTCTCTCGTATCGCCGATCCGATTTCTTTCTCGTCGAGATCCATTCCTCTTTTTCACCTTTCTTTTCTTTCAATATCTTCGTGATCGATCGTAAAATTTCACTCGGTATATCATTCTCCCTCAGATCTATCGTCGTTAATACTCCATTCGTTCGAAGAACTTCGAAGATAATCTCAGCTCCGATTTTAGTGATGCCACAATGCCTCAATCCTAATATTTTCAGCCAAAAATCGTTCTTCAAAACGTTCATCAATCGCCGTATTCCATTATCGTTCAACTTGTTATTTTTACTCAGTACAAGTGTACGCAATCCATAATTCTAAAATCATCATTGAATTCTTAAAAATTTTCATTGATAAATAAAAGAAAAGTGGATACCTTTTTTCTGCGTTCTTCGACATTCAAGTCCTTACAAACATTTTCCGAAATATTCGCATTTCTTTTCTTTAAATACAAAGATAACGATCCGACGCTTCTGCTTGTCAAACAGCAGGCAGAAAGATTTAAAGTCTTCAAATTTGGAACGTCTTGTAAAGCGTTCAACAACATGTCGCAACCTACGTCATCAAATTTTCATTTCAATCCATGAACGTATCTTCAAGCCTATTACGAATATCTACTAACCTGTATCACCGATGCTACACTTTGGCAAAGACAGATTTTCTAAAGTAATATTGTTAACGAAACCGTCGCACAATATACGCAAATATTTCGGTGAAAGCGGAATGCCATCGAGTATGAGAGACTTCAACGCCGAAGATTCTCTCGTGCAGATCATGATGGAATTCAGCAAACAACGTAGCAAGAAATTCGTATAGAGTATTGGTTGCTGTTGTTGCTCCTTTGCTCTGTATCGCCTTACACAAAATTTATTGTTTAAAGAAACTATACGTCTGTCGGATCGTCGATCGTAAATATAACGTTATTTTTATCTATCTTGCTTTTTATATATTACATCTATCTTGCATTTGTACATATAAATAAAATAGAATATTTAATGTAAATAAGAGAAAAACAATTGTAATTTAAAGGGGAAAAGAAATATTTATATAACCAGGCAGGCTGTCTTTCAAGTCCATCATTGTGTATAATTTATTCGCACTTTCAAATGCGCATAAATTCAGCATCTTCGTCAATCACTTTTTATAAAGATTCTTATCAAACTGCATCTTACCACAAAGTCTCGAGCTTTTCCTCATTATTAATCTTCTCTCGCACCTTTCTACGTCGTGACCGGCTATAGATCAAAATTTCCACGAGATCTCGATTCCTCGCGATGCTACCTATTATAGGTGACCATTCTTCGAGTCGTACACGATCGGCGCAGAGTCGCAAGTGCTTCTCACGGAGATAAGACTCAACGGTTGGCAGATGCTTTAAGCATCGTTCATGGCAGAGAACCTTATCGACGCGAGAGCTCGTTATATCGTATGATAAAATAAGAGGAGAAAGAATGCTCATTTTTTTTTCTTTTTTGAAAATATCATATAAACGGCATTAAAAACGAACCTTATAAACCTGCTCGAATCGTTCGCCCTCGTTCGTTTCCTCTTGGTCTTGCATGTTAACTTGCCTCGATGATCGACATTGGATGATGTGCAGCCCAACCTACCTATATATATATATATATGTATATATATATATATATCTACATATAGCCCAACCTATCTATACGTGTCTATCTATAGCTAGAAATGTCCTCCAAAATCAGTTCGAAACGGAAGTCACGAAATGAGTTTAAGCTTCCATTGTCAAACGACGAGAACGTAGCTTCTAGAAGGAATATCGATAATATCGATACTAATTATGTGACGTCGATTATGAAAATATAATAAAAAATGCGTGTCGTTTAATGTTACTATCAGGAAAAAAAGCTTTTATCATCTGAGCACGTAAACACTAGAAGGACGACGACAAACAAATAACTAGATATATGTATACTTATAAATATATAGTTAGTCACTAGATATACAAGATCTCGAGAAAGTGACATGGTTGAGAGAACAGAGAGAGAGAGAGAGAGAGAGAGAGAGAAAATCGAAACGAGCACTAAAAAATTTTTTTTTCAGTAATCTTTAGATTAAATGATTCGACGCAATAAAAAGAGTAACGTCGATGTGCGAATCATAGCCGCACGAACGCATACCAGTTTCTAACATACGAATAGATCGGCAAAAGAAAAATAGCAAGAAAGAGAAAGAGAAAGAGAGAGAGAGAGAGATTCACGCAAATGGGTGATAAGATCTGAGTAAAGATAACTTACGTCACGGAAATTCTAAAACGTACCCTAGACAAATAGTCGCTTTATATGATCGCCGGCTTCTTCAGACGTTTATTTGTCATAGGTAAATTGTATGCCGTTTCTTATTCTTTCTCTCTTTAACAAAACAAAGTTGCTTTCTTGAGACAATCCTTCGCCTATATATCGTTTGGCTAGCAAGGATAGTATCGTCTTTGAATCTAGTACGTATGGAAATCGAGAAGAAGGATCGAACATTTGAAATTCGAAAAACGTATCAAAGATCATCCGGCTGACCTTTCGAATGATAATCATCTATTCAAGGAAATATTTTCAATTTCTTATGGACATAACACTTAAGTCCGCACTTAAGATAATTTTCCATTAATCGAAAAAGCAGCTCCATTGAGAACTTTGCAAAATACACAATTAGATTAATTTCTAGCTTATATACATATATATATATATATATATATATATATATATATATGTATATATATATATATGTATATATATATAGAGTACGTATAGTAATGCTAACTGTAGAGAAATGATCCATTTTATTAGCTTTTTTTTCTTTTACTTTTACATAGTTAATATTTATTTACTTATTGATATAAAAGTATATACTAGATTGATAGAGTAATTCATGATAAACAAACTTGATTCTATCATTCTATCCGATGTAAGACAATGTTCCTATGTTTGAAAATACTATGTAGCACGATATAAAAAAGACAACGAAATAAAGAAGAAACATGCTGCCGTTACTCAATTTCTTACACAATCGAATCTAGATTTCCCAATGACGAAACATTTTATACCTTAATGACGTTTACAAAGAAATATCGAAAGATGTCTGATTGTGAGCTTATCGATTTTACGAAATTGCATCGTAGTGCAAAATAGGCGTAATTTGGAGTCTCTCTCTCTCTCTCTCTCTCTCTCGTTTTCTCGAACAAAGACGTCCTCGAGAAATCGCAAAGTTTAGTCAGTGAGTTCGAGGCCACCATGCCGTCTACAAGTGGGTTCGCCTTTATTAAAACTTGGCGCACACCTCGACACTATGCGATGCGTAACAATGCGCTACTCGCGATACTATAAGCGTCTCATCGATGGCTATTGGCGCCATCATCCTTGCAGTCTTCATCGTTGTCGTCTTCATCGTTGTCGTCAGTATGCCACCGTCACGACGCTGCTCAGACGTTTTTAGACTCCAAACAGATAGTCGATCCTCCGTCGATGCTCTAAAGTCGTTTCTTCCTTGAAAGCGAAGAAAACCGAGGAGAATAAAAAAAAAAAAAAAAACAAAAACGAAAAAAAAAATTGCGTTGTATTTCGTTCGATCGCGTCATAATTTACGCCACGATATGTTGTCTTCTTTTCAACGTAACTTTGCTGTTATTTATCGTCATCGTAGGCGTGCAAGATTAATCCCACGATGACGCCTTTTCTTCGTACCGGCTGATGAGTGTTCGATGTTTACACATTATCGCAAAGAAAGAAAAGGAAAAGGGAGAAAATACTACAATGAAGATGTGCAAAGACAGATAAGTGATCGAGTACTCGTCGATGTGCGTACACGTGTGCGAGTTTGTGAATTGAACATTGTTCTACGTCGAAGGAAAATAGTTAATATCTACATATAAATCTATGATTGGGGAATACAAATAGTGTTTGTCTGTATCTATTTAAGGAACTCCTTGATTTCCTTCCAATGCGAATCTCTAAACTGTCTTACTTACTTCCTTCTCTCCATTTATTTTCTGTATAAATGAGAATCGCTTTTCTACAGATTTTTTTCTTTTCACATATTTGCAAACAGATCTTTGTTCAAACGCTGATAAGACTGCATACGTTTCGTCTCGATAAGACACGTTCGAGTTTATATTCACTATGCTTTCGTATTGAAGTTCTATCTTCGTCGGAGAACGATAAGGCTAATAGTCGTGAACATTTTAAAAAGTTATTATTTACATCGATTACGGGAACTTGAAATTAAAAAAGAACATTAAACATTAGCAAGTACAAAGTCATCCACCCATCCATCTATCCATCGCGCGACTCTCTTTGATCTTTCCCCGTCATTCCTTTGTCAATCCTTAACACATACGCATTTCTATTTTGCTTGGAATCGAGATAAAAATCTTTCGAGATTCATCGAACGAAAGAAAATCGACGGAAAAATAACGATACAGATAAATAGTCAAACTGGCGGAGAACTTGCCGTGAAAATGGGATGCAAGTCCAGTGCACTCAAGTGCATGGGCCACAAAAGGAATTCGGAATCGCATAATGGGGCCAAGTTGGACGCGAAAGACTCCGCGATCGGTACAGGTTGGTGTATCGATTTTCATCGAACGAATCGTAAAACGGGGTAGAGAGAGAGAGAGAGAGAGAGAGAGAGAAAGAGAAAAGAAAAATGAAAAACGGTATAACCTTCACCAACATGTTATTGAATTTTCTTCATGCTATTTGATCACACTAATAATTCAAGCTAATTTATTCTTTTGTTTTTTATTCTTTACCGTCAAACATTCGTCGTACCTGAAAAGTATTTTGTGAATGAACGAACCTCCCGTAGTATTTATTAACAAAACTACTTTCAAATAACCTTGATACCCTTTCAGTTTTATCCCTCCCGTTTCACCTGCTTCGTAGAAAATTAGGCCATGTTATTATCGAGAAAGTTATTATAAAGAGTTCCTACCGGTCTCTTTTTTATTTCATATTTCGTGCTTCGTCGTGCCAATTATTTCGAAATCCAGTAATATAGATTACGAGTATCGAGTATCAATTTGAAACATAGATCGAAGCGTTAGGATAAATCCATGAAAGATTCGAAAAAAACAATTCGTACAAAAGTGAATTGCAAGCGATACCATGAGACGTATACATGCGAAGTGCTTTTTATTTTTTTATTTTATTTTATTTTTTTTTTTTTCTTTTTTTTTCTTTTTTTTTTTTTTTTTTTTTTTTTTTAACGAAAGGGAAGGGGAACTTTAGGTAACAGTAATTCTCCTTGACCTAGTCTACCAGAAACCATAGAATATGTTGGTCGAATTCCACGTTCATATCAATCAGTAACGCGCATTGTCTTTCACTTTCTATTCACTTCGACGTTTTGTCGTAGCTTTTTATCAAAACATACGACAAAGTTTCTTCCGTTTTTTATCAATCGTGCAAATCGCAAAATCGGTTATTTCTGGCTAATCGGCAAGATTGACACTCGAGATCCAGCTCTCGGCGATAAATTTCATTTGGACGTCACAACGATCAATCATAAATTTTTCAAATGCCGAATACACGGCGGGTGCATTAAACTCAAAGCCGCTTAAACGCACGTGCGTGAGCGTTGAACTTTCTCCGCTCGATATATCGCATCGTAATGCCGCTCTACGTGTTTTGATCTTAATATAGAATCAGAATGAAAAGTGCCGAGCTCGTGCTCGCCTTTGAACTTACTCGTGGCACATTTTCTAACGATCTCACTTTCGAACGGGATCCTTGGAAATAAAAATCTCGTTTCTTCATCCATGAGATTCGTCAACGACGCCGAAATTTAACGAAAGAGAAAGAGAGATAACCCACGACAACGACGTTCCTTGCAGATACGCCAGAATTCGTGAGAAAACAGGACAGCGGCCATTTCACGTTGGATTTGAAGGACTTTTTCTACGAAGAAGACTCAAGCGTGGAAATACGTTAGTCTTTTCTTTTTATTTCATTTTTAATCGAACAAAAATACGACGATTACCTTCTAATCGGTTTTAAATGTCGGCAAACTAAAATACGACATTGGAATTTCGCGCGATTATAAATAGTAGGATAAAAAAGTAAATATCAATGAAACTATAGACTATCATGAAGTTAGGGATCATCGTGCAAATGAGAGAATACATGTCCCTATTATCGTCGAATCGCGTGTTAACACTCGACACGTGCCTTACCTTAGGTAAAAAAATATTAATATCATTTACTAGAATAAAAGTCCGTGCGTGGTGTTTGAATGATTAGTAAAGAGAGAGAGAGGATAAAAGCGATACACAGTTGGAGAGGGTCGAACGAGTGGTCGCGCGTCACTCAAATTCAAGTGCACGAAGGTACTACGCTGTATAGTGTATGCTTCTATAGGATCGTATCGAGGTTTCTCCGACGACACTATCGCACATTACTTTTCGGGCCAGTCACTCTCGCCTGTAGAATTTGAACTCAAAGCGATTCGGTTCTCTCCGGCAGTCTCAGTCGTTGTCTTTGTGCCGCTTACAGAGTATCGTTCACCATGCGTTCCGCTTGCCGTACTATCCTATCCTATCGTCTAACAGTAGTAATCAGGGTAATAAGTATTTTATCAAATTAAACCTTCAATCTTTCTTACACTCGATAGATATCGTTCTCGCGAGGTGCCACCGAACGAACTAACGAAAATTCGACAGAGTTTCAACAATACTCGACGAGATATAAAACTTCGGGGAACAAAAGACGATCGAAGGTATAATCGAATGTATCGCTCGGAGATAATCAGTATCGTTAAAGAATTCCTCATCGGCATATCGGAGGACAAAGCCGTATCCGGATTGACGACAAAAACGAATCCGCTCGTGAATATGATATCCTTGAAATATTTGTCGAGATAACGACAAGTACCACCGAACGATCTCGTTCTAAAGAACTGAAACTTTTCTGTTTCTTAAGTCAAATAAATTATCAAATTTGTCGTTTAATTCGGCGATGGACTTTGTCTCGCTTACTTTCGTCAGAGTTCGCTAAGAAAATCTAATCAAAGTGAGTGTTCGAAGTGAAAGATCGATAGGACATGCTATCGATTTATTTCGAATTGAAAAGCCCCCGGGAATATCGATCTACGATTAGGCTATCTACGATTAGACGACCCTACTTTGCGTGAGATCATTCATATGGACGCGCCTTTGGACTCGTTTTATTTCTCGGACGAGGATGATAACTTGGACGATAAATTACTCACCGATGACGATGGTACGTAAATGCTACGTAATAGCCAAACTCGTATCACCTACGAGTGATGTATATTTTTTATTGTCAATCGGTATAATAAATCTATAGAATCACACAAAATGCCCAATGGAGACAGTTCTAAACTTTCTTCATATCGGCGATAAATAGAAAGAGAACGGACGTTGAACGGTGATAACTTAGTTATTGACATCATGACGGAATAATTCTATGATCTTAATATAAGTTCGCGTCTATCGGCACTCAAGATTTATCAAACGTTTAAATGATATATTCGTGGGTTACGATAGAATAGAACGATTATAGTTTTCGTTTTATTGATACAACTAATAAGTAATATTGATACTATAAGCACATAATGAAAAGTCTAAAATAGTATGGATTAATAATGACGTATTGCAAGACGTTAATGAAGTCTTAATAAAATTTCTTCTCGTTGACGAATGCTCCATCAACAATATACGATGTCGTAAAGATGTTCGCGAGATCGAAAAGTTTTGTAGAATGGTTTTATTGACCTCGTAGATCACGTATTAGTTACGACCAATTAAGTCGTTCCACTTTCGCTCAATTATCTTTAAACGCGGATCTATTCGTATACGAATAAACTTTACCGAAAGAAACTCGTTCGAGAAAGAAGCTGTGTATCTCGTTTAACCTCGTTGTTCTTCTTTTTTTATGGCCTATTGATATTTCAGTGCGATACTGATGATTGTAAGTAAGCGTAAGATTGCTTTCTCCCTCCCTCCCTCCCTCTCTCTCTCTCTCTCTCTCTCGTTTTATCTTCTTTCATAAGATTTACATAGGATTATCCTATCGATCGATTGACTTCTCATGAAGAAGAGTCAACAACTGTCATAGACATCGATTAATGGTTTTTAATTAAACCCGAGGACTAATGCCAGCACATGTTTTCAAAGAGTTTAAAAAGGTCGATCTTCGTTTGAAGAAGACGATAAGTGAATTAAATAGAAAAAATTATGCTTTTCAATCGACCAAATCTAATTTGTTTGACGCAACTTTGTTTAAATGTATTATTCATTAATGTACTTCTCCTTTTTTTCTTTTTTTTTTTTTTTTCATTCGGAATGATCTTGGATTATCTTGGATTATCATTAATTCCATAATTGATTTGTTTCAGAACGCGCGGACATGTATGATATCGTGGCGGAAAAGGAAATGCTCGAGGAAATACGTCGTTCTTTGGAAGAGGATGCGGATTATCCAGCGATAGTGAGTTGATCTTTTTCAATTGTACTACGTTATCGGCGCTACGTAAATGACGTATACGAATGACGTTTCGATTCTTCTCGTGCATTTACACATACGCACGCACCTTTAATCGGAGATAAGAATGTGAAGCATTTTACATGACGTTTTTTTTTTTAACGTAGGTAGGAAATAGGCAATTCACTGCGTGTTCATCCTCCGAATCCCTTATCAGTTATTGTACATATTGTCCGTATACCGAGTGTCTGTAAAAAAAAGGATCTTTGTTAGTACGAACGAAGATGATCATACCTTGGAATGATTTTCAAGGTATATAAAAAATATCTGGTCGATTGTCCGAAAGAAAAGAGAGAAAAAAGGATAGACCGAACGAAAGAAAGATTAAGCTTACGTATCAACGAACTCGTCTTTTAGTCGTCTAAAAACAAAACATTCGATTCTATATATAAACTTTGTCGGCTGCATTCGCCAAGAACGCATTTAGGATGTTTCGGTTTCGTTAAAAAGCGAGATACATTCGATGCCAATTGATAGAAAATAAAATTCATGAAAAATAAAAAATGATTATTTACAACGATTTCCTTTTCGTAAGATGAGAGATATTATCGGATGTACGTAAAATGCATTATCAGTAATTGTTACGAAGCTACACGAACATTTCATTGGAAGAAATTGCTTATCGAAGATAGCTCGACTTCTGTTTCTAACAATATCGTAAAGACAATCTTGTTATCCGATCAACGTTGATCAGTATCGTTACGGTTGTCCCTTAGAAACACTTTCTGCAGTTTCTAATCCTTATCAGTGTCACGCTGCATCGTTTCCTTTCCTCCGGAAAGATATTTCTTTCTAACATCTTTTAAACGAGTTTTAACGAATTTTATGGATTGTACATAGAGTGTGAACGATCGTTTAAAGGATGAATATCCCAAGACGATCGACTCAACCGATATTATACGTTTCTGGTTCGACCGAGGATTATAACAATAACAGTAATAACAAATCTTACCCGTGGTACTCGAGTCTCTTTGATGCGATATGTGGTGGCATGAGCTCAAAATGGTCGGTGCATAAGACCAAAAATCAAATGCACGATCTCTCAAGTTTGTCGAAGAACAGCTCAATACCGATAACGGTACGTCAATATGAATTAATATAAATAAGAAAAACGATTATAAATTATCTTCGAACGTAGTTGGCACTGTTTCTTGTTCGATTTCACGTCAAAGTTTATTCAGAGTAACCTGTGGATAAAGAAAATAAAGATGAAGGATTTAGAGATTGAATTTAAGGTGGTAAATGGATTTTCGTCGACTCCACGATCTAGAAGACGAACGATAATTTACAGACAGCTGAAATCGCAATATCTTGATAACGATTTTATAGGTGTATGTAATTATTTCTTGACGATGCGGCCTAATTGTATGAAGTACGTTCAAAATCGATTCCTTCAATCAATCGGACAGCCTTGCTTTTTTTCTTACAATAAATCTGACGTTTACTTTTTCTTCTGTTTTTCTTTCTTTTTCGTTTTTCTCTTTCTTTTTCTTTTTCTTTAATTTCCGACTCGTAAGATTGTTCCATTAATTCATTTTGTAGAAAGGACCGCAGGATATCGACTCGCATCTATTGACCTCAAGCGCTCCTGGGCTTATAAAAGTAAGCATTTCCGAAAATCAAGCATCGAACGAATCTTATTCGTATTTAGAGATTATCTATTAGCTTATTTAGTTTCATTTAATCAATATTTCGTCCTTTTTCCTTTTCCTGTAGATATTATTAGTTTTTAGCAAAGATGATCAGCAAATGGAAATTCTTGCAAATATTTCGAGGAGATTGGGCTGGAGCGTATCGGTGGCAAAAGACGCGGAAAAAGCCGTAGAAATCTTTCAAACTCGAGGTCACGAATTAGTGATCATTGATCACAGAGGACAACGAGCCGTCGAGGGCGATGCGATTTGTAGGTACGGGAAAATGCGATAAATCTTGAACGATACTGTACGTTATTCGTTTACTTTTTAATTCGTTTTGATTGATCGCATTCATTATTTCAGAGCAATCAAATCTAGTCCAGTTTATCACAGTTCCGTTATTATTGCACTCGTAAAAAAATCGTAAGTGAGATAACAAATCCTTTCTGTAATAAAAAAAGAAAACAAAAACCTTTTATTATTATTATTATTATTATTATTATTATTATTATTATTATTATTAAACTAATCAAGTATCATTTACAATAGATACTTTATGAACAGTGAGAAAGACGAGATCGTGACGTTGGATTTGTTGGAGAAAGGATTTTCAAGAGTAAGTTAATTTCGCTCTTTTGAAATAGAGTAAAATACGTGGAAAAATAGTTAATTAATTATTAATTAAATAAACAAAGTATTCGTATCTTTAAACTTTAGGCACTTATGGAGTGCTCACACGAGGGTATATTGATAAACGAATTAGTAGGAATTTATACCAGTTCAGTATTACCGAAAACACAGTTGGCGGCGGCTCACGCACTGTATTTGGCTCTTGACAGATGCCACGATATGGTTCACATAACCAACGAAAGAAATATCGTACAGGTATTCAGTCTTTCTCCAGAAAAAAATTATCTCAGTTAGTTCCTTGATCCATTCCGTTCGATCCATTATGCTTTTTCTTCTTCTCTTCCAGTTTCTAAACAAAGTGAGCGAAAAATTATTAGGATATAAAACGGAGGAGTTAGTAGGAAGAAATCTCGGTGAAATAGTCCATTATGAAAACTTTACTCTAATGGAGCAGCAGTTGAGCAAGGGCAGAGAGTTCGAAGGAAACATGAATTGCAAGAGGAAAAATAATCAAATGATAACGATCAATTGCAGAATAATACCATTTTGTATTACACCAAAGTTAGTAGAATTTAGATCTCCCACCCCCCCCCCCCCGTTTCCCTTGATCTTTTATTAATCTTTTAACCAATTAATAACTAAGACATTTGACATGAGTTAATATTCTAATATTTTCTTAGGAAGGCAACTCATTTTATATACGTTTACGATACGTTATATTTATTGGAAAATTCGGGCCCGTTGAGTCCGATCAACAGTCCTTTGCAACCAATGCAAAGAATGAGTATACTTTCGACCCGAAAATCGTCGGACGTGAAATCTGCCCTTAGCGAAGGTAAACTGGGTTTCACATTTAGTATCGTTTTACATTTACTATCAAAATTATTCATGGGTATTATTCGATATTTGTCTAAGGGCATAGACGATCAAGCTTGCAAAAGCTTCATAGTCTACAATTGGAAGCACCAATTACGAAAGTTATCACTTTGCTTTCTAACGCCATCACGGAAACGACGAATACCGAAACAGCCGCTCAGATTGACAAGGTAGAAATAAATGTCTTTTATTTCGTTTTCGATCGTATTCGCGAGCTTGGCTTTTTTTTCAGGCAATAGAAATATTGAAAACAACGGAATTGTATGTTCCGCATCTTCGAGACGATAAGGTTTACACCGATCCTGTCGCTACAGATCTCGTTGGAGCATTACTTTCGGTAACAGTTTCTTTTTTATTTACCATTTTCTCTCTCTCTGTCTCTCTCCCTCTCTCTCTATTCAGTATGATTTTAATTGTATTAATCGTTCTCAGGCTTCTCGTAATCCTTGGGACTCGAGAAGATCATCGGCAGATTCCGCTCGATTATCCAACATAAGAGGTATAAGCGTCGCATCTACAAGGGCCCACCCGAAGTCTTTTAGAGGACCCCAAGAGATCATGGAACTGTTGGAAAACAGTCTCGAATGGAACTTTGATATATTTAAGCTTGAGATCTTGACAGAAAAACGGTACGAGATTTATGTAATTCTTTTCCCTGTCAGTTTTAATTTTTTTCTATCATTTATGTAATATGATAGTTGAAAAATTATAGAAAAATTTCATTCTCATAGGCCATTAATCTTTCTCGGTACGAACATTATGAACATGTACGATGTACCGACTAGATTGGGCTGCGACGAAAAGGTCATGCACAATTGGCTGAGCTTAATCGAAGCCAATTACATATCGAGCAACAGTTATCACAATTCGACACATGCCGCAGACGTAATGCAAGCTACGGCAAGATTTATGCAGTCGGAGAGACTGAAGCAAATATTGGATCCGCTTGACGAGGTTGCTGCTTTGATCGCTGCTGCCACCCATGACATAGATCATCCTGGTCGATCCAGGTAAAGACGATCACGTTTGTCTCTTTTACACGCCGTTTCAAATTCCAATATCATGTCAACATTTGTCTATTTCGAATTCGATAGCCAATTCTTAAGTAACTCGAACAGCAAATTGGCAATCCTTTATAATGATCTATCGATCCTCGAATCGCACCATGCAGCGTTAACCTTCAAGCTATCTCTCTCGGACGACAAAGTGAATATTTTCAAGGTAAGTTACCTTCTACTACGAATTCTCTACGATAATTAATAATGAACGAATAAAGTATCATAAAATAGTCGACACCGTGTCTACATTTCAGAATTTAGATCGAGATACGTACAAGCTATTAAGGACTAACATAATTGACATGATTCTGGCGACAGAAATGACGAAACACTTCGAACATTTGGCGAGATTTATGAACGTCTGTAGCTTAAGAGTCGGAGAAGATCAACCGATGGAGGTAGGATGAATCTTTCGTCAAATTCGTCCTCCTGTATTAATAAAGTATTTCTTTATTTTCTTTTCTTTTTTTTTTTTGTTCCAGTACAATTCTGAAAATGTGGATGTGACGGTACTTTTACAGCCGGAAAATGTAATGATGGTAAAGAGAATGATGATCAAATGTGCCGACGTGTCAAATCCGACAAGGCCTTTGCGATCTTGCATCGAATGGGCTAGAAGAATCGCTGAGGAATACTTTAGTCAAGTACGTGCTGTCCCTGGAGTTTCTAATTTAGTTTCATTCAACTATCATCGATATGATTTTTTATAGATAAAAGATACAAAAGCACGTCCATACTTTTTACATCAGATTTTACTTTTATTAGAAAGAATATTTTTAGTTAATTAGCTAGTTATAAAATTGCCAATAAACTTTGTATTCAAGGTCTTTCCTCTTTTTTTTTTTCTTCAGACGGACGAGGAAAAAAAATTGAAGATACCAGTGGTAATGCCCATGTTTGATCGAATGACTTGTTCGATACCAAAATCGCAGATCGGTTTCGTCGATTTCATTATAAACGACATGATAGAAGCTTGGGATTGTGCGTTATCTATAATCGTTTCTCTTTTTTCTTTCTTTTTACATCTGACTCGAACGAATTATAATAAAACACTTATTTCTCGTAGCTTTCATTGACATGCCAGAAATGCTTACTTATATGCGACACAATTACGACAAATGGAAAGAATTAAACGTGAGTCGAAGTGTCGAATTATATTCGATCGACGATATTAAATAAGATCTTTACCTTTTTTTTTTTTTTCACAGGATCAGGGTGTAACGACGTTGCAGGATATCGAGAAGATTCAAATGCAATCGGACTTGAACATAACTAGGTTACCCGAGGAACGACGATGATGAAACGAACGACGTTTCTCTTTTTGAATTCTCCGTCCTGCTCACTTTCTTACTGGAAAACGAGAAACGAGTTGTTGAAAAACGTTAGACGGCTCCGATGAGCGATTGGCGTACGTCGTAGCGCATATTTATGCCATAAATTAATGCAGTTTATACGTTTCAGCAAGTATATGTTATATAAGAGAAAGAGAAAAGAAGAGAAAAAAAAAAACAATAAAATAAAAATGAGAAGAAGTTAGGTTTATCAAGATAAATACGATTCATAAGAACGAAATATTGCGTTCGGTTCGCTCCTCGAACGACGACTGAGCCGTACGGTCCGCTAAAAAAAAATCATCTTTTTGCATTATTAATAGCAACGAAAAGTAGCGTCACATCCGACGATTGTTTTATCGTAACAATTTCCAACGAGTTCGCTTTGCTTTCGCGTTTGATATCGCGTGTCTCTAAACGCGACCAATTTTCTTTCCGTATACTTGCAATCGCTTTAGACGTTAAAGTTTACTCGAAATTACGTGTCTTGGATCGATCGTTGAATTACGCAGGGAGTATTTTGGGGTCGAGCCGCAAAACAATAGGTGCAAGTATTGAAATAAGTTTGCGACAACAAGCGCGAGGGAAACTCATTCGGTAGATTCTTAAAGAAGAATGAATCGAGAGTTAGCCTTTCGTAATCGTCGATATAAATCCGATGTTGACTACGTGGTGAAAGTGGCGAGAACGCTTTTGACGCCGATTGGTATCTGGCCACTCTATCGAAGTGATAGCTTGTCTGACAAGATTAAAATGTATGCACAAATCAGCCTGGTTTTTACCTTGATGTGTTGCCTTTTGATACCTCATTTGATTTATACGTATTTCGACGCGGAAAAATTAACCAAAATGATGAAGGTTATCGCAGCCCAGGTATTTAGTACTCTAGCGATCGTGAAATTTTGGACGGTGATTATCAACAGAAAAGAGATTGGATATTGTTTGCTGGAAATGGAAAGGCAATATAAAGATGTCGAGTGCGAGGAAGATCGTTCGGTGATGGTAAAGAGTGCCAAGATCGGTAGACTCTTCACCATCGCTTATTTGAGTTTATCCTACGGCGGAGCTCTACCCTATCATATTATTATACCCTTGATAGCCGATCCAATTGTAAAGGATGATAATACGACGATGTTACCTCTACCTTATCTCAGTGATTACATTTTCTTCGTCGTCGAGACTTCCCCCATTCTCGAGATCTTTTTCGTCGGTCAAATCTTTGTCAGTAGTCTCATACTCTCGACAAATTGTGGCGTTTACAGTCTAATCGCAAGCTGTGTCATGCATGCCTGCTGTCTCTTCGAGGTCGTCCGTAGACAGATCGACACGATTTTCGAGTACGAAAATGAAAGTCTACATAAGAGAATATACAACATCATTGATAATCATCTTCAAGCGATCAGGCAAGTCTTTACATTGCTCTTATTTTTCCTACCTCATCTTTCCTCCTTGTTAATCCATGTATCGAATCCATAGGAATCCATGTTACAGGTACGCCGAGAAGATCGAACAGGCATTGAATATCGTATTTCTTTGTGAAATGGTTGGCTGTACCATTATCATATGTTTCCTCGAGTTTGGTGTCCTTGTGGTATGTACAAAAAAAAAAAAAGAGAGAGAGAGAAAAAAAAGGATTTTTTTACTCGCACATTCACATAGAGGAAGATTATAATTATAGATAAGAAACTAACTCAATGATTATTGATCGTGAGTATTGATAATTATAATCTACCCGTGGAAAACATTACATTCCTTTTCCATCTTCCTTACCTAAGTTCATACGTTTAATTTCAAGTCAAAATAAATTTTTCAACTTGCCAGGATTTGGAAGATAAAGAAACTCTGAGTATGATGACGTATGGCGTACTGATGACCTCGATTTTCGTCAATGTCTTTATAATATCATTTATTGGTGATCGCCTGAAAGAAGAGGTATTCACCTTTAAAAAAATTTTTATAATTCTTTTTAAATGTATCTTTACTTATTTCGCATTATTATCGAAAGAGCGAGCTGGTCGGCGAGTCAACATACTCGATCGAGTGGTATCGTCTTCCCAATGCCATTATAAGTGACTTGGTAATGATAATCATACGTTCTAGTCGGCCATCTCGTTTGACAGCCGGCAAGATATTTGATTTATCTCTTCAAGGTTTTTGTGACGTGAGTAGGTCTCCCTTACGTTGATAGACGAACCTGATTAAATCTCTATAGATGATCGTGCTTTTTCCCAGGTTTGCAAGACTTCAGCTGCTTACCTGAATTTTCTCCGAACGATGGTTGCATAAGATTCGCAATAAATTCTGGAAAATGAAAAACATCGGAAGGATTTAATATCTTTTTTTTTTTCTTCGAGTCTTACAATTAAACGACGCAATTATCGTTCGACACAAATAAAGGTGTCGTTCCGTTAAATTTATATTCGTATAAATGTAATACGTATATCCGAATGAATGGTATAAAGGTTAATAAATGTAGAACAATGGACATTTGAGATATCGGATGAATTTTCTCGAAGGGATCGTCAAAGGGAGAAGAAGAGAAACGAAGTTTATAATAGACATAGAAAATGACAGTATCACGATAAACTTTCCTTTTGAATTTTTTAATAAAAGCACTGAAATAATGCTTCTATTCGTTCTTTCGATTCTTTCTTAGTTCGGAAAATCATTCGAAGGAATTAAAGAAAACGTTAAAGTTTAAGCTTCATGAATTATCGAACAATACGCAAGCGCACGATGTTGTAATTTTTGTTCCGCAGGGAGTATTTTAAACGCAGCAATTTTCTCGATAGTTCAGAAGCAATTCAAACGCAACCATCTTGCAACTCTGTTAGGGTTATAAAGAAAGAGAAGTAGCTAAAAGAAAATATCGATAAGGAATCAAAACTTTGTTATGACCGAAGGGAATAAAAATTACAAAGAAGACATAGGGTATACGACCGAGTTGTGTGACTACTTGCTTCGTACACTCGGCATATGGCCATTTTCGAAGAAGAAAAAGGAATGTACGGAAAGTCTGCTAAAGCTTCTCGTCATTTTATTTAGCTATTCTCTATTGGGTTTCTTCGTTGTACCAGCTGTACTTCATCTGATCTTGATCGAAAAAGATTCTGGCTCGAAGCTGAAAAAATTACCGCTCATCTTTTACAACGTCATTTCGATCGCGAAATATAGCGGATTGCTCTTGCAGGAAAATCAAATCGCTAGTTGCCTGAGACACGTCGAGGAGGACTGGAAAAGTGTTAGAATCGAAAGTTATCGTGTGATAATGAAGAAAAAAGCAAAACTCGGAAGACGATTGCTTCTCATTTGCGGTATTCTCATGTATAGCAGCGGTGGTTTCAATCGAGTTTTTCTACCCCTTTCTAGGGGCAAGATAGTAACCCTTCAAAATATTACGATCAGACCTCTTCCCTGTTCAGGATACTATGTCTTCTTCGACGATCAAATCAGTCCTAATTATGAGATCGTCTTTTGCCTGCAGTGCGTCTCCGGATTGGTAACTTATTCAATTACCACAGCGATCTGTGGTTTAGCGGCACTTTTCGTCATGCATGCTTGCGGACAACTCGAAATTCTCGTGAAATTAATCAAAGGTATCGTTAAAAAGACAGATAACGGAGAAGATCAAACGAATAAACTGATTTCTATAACGGTCGAGCATCAAATTAAAGTACGAAGGTAGAAAAACATCGCTTTATTACCACTTGATCGTAATTGTTTTATTGTAGTAGTCATATACGTTTTGATAATTAAATGTTAATTATTGAATTTATCTAATCGTAGTTTTTTGCAAACGGTAGAAGTTACGATGCAACAGATATGTTTGTTCGAGCTCATGGGTTGCACCTTGACCATGTGTTTCTTTGGATATTGTTTAATTACGGTACTCGTGTTAATATTTTTTACTTTTCTTTCCTATCTAACACGAATTATCTCTAACACGATTTTAATAATTCTAAAGGAATGGGGCAACCATAACCCGACTAGTATTTGTACATACTTCGTCGGGCTTTTATCTATAACATCTCATATTTTCATGTTCTGTTTTGTCGGTGAACAGCTTACTTTACAGGTAGATATTTTACTATCTCTCATCTACGTACGTATACTAAAAGATTTTTTTATAAGAGTATATATATATAACTCTTAAAGTAATTGATAATGATAGGCAGAAAAGGTGGCTGTAACATCTTGCATACTTGATTGGTATCGTTTGCCAAATAACAAGGCCAAGAGCGTCATTTTAATAATGGCTATATCTCATTGTCCCATGAGAATTACAGCAGGAAACGTAATAGAACTATCTCTTCAAACTTTTGGTCAGGTATACAAACAGTTTAACAAATTTTTCTTATAATCCCTGATATTGTTAATTAAATGTATCTCGATTATAGGTTATCAAAACAGCAGCAGCATATTGCAATATATTACGAACAGTAACTTAATCATTACTTTTTCAAGTAGTAAAAATTATAAAATGTATCTAAAAAAAAAAAAAACGCGATACGTAAGTGTTTTTCATATTCATACAAATAATCTTTTACATTATAAGTTGTAAATAATTGTATCACGATTCACTTTAAATAAATCTTTTTATATACTGCATGTAAGCTTTTCGATATATAAAAAATGTTTATTTGCAGACATTACAAAAACTAAAGGAATATATCGATTTTAATAGTACTAATAAAAGTGATTCGTAAAAAATGTAGACAGGGATTTTATAAAGTTTTCTGAAGTATATATGCAATGAAAGGGTTGCGCTTCTTTATAGAAAACTCTATCTACAATACTTTTCTCGTTCAATATTTATCGCACTGTTGTAATCGATGTTATGTAAACTTTTACAAATTCCCTATCTCTTTTATACTACGTGTAATTTATCTGTGGTTTTATCTGGGCGGCCTATGATTGATATGTATTCATAAAAGTCCTAAACTTTTTATATTTACCATGTACGAATAAAATTCTCTTCGTTAATTGAAAATAAATTATTAATATAAAAATGAAACAGTATCTATGAAATAGTTCATAAATAATTCTGAATGTAGCTATCGAATTTAATCGATGAATTACAATGTCTACGAAATAGTAAGGCATTAATTCAGTGTCTCTACAATAATTAATCAATGACTTACCGACTTACCAACCTTATCGACATTGCTTACTCATCGAAATAACCAGCTAAGCGCAATCATCAACTCAATGAAATTACCAGTTACCGGTATTATCGACTTTTTTGCCTTAGAGTTTACTGATCATTTATCTACAGATATATTATTAATGATTTTTATTATAAAGAATAATAATTTTATTAACATCACGTTCTTCTGAATTACATTTGAAGAATTTCATTTCAATGTTTAGAGAATTAATTTCTGTGACAGGAGAATATGATGTCAAAAGAAGTGGTAGGATTTTTCAGATAAGGTTTTCGGATAATTTGCACGAGCAAGGAGTGTACAAAATATTAATCATGTGTTTATTATAGCTAATCAATGTTTATTTTAATCTTTATATATATATATATATATATATATGTCTGTGTGTGTGTGTGTGTGTGATAATTCGAGTTGTTTTTTTGTATCATAATTTTTGTATTACATTATGCCAATATTTTTCATTATACAATTTCAAACAATTCGATGATTCGATGTCTTTCTGATCTACATTTATTTCTTACGACAATATGTATTAATTTGTGTCATTTATATTATTTTTATATGTTTCATTTCGTTCTATACATTTAATTCAATATTATATATGTAAATTTCATGTTTTAATATTTTTGATTAAGGATTAATATCGATACGTCTTGCTTTAAGTATTGTTATATTCTTTTAATTTCATTCAAGCAAAATATATATTTAAAAACTAACTTCAAACTCTTTTTCAATTAAATCGTTTTACGTTTTGGAAAAAATCCCTTCGATTTATTCATATATAATATATAATTTATATAAAAATCTGCTTGTAATTAATTCATAATAGTATAATTAATATGTAATACAATTTATTACATTTGGGGAATAATCTTTAGATTTCATTTATTTGTAATTATTCTATAGTATTACGTTGTGTAAACTCTACAAATATTTTTCGAATTTTTTTTTTTCGTTAAGTAATACATTAATAAATCGATCAATTACAATGTAAAAATATTTTAATATAATTTTAGAAATCTTTTTTTGTTGTATCTTTCTTATTACAGTCCAATCACATTATTTCTTATATCTATTTTTCAGGTAATTCGTTATAGAATTTTTTTTCAAAGTAAGAAGTCTTCTTCATTTCTCGTCATTTCTTCATACTTCAATCGTCAAATTTTGTAACATTTAGAATTTTCTTTTTCTTCTCTTCTGATCGAATATCCCTAAAAAAAGAACAAAAAAATCATTATGTACACATTTATCAAGTATTCAAAATATATTATTGACATGTAAGATATACATTATTATGTAAAATACCAACCTGTATTAATGAGGAAATATTTTGAGGAAATATTCCGCAATTCATTTATACTTTTATTATTTCATGCCTATTGGATGGGAATTGATTACATCTTGTTGAATTTATCATTATTTATATCATTGACATTCCATAATAAATTATCGTAAATCAATTTATACAATTTGAGCATCATAGTGTTCCAATTTTTCTATTTAATTCTTTATATAATTAATTATTTCATATATTATATATATTATATATATATATATATACACATGATTGTGCAGGTTAGAAGATAAAATTTTTCTCATTATTGTTCCTTAATTGTATCATATATGTACAATATATGTAACATCGTTCTTTTTTTTCTCATCCATTCGTCACTCACTTCGTCCGATGATATCTGAAAACTCAAATCTTCCAAAAGTAGAATCCGAGAAATATGCAATAGTTAATAATTTAATTATTATGTTTATACTATTATACTGGTTTAATAACAATTAATTCGAGTAAGTATATCACATGAAATTTTTGAAAGGCCAAAAACATGACAAGTACGTAATATGATGAAGAAATATTTTAAAGTACAATTTAAAAATAGATAAAAGGAGATAATAGAAACATGAAAATAGATTTGATATACATATGAATATGTAAAATATTTAAAAAGGGAGAAAGAGAGTTGTTCACGAAATAAGAAAATAATAGAATAAATTAGAACATCGCAGCTCTTCAGTATATTTCTGATAAACGAGCCTAAGATTTTCAATGATTTTTTTTTGTTTCCAGCCTAATAAAATATGAAGAAAAATGGCCAAGAAATGTCAATTTATATTACATAAAGATGTTTAGAAGAATGTGTATATATGTTCACTTATGTGTATATATGTATGAATATATATATATATACTCTTGTAACGAACCTTATTCATTTAATCCTAAAACAGAATTGTTTCGTTCTTTTGCTCTTGTAGAATTTAATTATGCATAATTCTATTTGATATTTCTCCTCGTAAATCTTTGCATATTATTTATTGTCAAACAATCGAATATAGTTTCGTAAGGGAAACAAAAATCAAAGAAGTATCGACCTTCCCTTTCCGAATATGTGAATGTAGTTAGTATAATAAGCCTCGAGACGATAAGAAAGAAAAATTATTCGTTGATTTGTTCAATTTGTAACGAATCATCAGTGAATTTCAATTAGGATATCCCTAAATTTCTCACCTAAAGATACAAATAGTTGTTTTACTTAAAAAAAAAGAATGGACGATGACATAGCTAGTCTTAATTACGATTGCAATTATAACCTTTACCTGGCCAAGCGCCTGGTCATCGACATGAAGAGATTTCGCGGTATTCCTTTTAATTAATAATTATTACTCACGTATATTAATTAAAGTGGAAAATCTACGTGTACACTTATTATACGCTTAGTTTGGAATTTTTCGTATTAATTACTATTTTTCTAAACATCCGCCATATAGCCTCATTCCATATAGTTATATAAATATAGCTTTGTCTGTCAAAAACTCGCTTTTCAAAATTTATTCTAAATATGATCTTTTGTTCCTATAATTCTTTAAATTTTTATTAAAAGAATCTTATTACTTCAGTAACATTAATACATTCATAAACGTATTATGACATCTCTGTGAAATTTAAAGCATGTTATATCTAATATCATTGTATTCATTATGTAGTATTTAATGTTATCTTTTATATGTTTGTGATGTACATATATGCGTCAACAATTCATTGCGATCATTTTTTTTCTTTTATATTATACATAAATAATTAATTATATTTACGTTTGTCTGCAGATCCCTTTAAAACATTTTTATATTCTACGCTGCGATATTGATCCATTATAGATCATCGATTTATTGAAAATTTACCTACTTATTTCGCTTTAGATCGGCAAAACGCAGTAAAATGGTTACGTTTCTTGATGAATACCAACCACGATATTGCAGCAATGCGACTTAGAAATGATTTTATGCATTATTTAGTATTGAATCTTCAAGAAAGTCAATTGAGGCCACCTTTCGACAAACCACCGCCTATTATCGAATGTCTTACGGATATAGCCAGATTCATAGTCAGTGTATTTTATTAATTGATTTCCTTTCTTTTTTCTCTATAATCATTTTATATATATATATATATAATAAATGTGCATAGTGTATTTTTGATGTTGAATATATTTGTAGCATAAAAAATTGATAGAAAAGAAGATTAACTTGGAATTTTTTCAATCGGAAGAGATCAGATATTCTTTATTTCCTCGTTACATTATTAATTTAATATTTTGCAATGTTTGACAGATATCTCGTGTATAAAACAAATGTATCTTCTAGAGTGATAAAACTTGTCCAATTTGTGCAAAGGGTATGACTCTTGTAATAAAATTGTAAACGCTTTTTGTCATTTAATCAAATTTCATTTATTGCAACTAGTTCGAATGTTCATTAACACTTGTTAGTACTTATTCGATAGAGGATCCGATTTTTATTTAGATTTTCTAATCTTTTTTTTATTTTGACTTTTTAATAGATTTGTATTTTGATGTCAGATAAGTTTCGTTAATTCAATAGGGAACATTTAAATTTCTTATAAATTATATTTTCAATCTGATCAGAAAATCACGTAAACAATTTTTATAGTGTTTGTCGAAATATTTTAGCCTGGCAAAATCGACGTTACTGACGATGCATTGGACTCATTAATCAATTTAGAGGATCTGGCTGAAGAGAAATCAATGATAATGTCATTATCGCCAGACGATGGTGCTTTTTTGACTTCTCAACCTGTACCTCATCACGGTTCCTTTTGTTATTTGGCTATTACTACGAAGAAAAGGGAAAGTTAAGAATAGGAATCGTCGTTATATCAATTTCTTCGATATATTCTTTCATTTTATTCCCCCATAACTCATGTATCTTCTTATAAAGTATATTTTTTTTATATGAGGTATATGTTTTATCTTTGAATATTTCAAAAATAGCATAGTTGTTTTAGATTCAGTTTTTTGTTTTATTTGTTTTTCTCTTTGCTCTTTGTAATTTCCTTTAAAATTGTAATATTTCTTTCTGTTATTTCTATAACTCGCTTATACGATTTTCTATTTCTTTTTATACGTTTAAAAAATATTTCATCGAATGTTAGTAGTCTTATAAAATGTAACTTTACGCTCCCTTTAAGCGAATATAAATTGGAAAATATATAACAATTCGGCCAATTACAAAAAGCGTATTGGTTTATCTAGACACTATATGATTAGCTTATCATTAGTTTGCTCAACTTTTTTTTCTCACACAGTATCACATTATTAACATAACAATAATGGCTATGCTAATATAATAGAATAGATTAGATTTAGCATATGGTCTATTAGGCTTCTTACCTATATACACGTTATCTCAATTTGCAAACACTATGAAACAATAAGAAATAAAATTATCAGATTGTAATATACCGGCGGAATGAAAACAAAAGATCAAATATTTTATGGATATATAGTGCCTTCGATCTTTATTCATAGGCATGCAAACAATTCTGTGACTTTGGAAAATATGTGAATTATATATACACACACGAAATATAAATAGTAAAGCGATTAAAAACTTGCTTTGCAATTGATTTATGCCTTTTATTTTTTTCCAGATTTATAAATATTTAAATATTTAAAACAAAATGAGTCCAAATGGAGATAATCAAGTTGAAAAAGAAACCTCTATAAAATTCGTTGTATTTGTTTCTTTGATGAAAGACGTGATATTTAACAAGCACCGTCCTCGAAAAATTGATACAGTAATAAAGTATTGTATCAGTGTATAACTTCATACTCATGCTTTCGAAACAGTGATCATATTTAAATAACAAATTACTTGACAAATTTTTATGTACGTAAATATTCCAAAGTAATATTTGTAAATTTGATCATTACAATGACGGACGATTATACTTTGTATTACTACTATGAAAAATTGATTGAAAAATCTTTATGAATCCCTTCTATTTCTTTATGTTATCTTATATCAGTTATCTGGACAGAATATATATAGTATTGTTCATGACGTGTCTTTTTCTTATCGCTCTCACGTGTAGACGAATCTCTAAATAACTTGGGCATATATCAATATAAAATTATCATTTGCCATTGAGATATGATCAATTTCTTTCGTAATCAATATGTACAACACATTATCGATTTTATCGATTTTCACGTAAACAAGCGACACATCTATCGTCGTTGCATGCAAAAAACGAAAGTCGTGCAGCGTCAATATAGGAATGGAGTATATTTGTTCACTTAATCCAAAAAAAAAAGAAAAAAAAAAAAAGAAATATAAACGACGCGACATTTTTAGTCGCGTTAATTAGAAATAACATTTATAAGATTACGTGCAGCTTGATAAATATTATATATCTAAAATAAATACTCATTAAGAGAACTATAAATTGGCAGATGCATGTTATCAGCATGTTAATATTAGAAAATATTTCAACGATCAATACTAATTCTAAATTCTTTTTTATCGAATAGATACGAATATAAATATAATAAAGAAAGTGGTTGTAATTGTTACTTGACTTGACAGAAAATTATTTTGAAATGTATGTATGTACATGTATGCAGATATATAGTATAATGTAAAACACGTCAGAAATTAAATTATATACGCGGAAATATATGATATGTATATATATATATATATATATAATATAGACTACGAAATATCGGAGAGTAATAATTTACACAATGGTATCGAAATACAAAAAAGATACATGCAGATCGAAGAAAAACTGCAGCATGTTATCTCGAAAGATAAATCCTTTCTTTTATATTGAGAAAAACTTTATACGATTTGAAAAGATATTTCTACACGAATATAATACAATATAATATTGATCATCCGTGAAACAGTTCTACGATGCTTCCAATTGAGATTAAATATTTTTCTAGCAAGTAAAGAGGATGGAAGAAACATCTTTTAACGCGCGCGACAAAATCCTAAATAAAATAGCAAAATTCATTTCAATCGAATATCCCCAAAAAAAGGAATTGATAAGTGAACTACTTTCAATCTAAAGAAATCGATAAATAAAAATACTTCATCGAAGTAAGCCGTGTAAAAAAAAAGAAAAAAAATAAAATAAGAAAAAATAATTAGAAGAGAAACGGTATTCTCCCGGGCGTTAAACCAACGACGTCTCAATGTTACGTACAAATTGGTGCTACGTCGGCACGAACCTGAACGATGAATATATCAATTTGTACATTGTACTCTTTCCCTCTCTTTCTCTCTTTTATTTTCTTCTAATCTATATCTGTATTAAAATCGCAGCCTAACGCTAAACTGCTTTACTTTGTCTTTTTTTTTTCCGATCGACGTGCTCCTGTACTTTGCACGACACAAAAGCCGAAGGTTTTTACGCACACGGTTATCGTCCGTTTATTATTTCACACGACAAACTTCTTTGAGGAAGTATACTTTTTATATATAATTTTCGAATGAAATATTATATCGACCAATTAGAAGATCAATTGAATTCAATTCATGAATATCAACGAATCGACACGCGTTATACGATAATTTCTTCTAGTTTAGTAAATCTGGAGTTACGCGGGAGACGGACGGGGTAAGAATGTTTAATTGACGACTCTTTTCTCTAATCGATAAATAGACTTGTAAGAAGAGTGGATAGCGAAGAAAAACAGGAAAGATAGAAATATGAGAAATTGTTTAAACGAAGAGTAAAAGAAAGATTTAGACAGAGTAGATAATATATATATATAAGATATACAGAATGGATATAAGTGAAAGGAAAGCAATGATAGATAGCAAGTCAAATAGATAGAATAGATAATGTATAAGATATATAGGATATTTAAAAAGGACTTAAATGAAAGGAAAGCATTGATAGATAGCAATTAGAATAGATAGAGCTAAAAATAGGAAAGATATTATAGAATTTAGGAATATTGCAATAGATACAAGATAAATAGGAAAGCATAATATAGGATTAATTAATTAACAGATACGATAGAGATATGAGAATCTAGAGAAAGAAGTGACGGAAATTGAGAAAAAAGTATCTAAAAGCAAGTAGTAATAAAGACGAAATAGACAAAAAGCTAGACAAAGAGAAAGCAAAGTATCGATTGTAGAAAAGAGCAAGTATAGAAGAAAGTAGAGATTCGTCAAAGAATATCCTTTTTTCTTTTTTTTTTTTTTTTTTTTTTTTTTTTTTTTTTTTTTTTTATATAATAATAATAATAAGTATACAAAATGTGAATGTTGACTATTGAAATTGATGGATATATTAAAGGGAAGAATAGAATTGGAATGTTTTTTCATTCTCTCGCGTGATAGACTTTTTCGTAGATAGATAAAGGAGTCTAACAAAAAGAAGAGAAGCAAGAGCAAATAGTTTTTGTATAAAAGTTAGAGTGAACGAAAGGATAGCAAAATAGTAAAAAGCTGAAGGAAAAGAAATGAAAGGAAAGAAAAAATATGAGACGAACTGTACGGCAGACAGACTTATTCGTTCTCACGGAACATTAGAGATAGCGCAAGGACAGCAAACCTGCAATTAAATTCCCCTCTCTCTCTCTCTCTCTCTCTCTCTCTCTCTCTCTCTCTCTCTCTCTCTCTTTCTCTTTTCCTCTTTCTGACTCTAACTCTTTCCTATCATCATATATTGTCCCCTACGTACATACATACATATAAAGCTACGTAGATAGAGTTACGTATAAGTGAAAAGGAAGTTAAAGCGCGGAACGATTGGCTGGCTTGGCAATTCTAAAAATACAAAAGCAAAGCTCGCCTTCTGTTGAGGATGCGAGGCGAGCACGGGGTATACCAAAGGGGCGACTTTGTTGAAAGTGCAACGACGATTTTACGAAGTTTCAAGAGGCGTGGTAAAAGGGATAAATCGCTCGTGATCCGCATTCATAACAAATGCGCCGTTGAAATATGAAAAGGAAAGACGTCTCGGACGTCGGCTATCTCGCGCTTTTTAAATATTAAGTTAAAGGAGGTATTACTCTCACCCTCCTTCTCCTACCATGTCTTCCCTAGACGATCGTTAAACAGGCGCGCGCATCTTGTCTTTACATAGTTCGTCCGTACTGTGTCTATAGACGCTCCGAGAGGGTAAAGTCTATAGACTACGACGGAAGCTCGAAAGATTGGATTCTCGACTGTGTCATATATCGTGTCAAAAGCGTAAAACAGGAAGAGAAAATTAAGACTGACCGCGATCGCACGGATCAAACATTTCCATTTTTACTTCTACTTGAAAACGGAGAGAAAACGAATCGACAACGACGAGGACAATCGAATCACTAATTTTATATCCAGCAATTTATTTCACACGATTACTCATCGATAAAAAAAAAAAGAAGGTAAATATTCGTAAAAGATTTGTTTTATCCGTGCTTAAGATTCCTATTAATTCGCTCACTTTTTCTTGTCTTTGTGCGACATAACAGGCATGTGTACTTTTTTCCAAATTTTGTATGATTTTTTGCTACCTTTCCTTTGCCCATAATTATCGACGATCCGTCATTGTACATACCTTAAATTGCAAGTAAATTTTAGTGTACTGTTTCATGGAAGATAATCGTCATTAGATTTAATGCTTTTTCTGGATGTCGTGCTTTTTAAATCTGTCTAGAATCCTATCTACTCAAGTACTTATGTATCTGTTTTCAAGCTTCTCAAACGATCAATGATTCAAACGTTTTTTATCTGAAAGCTTTTTCCTCAACTATCGCTTAATGTTTTATTTTGACATTTTCTCTTCCCTTTTCTAACAATACGTATTATTACTTCACATGAGATTATTTCTTTTTTTTTTGTCGTAACTATTACTCGTCTGCGTATTTTATTTTCTCTTCTTCACAGAAAGAATTTACAACTTTGAATGTCTTTTTCAACTTTAAAGTGTATACTCTTAAATATTTCTTTATCACATTAGAATGGTATTTTTAAAACGCTTATTTGCCTTGATAATCTTTGAATTCTCTCTTGATATCTTATTTTCCAGTTTACCATGTATTATAATTTTTACCCATAACTTGTTTTAGAAAAATTACAAATCTTCTTATTTATTCATATAAAATCAATCGCATTAAATATTTTCATCGATTTAAGAAATAGTGCATTTTCTCAGCTTCATTCATGCTTATTAGTTTATTCCGATGCAATTTAAATTATTTTTCTAAACTTTATAATAATCATTTGTATGTGAATTTCAAACTTTTGTTTATAGTCTCATGTTATTACCTTTTCCAGTGTTTTTTACTTGAAGAAATACCTCACAATTTTACAAAGATATTTTAATAATTTATTAAAGAAAAAGACTGTATTCTTCGAAAATGGCTTCTCACTTGACGATCTTGATCATTGTTTTGACAAAATTATCGTCATAGAATTGTCTCGAATTCGTTTATCGAATATATAGAGTTTTTCTTATAACTCGTAAAGTGTAATAAATTATTCGCATAAACGGCTCATTTATCATCATCGCACACTTTTCTAAACGATGTATAAGTACTTGTAGAAATATAGAATATGATGCTAACATTTCTACAAATATATATGTACCATCTTTAGAATTCGCAGTATGCTCAGCAGAGCCTGTTTATCAATCGACTAATTACACTGCAAAAAATTTTGTTTTTAAGATAGTAAAAATGTTACTAAAATTACACGGATATTTTTCTATACATTTAATTTTATCTCTCATAAAACATCGTTATATCTTGTCACGATAAACTACTATAATATTTATAAATAGAATTTGATTCATCATATTAGAATATATAAAAGCAATGAGAAGCATTAATAACACACGTTGCATAATACATAAGAAAAGAATTTAAAAATTTGTATCATAGAAACGCTATAGCCGTAGTTTCATTAAAATTTTAATATTATAAAAGTGATGGAAAAATTTTCATTGTTGCGACAAAACAATAATCATTAACTAATTCTTTATATCTTTTATAGGAAGATGTGTGCTTGAAACCTCTAAGTTACTATTAAAAATTCAACAAACCAATCCGAACGCATATAAGGACAGACATGGTAGAGGTAAAATAACAAGAGACGATAAGAAATAAGAAATGTAACTTTTTAAAGCTTATTATATTTTCTACGCGTTATATACTGTGACTCTATCAAAGAACTTTGTAAATGGAAATAAAAATTTTCAATCATACTTTCAGCTGTTCTCTATATTTGCGCATTCCAACATTATTTTTTTAAATAGATATATATCCCACCTCAAATTAGTTTTAGATTCACTTTACGTTCATTGTACGTTCATAGGAAGTATATTAAAAAAAAAAAAAAAAAAATTGCTTATATACATACGTATATTTTTGTTTTGTTTAAATAATTTCAAAATAAAACTTTTCATACCTTTATTTCACCCATTAAAAATTTCATCTTCCTCTGGATTCCCCTCAATGATTTTGATCATAGGACGTGTACAAGCTTCAATGATACATTTATTACATATGTATTATTTGGGAGCGTAAAGTTCAAATGTCTATTTGTTTTATAGGAAGGACGATTGGTTGAATAATAAATAAATAAAAAAATAAGAATACTCGGTTATTTATATCTGATTTCACTTTATTGTTTTTCTCAGCCAGTAAAAGAGTTTTGGATTCTAGTTTTGAACGTAGCACACATTGATATATTTTTATATAAACATAGCCGAAAACTCGTCTATTTTAGTAAAAATTTCATGTAAAATCTTTCAGGAGCGTACAATAGATTTGTATTAAAGAGATGAGAATCAGTATTATGTATAACACACACTGTAGTAGTAGATACACATCTACACGTTTCTATAGACCTACGAGATAATTGGTATCGCTATAAATATTCTGGTTATACACATCGTACAAACGGTTAGTACCAATCCCACAGTTATAACAAAATGATGATAAGAATTCACGATTATCGTATTCTAAACACAAGCAGCAAAATGATGTATACTACCGTCAAGCCATCAAGATATATAAGAAATCATTGACGATTAAATCGCAAACTTTATAGCTGATAATAATTATTGTTTCATGTGTGCCTTATTTGGTTTGTGTACATTTATAGATAGATAGATATATACATATAAGTATTTATACATAAGTATATATAAATTTACTTATATATATATGTATGTATGTATGTATTAATGTATAAGCACGTCACGCAGTTGTCGTATAACGAGCAACATGTATTTAAAAAGATAGATAGATATATACATACAAGTATTTATACATAAGTATATATATATATATATATATATATATATATATACACACGTATGTATTAATGTATATGCATGTTACGGAATTGTACAACGAACAACACACTACCGGGTTTTTGTTCTTTTTCTTTTTTATGAAAAAACAAAATCGTTTTATCCAGTAATCCAACGAGACATTTAAGAGTTTATCTCTAGACGAAAATACACCGAGCTTTTTCTGCTAAAGTCTAATGCGATATTCGTGAGTTATTCGTACAAGTATAGTATCATATGTTTGGAATTAATATTACCAGTCGATTATGCATATGTTAAACTAATCACTTAATCCAGCCTATCGTTACAACTATTACCTTGTTGAACGATATTATAATATTCTATTTCGAATGCTCTCTGTGTGCGTGCGTATGTGTGTTTTGTATGTGAGTATGTGTGTATGTGTGTGTGTATTATTCGAAGAAATGCAAAAGCAAAGATATCATCATTACTTGAGATCTTATCATGCAATCAACCAGTGCTTCCCGCTTTTTTATTTAGCATAAAACGGGCGAATGTTTTGATGGGTAAACTTTCAATAGTTTTTTTTGTTTTTTTCGAACGGTAGATAAGATTTTAGATGTTCGTTCCTAAAAGGATACACATTTGATCGCTTCTTTTTTTTTTTATCGGCGAAAAAATATTGAGAATTTTCTCGATTAACGAGAAACTATCTCCCCCAATTGTCTCGGGACTGTTGTGCAGTTTTTAAGCAATATCGAAAGTCGCACTTGCCGCTAATGGATATAGATTTTCGCAGCACAAGGAGCATCTTAATAGATAGTAGATATTTTAGTATACGACGATAATTGCTTTTATATTTCGTAACTAACGAATAAAGAAAATGTTAAACACTGTTTTCATAAACTAACAAATACACTCATCAAACTCATTATTTTCTTTTTTTTTTCATTTTTTTTCATTTTTTTATTATTTTTTTTTTTTTTGGACGACGACTCCTCGTCCATTTTCTTTGTTTTTCTCTCTCGACATAACATTAAAAGAAAAAGATCTATTGGAGAGTAAGTAATGTTAGTATTTTACGATCATCAAGCTGTCACACGTATTCGCACCTAACTAAGGAAATGCTCTTCCGTCCTCTTTTTCTTTTTTATTTCAGAGAAGAATTATATGCGCTACATATACCTATATTATCTTATCCAGTTTGCTATTTTCTTATCAATTTACCGACTATTATGATCTTAAATCGGTAGCCCGTTAATATGTCGCAAGGTGTTACCCATTGACCTAAATATAAGAAAATAGTCTTAGCGACTTGTTCGTATATCGATATGATTATTAACGTATGAAAAATTAGACATCGAAACTCTTAACTCTCGATTAGAGAGAATAACCTAAATAACATGTAGAGCGTACTCTTACATGCATAGAAGAGTAATACTCGGGAGCATTGCCAAGTGAAGGTAATCTATGCGATAAAGTGAATTAGCTGGACGATATTCTAAAGGATGAAACGAAGAGAAAAGGATTGATAACGACAGAGATAATTAGCTTGTCGATTTTATATATATATATATATATATATATATATATATAAATATATACGTAAGGTTTTATATGCGTGTATATATATATATGTTCTGCGATACTATTCCTCCATAACGAGTAACTTTTAGACTTTCTCAGTATTAAAAGCACGCGTCTTATTCTTTTCTCTCTTCTTATTTCCGTTTGTTTATTTTTATATCAAAGGATGATAAAAAAAGTGAGACTCTTTCTCTTCTCTCTAGCACTTTTTCTCCTCTTTTAAAGGAAAATTGATATTACGTAGCTTTACCACCATGTGCTCGTCACTGTGTATTTTCCATTTTGTTTCCTCCCCGATCTCTATTCCGATATGTTTGTATCATTAACTTAAGAATAGAGGAAAAAGCGATGACACAATGAAACATCGTTTCTTATTTTCTTCCAAATTGGAGAATACTGTCATCGTGTCGTCCCTCGTAAGATTCTTACTAACGTGGTGGAAGGCGGGGGAGGGGAGGGGATAGAGAAACGAGATCGATCGATACGACGACAGGTCGCGCGTATCGATTAAATATCCGTAGATCGCATGCTATCTCAAAGGATTATCGATGCAATGCGTTGTTGCTGACGTTCGCGAGAGAAGCCATTCGCGTTTCTAAAAAGGAACCCCAAAATGAAAAACGACGTTGTCTGTCGATGGAATCAGAGTTGCGGGGGTGGTAGGTAGCTGACGCGGTACGTATTTCTTCGCGACGATTAGTAGGAATGTATTTTTAGAAGGGTAAGTCAGTCGGTATACGCGTCACGTGACATTTTAGGGAAACGTCAGGCGCCCGCCCCTTCTCTCCATTTCGAAAGATCGAGACGCGGACTATTTAAGCTCCCAGCGCGCTTTTGCCGATGCGAATTAGAAAGTGAAATCACAATTTACTGGGACCCATTGGGATCGTTCGACCGTCCATATCGTTTCTCTCTATTCATCTTTCCAAGTGTTTAGAATTCACCGTTCTGTCCAGAAAAGAAAGAACAGAAAAGCACGGTAGTACGACTTTTTTCTTGCATGTTGTTCTTTTTTCCATGTTCCCCTTTTACATTTTTCCTTCTTCGCTCACTTTCTCCAATTTTTTTTTTTTTTGTATTTTTTATTGTTTGTTATCGTTCTTTTTTATTTTTTATTGTTTGTTATCGTTTTTTTTGGTTTTTTTGTATTTTTTTTTGCATTTTAATTATTTTTTCGTGTATTTATTTATTTTTTTTTTCCCCTCTTTACTCTCTTTACATTTCGATAATAAGTTAGCTTGAATCGCTTATACTTGCAACGTAGCTGTAATTATTATTTCGAAAGGATGTCTATCCCTATTCACTTATTTTATCGAATTCTCCTTAACTCTTTTTCTCTGTTCATGGTTTATTATCTGCTCGATAAAGTATTCTTCAGATTGATTTTCTCTTTCTAACTGTAGTCCATAATCTCGTTTGATCAACATCAAATTATTAATGTTAACTTTTACATGTTATTATAACACTCTGTATTCGTAATTACGAAAAAATCGTTTGTCACATATTAGATAGCTTTCGGACGATAAAGACGACTGGTTATATCATCACGGTGTCTCACAATAAGTCTAAAGCTAGTATGTAAAGATACTCGGAGATTATGTTGTTAAAGTTAAGAAACCGAAAGTTCACATTTTTCGTTTCTATGATGATTCTAAAACCGTCAGAGAAAAGTAACTTTCGTCGAACAAACCGCCTACTGTTTCCGATGATCACACGTTCGAGGAATGTTAGTAATATATATCATTGACGGATAACGCATCATCTTTAACAAAATCCTCTTCCGGATCTTGATATTGATCTTTCATTATGAGAAAATGGATTTCGTCAGGTTTGGTTCATCTCTTCTCTCAAAGGATATAGAAGCGACAATGATGATAAAACATTCAAACTTGTAAATACTCTTTTTCTCTTCTTTTTTATTTCTTTAATAGTCTTATTCAAGTATAATGTAACGTCGCAAATCTTTATCGTTGTCGAGCTATAATATGCGTTTAATCTTACTTCCTTTTTCAAATGTACCATTAAAACCATTTTACCGGAAAAACACGTTAAGATTTTACACATTCTTTTATCCGACAATGACTTATCTCGAAAAGCTAATCCTTACGTTCGCAATCTCCCTTAAGTGTACTAAAAACTATTCTAGAAACAACATTTAAATTCTATAGCAGAATACGCGACCGATAATTCGATGTTGACACTTCCTCGTCGGTTTTCTTTTCGACTTTTAAACATTCGTATATCTTGGCAACACGACTAATGTTGAATCATATTATTGATTCATCTTACGGAATGATAATTAGTCGGTTTAATCATTTCGTTGGTCGATCGATTGTCCGCCGATCAAAAGTTTTCTTCCTGATGAATTATCGATCTACGCGCTTTTATCATGCGTGTGTGATCGGGTGAATAAAACTTATATCTATATATGTATGTGTATATATATATATATATATATATATATATATATATATACACACACACATATATAGATATAGATTTATCGTCGTATTATATTTATTTCGAGCTCAAACTCAACGATATTTATCGTTGATTGGTTCTTATAATACGTAACATAACGAGTGTAAACCCTGAAAACATATCTACTTGAATATAGAAAGCATCGATCGATATGTGAGCGGACTTATACGATGATTAAAAACACGACGGAACTTTTAAAAAATACTCTACATTGTTTCTAATAAAAGAATAATTAATATAAAGAAGATAATTATCCTATCGTGGATTAAAAGAATTAATAATGATAATCGACATTTAAGGAATAAAACTAAGAAATGCTTTAGAAACGGGGACGATGATACCCACAATTCTAAATAAGCGATAGACATTAAACATTGCGTCAGGATGCATTGCGTATGATCAGATAACAAGATTAGTAGAAAGAGCCTTAATTGAATAAAATTACCATCCTAATTGTGCGCGCGAGTAGTAACTTTTAACGTTCTAAATGTAAGTACGTTAAACTTTATTATATCGAAAGAGAATTTGCGAAAAGATAAACAGAATTTTTATTCTATTATTCATAAATATGATAATCCCTAATCGTAACGCTTATATAATAATAATAGTAAGCGAAATAACATCTAATTGATTTTGCATTGGAATTTTCAAATTTGTAAAAATTATTTGAGATTTGTCGTTCGCATTTAAATGCGAATATATTAGTGATATCAACGGAAGGAAAAGAAGTTGACGAAAAAAATATGTCTCCCTTATAATGCATGCACCTTGCGAGAATAAATCTTTCTTTCTCTTGCTTTCACTCGAAACGCTTGGGTGTCGATGATGCAACAGTGCTCGCCATTTTTTCTGAATGCGTTCGCTTATACACTGAACTTTTACCAATAGTATCAGTGTTTTAATAATAAATAAATAGATTAAAAATAAATAAAGAAAAACGAGAATAGATAATAAATGCGATTAGATGTTTTTATTCGACCTAAGAGAAATCTGGAACCTTACGAGGTACCGGCGTTTTTATCCTAACGATAAAGTCTAAAGATTATTTTCGAAGAAATACGATCGTTAGTCATTAGCGTTTACGTAAACCCAACACACATCTGCTTATTTTGCGCTAGCTTTAATATTTTTTTTTCTTTTTTTTTTTGTATTTTTTATTCATTTTATTTTTTTTTTTTCGTATTTTTTTTGTATTTTTTATTTTTATTTATTTTTTTTTTTTTTTTATTTTCTCCCTTTCTTTTTTTTAAGTTTTTCTTCACGTTTTTTTTTTATTGTTATTTTATCGGTTGGCTACCAAAGATGGAGAAAGATTTCCAAAGCAATTGGAATTGTATTTCTTGAATCGTCTGTGTTTATAGAAATGTCCATTGTACCGCTCGTCTTCCGCGACTGGTGGGAGGATATGGATCGTCCTGTGTCACGAATTTGGGATCAATACTTCGGTAGGGGACTAAATCGAGACGATTTGATTTCTGAATTTTCCAACCTTGGCATCAACCGACCATTTCCAACTCCGTTTCGTTCACTTTTGGGGAACAACAGCACGTACTACCGACCATGGAGAACGGTGACACGACAAAACTCTGGTGGTTCGAGTACAATCAAAATGGAGAAAGATAACTTTCAGGTAGGCAAAGAACTCGAACGTTTATACCTTGACACATCCGTTACTTAAATGTTCTTTTTTTGTTTTGTTTTGTTTTTTTTTTTTCCTTTTTTTTTCTTTTTTGTTATCTCGTTATACACATAAGACGACGCATTCGAGAGTCTCGATACTTCAATTATTTTGATTACTTTGATTTTTCGTACTCTATGCGATTCTCAAAGTCTCATCGTTGGAGCTTGGATATTTCTTTTTGTTCCCTTCTTTATTCTAAGACTCGATATATTCCACAATTCTTTGGATTCTTTATTTTCGTCAAATTATCGATAAAGTGTATATTCTTGACTTTGTTTGAAAGTTACAAATCGCGAATCGTTGTCGGGGTCAAAGTGCAATTATGTGCGATTTAGTGCGATCTGGTGCAACAATTTCGTGCAATTTATTTATTATTCGTCGATGATACTTTTTTTTACCGACTGACAGATAGAAACCTGTTTTACATCGTAAAACGGCATAAATGGAAACATCGCTGCAACTTTGGCGTTCCATTACTACTTTGGTCCAATTAAATCAATGCAAGTGAACGTTACCCGTCCGTGTTGTATCACATTCGTATAACCTAACACGTTACTGCGCGGAGATATATTATGTTCAGGAACTTAGCACAATAACAACACGAAAAATGATCTCCTCGAGCGATAAAAGCTTAGCATTGCAAAAAGATGACGCGACGGTATGAGATATTGTCGAAGTTCTCAGGTTATACGAAACAATATTCATTTTTTTTTTTTATTTTTTCACGTTCACCTCCTGTTCCCATCTTTATTTTCGCGATAATGAAATCTAGAAACTTATTGAAAATTATACAACAATGGGGGCGGCGAAGGTACTGCAACGCAGAATCGATCCTCTTTCTTTGCAGAATCCTGTATACATCTGATGTCCGATGTATACAGGATTCTGCAAAGAAAGAGGATCGTCAGAAAAAAAATGACGATTGCTAGTAGAACTCTAATCTACTTTCTTCTCACTTTCACAATACTAATAACAAAGGAAATATAAATACGGTTTCTCTCTCTCTTCTTTCTCTTTCAATGCTACACTCGAGTAATTGTAATTAATTGACGATCAGTCATACATTGACAAAAAAAAGTCAAGATAAAAAAAAAACAAAGGAAAAAAAATAAAAAAACACTATCCTAAAAATTATTCTCCGCGCCTCGAAAAATCTCTTAATATTATTTATTATCTCATTATTATTATTATTATCTCCGTTTCTCTTCTTTCGATATTGGAAGTGGCTTCTTACGCGATTTTAGATAATTTTTTTTCAATATCTTTTAAATAATTAATCGCAAAATACGAGCGTGAGTTTTCGTGCGATTTTAAATCGAAATAATGTCCGCGTTGAATATGTCGGAACGTCGTAGAAACTCGCGTTTCTCTTGAATCGTTTCCAAAGAACAGACGAAAGGATACTTTAGTAAATCACCGTTATAATTTTAGACATTGAATTTCTGCGCAGTAATACCAGTAACGAGGAAACGCGGTCGACGACTATCCCACGACTTTCAGAATAATTGAAAGTCGTGGGATAGCCGGGACAGCTTATTTTTTATCTAAAGGTACACGCTCTCTTTAGAGTATTAATTCTTTCTATAAAAAAAAAAATTTACAAGAAAGTTGATGCTTTGATGATGTTCCTTATGGACACTCGCGACCCTTACTCTCCTCTCTCTCTCTCTTATATATATATATATAATTCAGTTTTTCTCGACTAGAAAATATGACATTCAATGTATGCCTCAAAAAAAGATGGACTCAAAGTTCGAACTTAAAGAAAAGCTATCGCGAAAGAAGCGAACTTCCAAAAGGTTAAAATAAAAAAGGCACTCCTCCGTTCATATTCTTCGATGCCTTTTCAAGGTCGTAGTTTGTCTCGTTGATTTACATGATGTCGATGTCATTGACATTAACTGGATAAAACGTTTCAATACTTTCCCCACGTCGCTGTTCTTTTCTTTTTTTTTTTCTTTTTTCTTTCCTTACATGATTTTTCGTTGTATATCTCTTTTGGATGTTTATACTTTGAGACAAGAGAAGCAGAAAAAGCGACACTAGTGTGTCGCGTGTATTAGAATGCCTCAAGCTTCAAAAGTTGGTAAAAAGAGTTTCCTTGCGATTAAACGACTCGTTAATTCGGACGAATTTCGGTCCGTATGTTGCAGTTTAAGAAGTTGCAAGTATCCTTTCCTTTCTCTCTGTAGAATGTTATCGAGTCTGATTAATATTCTTCCACTTTCGATATGATCAATATCGTGAACTCTAAAGAAGCAGAGAATGCTATTCGAAGCACTACACAACAGTCGCGATATGTAGTAGTAACAACTTTCAAAATATCAAATGGCTTGGGAGATACATCATCCTACAATAGCATAGTATTACTATCATATATCAAAAGTTAGCCTTTCGAATGGTTTTTGATTTCTATTACGGTACGTCGGCTTACTTTCGTCGAATAACACAAAGCATACGCCCCCTAAATCTATCGGTGTCGTTTACAAAAAAACAAATCGCTGTTTTTATAAACCTGGACTGAGATTTACAGATTAAAGTGATTATCGTTCTTTTGTTATCAAGTATAAAAAAAGCGTCAAAACTACAGAATGTGTCGTGTATCTTCGTTTTCCGACAAAGAAAGAACAACGGTGTGTGTATATATATATATTATTCATATAAATCGTATTTAAATATACATATAATATGTAGATATCTAGGAATCAGATTATTTAGATTGGAATCGCCTAAAAAAAATGGGAGTCGCATTCGTGAAGGAAAAGAAATTAGGAAACGAAGGAAGGAAGGATGGGAAACTTGGGATACATAAGGGATAAGGGGAAGGTGAATTTTAAAAGGGAAGGAGAAAAAAAAGAAAAGAGAAGGATAATGAGAGACAAAAGGAAAACCTTCACCGAGTGATCAAGAATAATATCGTAACCAAAACTCGAAAGAAAAGTAAGACAACGCGAGAGTCTCTCGAGTGTCTCGTTTTTACGGAATATAGATAGAACGGCTATAGCCGATGTCGAACGTAAGGTAAAAAGGGGTGAAAAAATAAGTGCGAAAGATGGCTAACGAAACGAGCGAAAAATACGGAACACCAGAAGGCCCGGAAACTGTTCTCTATTACCGCTACAACCGGCATTGCCACTTCTTTCTCTTCTACCGGTACTACCACCGCTACTGCTGCTATCGTTCGCGTTTCTTTCACGATCCTTCCTCATCGTCATCGTTGTTTTTTCTTTGTTTTTTCTGTTCTTCTTTTTTTTTTTTTTTTTTTTTCTTTTTTTTATTCGCTTTAAAATCTCTCCGTTGCTTCTATCTCTCCCCGCGTAAGACGCGTGCGGATTCAAATGTTTAGCAGCGTTTTACAACTTGATCAGCAATATCGAGTTATATCTTTGTTTCTTTCTTTTCTTTTCTTAATAAAAATCGAGCACGGGTTTTTCTCTTCGTTTCTGAGCTATCGAATTATTATCGAGAGAGCGGCCCCCTCCCGCAGAAGGGGGGCTGGCCCTATTTCAGATGAAAAGAGACAGGTATCTAAAGTGTTCCTGAGACGAAACGATATATATGCGTGTATGCGTGTACGTATATATGTATTTATCAAGAGAAGACAATGACAAAAAGTCGTGTACGATTTTCCTTAAAGGAAAAGAAGTGTAAAATGTACCATTCGAGCGGTTCCGACTTACGATTCCTTTGTTTTATTTTTTGTTTTTTTTTTTTTTCATGCGCCTATACGTCGCGTAATCACAGATATTAAAAGATTTACGATGATCTCTCACTCTCTCTCTCTCTCTCTCTCTCTCTCTCTCTCTCTCTCAACGTTATTTCTACTCAGCTTTCCTATTCTCTTTACTTTCCCGCATTCGACGTATTCATTAGCACGTTTTTAGTTGAATCTCAGAGGAAGGACAATTTTTTTTCTTCCTTTTTACGTTCGAAAAATGCGACGAAGCTATACGGTAAAGGAGAATGAAAGAAAACGTTGATCTAATATAAATCGCGTATCAGTCTTGTTGGAGAATAAACCGAACCAGAAATATGAAATACGGAGGAAGCGTCCCCTAATGAGGGGGCCGCCCTTTTTCGTTAATGTAAATCGACGACCTAGTCGCGGTTTCTCCTGTATAAACTCTTTCTTAGAAAAATAAAGGCTTTTACTTCTCAACGACGGAATCGTACAAACCGATCTCACACTATTTTTCTGCTCCCGTATGAAAGAGTCTTCACGGAAAGTACGATCGCGAGACAATGGATGATTCCGTCCACGCTCTTCGAGCGGGACGATGAAAAACGAACTACCTTGGATCTTGTTCTTCTTCTGTTTTCTTTTGTTTTTTATTTTTTTATTTTTTTTTTCTTTTTTTTTTTGATTTTATGGATTTATTTTTTGTTCAAAGGTGAAAGTGTAAAATATTTGTGTCCCCTGAAAATGTGACTTCGTCATCTATACGATGCGATCGCACTCACGCGTTCTTCTCTTTCGAATCACCTACTTGTATGTGTGCTCTTACGTGCTTTTGTTAATAGGCGAAAAGAACAATTCCACAACAAGTAGGTGTACCTGGCAACTACATCTTCCCGGTTATCTTTTGTACGATTTTATGCAAAATAATCCAGGACTCGAAGTTACATGAAAATTTCAATATAAAAAATCCCGTTTGAGCTCGACGATCCTACATGATTGTGATTTCCAATCGACGCTGCTCCTTACTTTCTAGAATGAAAAATTTTTCAAAAGTAAGCTCCAACAAGCTCGCGAATAGGAACTTTATAGCTTTCTTTTCTCAATTTCGGATACCATCGGTTAAGAAAAAAAAGACAGATTTTAAAGCGTCTTCTCAAAGGAAATATTAAACTCGAAAAAAACCTATTTGAAATCGTCCAGTGATAGACCACCACGTTTATGATACTTCTCTCTAATCTCTTCTAAACCTCTCCGGTTATAAAAAAAACAAAGTTTCGGATATCACCTCTTCCCCTCTCTCTCTCTCTCTCTCTCTCTCTCTCTCTCTCTCTCTCTCTCTCTCTCTCTCTCTCTCTCTCTCTCTCTCTCTCTCTCTCTCTATGACAAAATTATGTAGAACAATTTTTAAGTGGATGTTATTTACGATGTTAAGAAATTTGTAAAAACGGCCGCTTGAACGGCGGTCACGATGTGTAAAGAAAGATTTTGCCTACTCGCTTTTCTATTCCCTTATTCCAAGTAATGATTTCAAATCGTCGAAAAGTGAAACGAAAATCGTTGAAAGAGGAGGTTGTCCCACTCGCGATTGTGTGAACCCAACGCTGTTTTATAGATCATACATATTTTACTCTTTCTCTCTCTCTCTCTCGTCATCGGAAAGAACTAATCTCATTCTCGTTATTTCGGCCTTCGTTTCATTTAATTTTCAGGTAATACTGGACGTTCAGCAATTCTCACCGGACGAGATCACAGTGAAGACGGTCGAGAAGAACGTTGTGGTCGAAGCCAAACACGAGGAGAGACAAGACGAACATGGATTTATCAGTAGACACTTTGTGCGGAGATACGTTCTGCCCACGGATTACGATGCGATCAACGTTACCTCGACGCTTTCCTCCGACGGTGTTTTAACAATTACGGCACCGAGAAAGGTAATTTTCTTTCTCTTTATCTGCTGCCACTTTCCCTCCCGCTCCTCCTCACTCCTATCGTCAGGCGAATCCGAAATTATAGTAAGCCTCGGATTCGCCCACCTTTGCTTTCTCCGCTACTGTCGATTCACGAAAACCGCGAATGGACAGCGGGACACCTTTCGTCCCTCCCTCTTTCTTTCTTTCTTTGTTTCTTTTTTTTTTCTTTCTTTCTTTCTTTTCTTTCCAACCTTTAATTCCAACCTTCCAATGCCGTGGGCTTCTCTTTTCTCCCTGCTAGGCTATTGCGTGCTCTTACAGATGGTTGCCCACACGATCTAATTTTACGACACTGAGCTAAACGATAAAAAGAATATACAACTTATTAACGTTCAAGTACTTGACAAGACAAAAGTACACTTTTTTCGTTTTGTTAGCTTTTTTATTTTCTTTTTTTTTTTTTTTTTTTTTTTTTTTTCTTTTTTTTTCTTTCAGTTTTCGAGATCGAGAGAAGCGCTCGTTGCATCTTAGCGCTTCGTTTTAATTTAAATTCTTATGAGATCGATACGATACGAATGTTAAGAATTTATAAGAAAAAATTGGGTCCGTTTAACGTAATAAAAAAACAAAGAGCAAACGATCTTCGAGTGCCTCCTCGACTCTACGAATAAACTTCGTCATTAGTTAATTAATAATTCGTTAGTTTATACGATTATTTAGCCGATAAATAAACATAGGTTTCTCTTGGTTAATTCAAATATTTAAAGTGACGCTACGTAACTCAAACGTTAAAGAGCTCAAATGTTTTGCGTTTGTATCTTCTTCCTTTTTATACTTTTTATCAATTTGTTTTCATTGTATTTATCAAGTTTTATTCGTAATTTTGAAATTATCCTATTATTATTCGGCTTAGCTCCGAAACGCTAATGTATTTGAACGAATCGACGGATTCAAATTTCCTTTTTTTTAACACACGTAGATTCGTTTAGAAATACGATAATTCTTTTCTATTTCCAAAATTTGCGCACCTCCGAATTAGTTAGTAGCGACACCGATTCGTATATATTTATGTTATACTAAAGAAAATATGTACTTCGTATATTCTCGGTACATCGACCGCTTACCTATATTCAGAGGTATTCTTCTCGAACTTGTTCGAAACGTGAAGAAATTTCAAAGCCTAATCGGACCAGATTTCGTTGCGTACGGATTGTTCAAGCACCGACCCCGTAGGGTTCACTAGAAAAGAAACAATCGTGATAACTCATACAAATAGGAATCAGAGTGAAATAAAAATATGTCTGTGTTTGTTGTACTTTCGTTCTTCTTTTTCTATATATATATATATTTTTTTTTTTTTTTTTCTTTTTTTTTTTTCAGAAGCCCGAACCCCCTGGAACCGAAAGGATTATAAACATCGTTAAGACCGGCGTACCCGCAGAAAAATCGCTAGAAACGAAGATCGAGACTAAAGTAGAAAATGAAATCAATAAAGAAACAAAGGAATGATTTAATAAATTCTCTATGATCTTTCTATAGATAATATTTTTATATATGTATATACCTATATAAATATTCAAAAGTATACGATATAATAAAAAATATTTAAATTCGTACTCGTTTTTACGTTCATTTTTTAACATTAAATCATTTCCATAGACATTTCGAGTTACGTGATATGATATGGATGTGAAAACAAAGCACTACCAACTTTGTGAGGAAAAATAAAAGAAAATATTATTACACGATTTACATACAATCAATGATCCTCGCTCGCAATATGTAGAGATACTATACAGAGATGAGTCCGCTTTGCGATACATACACATTTATATCCTTAAATATAAAGCGCACTCATCCATTCTATAGGATCGTTGACCTTTGTCATCAATATCACACGCTTCGTATATCGTATTGTTTATTATAAATAAAAGCATCGTAATCGTAAAGATACATTGAATAACATTACTAACAATACTAACGTAAGTAAATCTAAATAAAAAAAAAAAGGGAAAAGAAAAATGATACATAAAAACTTACGGTATACTGTCGCGCTCCGCAGCGATGCCCGGCTCGTCTACATTTTCACGACTGGTATTGTCCCGTAGCCTTGGACGACCACGAAAAAAAAAACAAAAGCGAAGGATTCAGAAGCCGGTGAAGGTTCCGACTCGTCCCTCAATGGAGGGGGAATCTTTGGATGCTAACTGCGTCCGAACTGAACGGAGGTCTCTTTACGAATGCACCGAGCCGAGGCAGCCGGCTGCGTTTATATAGTCGGCACGTCCCGGGCATCGAACGTTCGAGAATCGTCGGCCGCTGCATGGCGCTGCGACGACGCTGTCTTATTCCCGACGCGCAATTTCCTTTAATTCCATTTTTTGTGGCCTTTAACTATTCGTAAAGTTGAATATTTTCTTACTGTTATCTCGATCATTAGGAGATACACCGATTGACACCAAGTTCAATGCTAATTTTTCAATGGTTTATCGAAAATCGAGGAAATATAGAGTATTGATCGGTCGAAAGCGGACAGGATTTCTGGCACGTCCGCCACTCCAGACCCCACCATAACGTATCTCACACTTAACCGAGTATAATACATATATGCACTGATACAAGATTAAACCGGCTTACACGCATATACACATATACGAATGACCGTGTAGCAAGTAGAGTGAGAAAGAATAAATGAGAAAGAGTGAGAGAAAGAGAAATATCAAACACGACGACGACGACCGACTCGGTCGTGAGATAATATTGCGTCTTGCTTGCTGTAACGTTCTTCCTCTCTCTCTCTTGCTCGCTCGCTCGTTCTCCTCTTTCGATTTCACGTGACCATGGCCAGAAGCCTCTGCGTAGTTTCCTTCGAGCCTAAAAAAGGGCGAAACCGAGTACTACGCAGTTCCCTTCTCGAAGGACGTTTCTCGAATGATCCTTGCTTCTCTAACTGCGTTGTTTCTTTTCCCTCTACGAAAAGAACAGTGCGATATAATTTTATGTCTTTCGAAGGAAAACTCGAGAAGGAAATAATTTAAAGATGAGAAATAACGTGACAAATTTCAATTCGTTTGCAAAGGCAAAGAGAAAATTTCATATTTTTTACGTAGTAAAAAAAAGAAGACTCTCTCGAATATAAAAAAAATCATAGTTTCGCAAGGGGGATAAAATATATCGAAAATATGAACGTGAATAGTCGTATAAATTTTTAAAGGAAAGAAATTTTTTAAAAATATAAAAACGGAAAACCACATGATAAGTTATATGGTAGATAAAAGAAGGAATTCTATTTGGAATAAAAACAAAAGGACGTGAAACGCGCATGTAAACACGCACGAAACCGTAAAGAATGACCTGCTAATAAATACGATGAGAGAAGAAAGAGGGGATTCTCGTTCCCTGTGGAAGGAACATTAACCGTAACACAACGTATTGGAACTGCGTAGCTTCCCGAAATGACCTTCGATGAACGTGTAGAAACTACGCCATGACCTTTTTATTACGCGTTTTCGAAGGGAACTCGTAATGCTACGTTATTTTTAGGCGTTTCGTGATATGCTAGCAAGGACATCGATGTTGATTACAACGTAGTTTTCTTTCCTTCTTTCGCCTCTCTTATCGTTGTTTTTTTTTTTTTCTTTTTTTCCTTTCTTTTATAACGAACGAGGATAAATTAATATCGGCTATAGTTTTGAAAATATATAACGATATAGATATTTCGATATCTATAATTAGATGCAATTTCCCCTTCGTGGGAATAAATGTAACGAGGAGCATTCACTCGTCTACCTCGTCTACGTTCGAAAATTTTTTTCTATACGCATTATTCTCATATTCTTATTCTTATGCATAATGAGACAGGGGTCCGGATCGCTTTAGAGCATTACGAAATGTTGTGCATCTGCGTTCTGCAGGAAAAGATCCGTTGAGATTTCATTCTCACGAGCGGAACTACCGTCTGCTCGATGAATCTGTTATAACATAATGGATCGTTAGTTTACCAAAGAATTAATCTATCAAGTTCATCGATCGTTCGTTTCAGAACTATAAATTCCTATAAATTGAGTCATTAAACTCGTCTAGAATTAACATGGAAACGACGATTAATATCTTTGTAAATTACGATCTAATAAAAGAAAAATATACATTTGTAAAAGAGTGAGATAACATGTAGAGATTGAGACTGGTTTGTAGAACACCGCAAACTCTGCCTAAATATAGAATGTAGGATACAAGTATCGTTGCGTGTGTCATACATGCTAACTGCACGGGTTTCGACGGTTATGCATGAAGAATCTCCTTCATAGAACGTAACTCAGGAAAGGATAGATAAATATTTCTATGATTTCGTTGAAAAACAAATGATAAAATTGTCATTGTTTATAATCAATATATTATAACTTTGCCGATGATAACAAAAAGAAGAATAATCCAACTTTTATACGTTCAATTTATCTACTTATTTCTCTGATTCGATTATTGTCATACAATTTTATACAAAATTATGGAAGAATTATTTAATTACGAAGTTGTTTGAAAAATCTCTGCGTATGATCTTCAGGTCGCAGCCGTCCGGGCGCTTCTCGATGTTCCAGAACATTCTACCTACTGGTACTGCGACTAATCGATAAGTGCAACGTGAGAGCTATATATATTTATAGAAAACACGTTGTTATTCTTGTTCAGTACACGTTGATGACTATTAACGAAAACTTGATAATTGTCATTTGCAATATAGAGATTAGATTTATAATATTAGGATCGATACGAATGATTTAATAATTCTTCGTAATTTTGCATTAATCTCGTATGAATTTATAAGAACAATTATACATGATACGATCAAGTTCTTTCGAAAGGGTAAACTTAACAAAACAAATGTAAAATTGTCGTGACTCTCCTCGTTCGTATGACATCCCTCGTTTCTATGAATAATGCGCTTCGAAACATTAATCCTTCTTGGAGTTTCCATAACTTAGAACGTAAACTTTCTTTCTCTTTTTCAACTAATATTTTAGTACACATCTCGTACGTCTATAGAAGGATCGATCATCGATGAAGTCGAAATAAAAATGTTGCGTTTCGTAGATTCAGTAAAAAAATTGGAATGCAATCAGATCGTTAGGTGTGCGATGCACTTTACAAGATATATACATATATATATATATACATATATATAATATATATACTATATATGTACTATATACTATATAGTCAATGATTTTATACAATTCCGAACAATGCCATCTAGCAAAAGAGGCAAATACTACGTCGCAAAGTCTTCTTGAAAATGATTATACCTACGTATAATCATTCGAGAGTGTCGATGAGTATAATGTCTAGGAATGATTTTTTGATCTCTTACGTAGCGTAGATAATACAGAAAAATTTTTGAGAATAGTTCCTTTTCCCTTTTTAATGTGATAAGGCATCCGATAAAATTATTTATTCTTTAAGTAATCTAATTCGATGTATGTCATTTTTTACCTATCCTTACTTTCCATCGACAATTTCAAGTTCCGAATATTTGATTGATTCCATTTCTTTCATAAGCTTCATGTCGGCGGTCGATGATTCATAAGCGTTTTTTACTCGCGGCTTCTCCAAAAAGAAGATTTGATACGTGTACGTTCCAAGCATTGCTCCGACTGTTGGTCCAAACCAATAAACCTAAAAACGATTCGATCAGTCGATGCTTTTGATCAAAGCTACGTAATATAAGTTTAGCAAAAATTGGGCTACATAAAAAATTGCATTACAAATAACGAGCCAAAATAAAGCGTATAAATATGATTTTACCCATTGATTCGTCCAGTCGCTATTCCAAAATGCAGGTCCGAAAGTTCGAGCTGGATTCATGCTACATCCCGTATAAGGACTCTGAAATGAGCTTTGATTAAGGTAAAAGATTAAAGAAATAAAAAGTTGTTAAGTTCTTTTTCCTTCGAATAATTATTTATATACCGCCGCTAAAGAGATAGCTACGACAGAAAAACCAAATCTAATAGCCGTGGAATCGGTGGTATGAGAGCATCTTGGATCCCACGTTGCACAAGCGCCGCATAGTATGAAAGATGTGCATAGAACTTCAATAAGAATTCCCTGAACGACACTGACGCTCGGATGAATAACGGTAACGCAAAGACCGACCGTGGAATTTGGATTTCCATCGTGAAATAATTCCGGTGGAGTTATTATCTGTTAAGAGATCTATTATTGATAGGAATTTGGATTTTAGTGCTTGACAAAAATTACCTTTAACGCTCCGTATCCTAATGTAGCTCCAATGAACTGTGCTACTATGTACAAGGTACCCGTGGGAATACTTTTTAAGCCTACGATGACTGCACCGATCGTAACAGCTGGATTGAGATGAGCTCCGCTAACGTGACCCAACATCTAAGACATGCGATTTATTTTCTTTTCTTTTCCTTTTTTTCTTTTTTTGTTAACCTCTGTTTCATATGCACGATATTATGAGTTTTGCTCACCATAATAATAAGGTTCACGGTCATGCCGAATGCTATCGACATCTGGAGCGGGGGAGGTAAAACGGTCGACATTGAACCGATGCTCGCCATACAACCGATGAAAATTAATATTGCGGTACCAACCACTTCCGCTATACACATTGTCCACGTTCCCTCTTGCAACTTCCACAACGTGTCTATGAGAAAAAAAAAAAAAAAAAAAAAAAAAAAAGAAAAGAAAATATTTGAATAAAACGCAGATCTCTTTGTGGGATTTTTAGGAAACGTTTCTGCCTCACCTTTCGACTCCTCTTTGTTAGACATAGCGATGATCGATTACTATGTTTGCAAGAGGGACTGTTCTTCGAACGTTCCGTTTCGAATCCTGATTGTCTTTTGATTTACTTTAATCGTTCGATCGTTTTCGTTATCGTGTATCTACTTAGTAATGATTAAAGAAAATAAAAATCTATATTGTCTTATCAAATCGCTGGCGATACGAACGATTTATTCTCCGAATCACAGCTTGTACGTTTGAGTTGCATTTTTTATATTTTTTATCTCGTTTCATACACTCGCAAATCAATCGTAAATCCATCTTAACACATATAACCTAACGAATGATATTAAAATCTTGGCATTTATAAAAAATGCCAAAAAAGTATAACTTAATGGATAAATGATAATATTTCCCCGTTGAACAACGCGAGCAATGATTCGAACAATACTGATCGCAAGGTAGAAAGCTTGAAATATTTATTCGCGCAAGCGCACGATCATTTTTTTCCAACGACTCGCTTTCTCCAATTTTCAACAAAGTTTAGTTTCGATGAGAACTTACTACCCGTTCCTTTCATAAAGGGATAAAAGAACAATCGATAGCGGAGAAGTTCAGAATGACGACGAAAAAGAAGGACGAGTATGAAATCGAGGTGAATTATTTAAATCGAGTCTGCGGCAAGTTGCTCCAAATATTAGGCATTTCTAATCATTCGAAGGAGCCTACTTCCTTCGTCGTAAGATTTACAAAGTTCCTTTCTATTTTGGTTTGCTATGCTTTGATTGTCTTCTTCCTCGTAACTACGATACTTCACGCAGTACTGGTCGAACAAAACGTTCATATAAAAGTAAAAAAAATGCCATTACTCCTCTACAACGTGTTACTTCTCATCAAGTACAATTGCTTAATAATGAGACGAAAACATATCGAACGATGCATGAAATTAATCGAAAAAGATTTGACGAGAGTCGTGAATCTTTATCATCGGGATATAATATTGGAAAAGACGAAGTATGGAAAGCGTTTGTTCATTGCCATATGCGTTTTCCTTCATATCACTGTTCTCTTCTGGCGTCTTTTACTACCTCTTATCAAAGGGAAGGTCGTCACTGCTGAAAATGTTACGATCAGGCCATTACCTAGCTCTGGTTATTATTTTCATCTTATCGACGATCAGGTCAGTCCTTTCTACGAGATTATATTTTTCCTTCAATGTGCGGAAGGTTGTGTTACGATTTATACGAACATCGTGATATGCACCCTTGCCGTCATTTTCGTCGTTCACGCGTGCAGCCAACTCGAAATATTTATCGATCTTCTCGAGGCCGTCGTTACGTGCACAAAATCCACTGAAAAAATCATTGAAGAAGAGGACGTTAATGCAAAATTGACAATTGCCGTGAAACATCACATACGAGTACGAAAGTATGTTTGACTCGTACATTGGAATAATGAGTGATTTTATCTCTCTTTCTTTTATCTTCTTTTTAAGCTTCAATCATTTTTAGCTTTCTTCAAATGGTCGAAAGTACTATGAATCCGTTGTATTTCATGGATATATTTGGATGTAGCATAACGCAATGTTTCTTGGGTTATTGTCTGACAATTGTACGGAATATTTTATCATTTATATGTCATCACGATGAAGATTTATTTCTAAAATAATAATATTATGAAATATTTTATAGGATTGGGATCGTCAAAATGTGAAGAATGTTTTACCATACATGATTTCCATCGTGTCTCTCACAGTTCAAATTTTTGTATTTTGTTACGTTGGCCAGCAGCTCATGTTACAGGTATTTTTCTTTTTTTTCTATCAAAGAAAAACATAAACAACAATTTCTTCTGTGTGTTCGTTTTCTATCGTAAAAGTGAACACGAACGTTAAGGCATTCGTAACGACAGGACGAGAAGGTAGCTTTGAAAACTTGCGTACTCGAGTGGCATCGCATTCCGTATAAGAAAGCGAAGAACATCATACCGATAATAATTCTATCGAATCGTCGCATGAAAATCACTGCAGGAACCATAATCGAACTTTCTCTTCAAACTTTTGGACAAGTAAGCAAAAATTATTTACAATAACTATATCCAATCTTTCTCAAATTCCATTGATAATCGAAATTAAAGAAATAACATCGTGTTTTAGGTTGTTAAAACTACCGTAGCTTATTGTAACATAATGCGGACGATAATGTGATAACCTTATCGCCACGATCGGCCGCGAGTATAATACTTTTTAGCGAGATATGAAAGAATTAAGATCATGAAACTCGCGGCACTTTTAACGCGTTTGAAGTACTTTGCAGTTTAATATTTATCATGTTATCAAATAAGATTAATTAGAAAAAAAAAGACGATCCAATAAGATTAATTAGAACAAAGCGATCGTTACGATGCACGATGTAATTTTCTAAGATACTCATATTATCGTAATAACATATGATAGCCAGGAATCTATCATGGATCTTAAATCGTTCGAAGTTACTCGACACTTTCTTATCGACTATCTAAGTAAGCGAAATGTAAAAAAGGATATTCAATTCGTTTCTTAACGTTACATTGAAGATACATACGTATTATTTTCCCTTTGTGTACTCGCTCTTAACATATTTTATCGTATTTCGATTTGATTTTATATTTTCCAAGTGTTCGTGATCGTTTACGTGGAACTACGGATTCGTAGCTTGGAAAGTTAGCGTAATAAATGTGAAGTCGAAGTTGAAAAAGAGTGAAAACTTATATTTATCTAACCCTACGTAGATACGATACGTTAAAGATTCAGACACGCAAGCGCAATTTCCAAGTTTGCTCGACGGATCGGCCATACTGGTCGAACGTTGGAGATCGGTGCGAGATCTCAACCTAGAGTTCTCGAATGGGTCGTACGACGTGATAGAAGGATGTGCTCGAAGGAGACTTACGAGAATGATTTGCGTTATGCGATCGAGCCTAATCGTTACGTACTTCTTTCTCTCGGAATCCGAATAACGTATCAGCAAGTAGACAAGCGAGAATCGTTCTTACTAAAAAGTTCGCGATTACTTTTGATCCTTCTCAATTTCGTCATTATACTTTACGTTGTGATACCTGGTTTTCTACATATCTTTTTAAAAGAGACGAGTACATATGGAAAGGTTCGAGTGATCCAACCCATCCTGTATTCCTCTATGACCTTAGCGAAATATACTGTGCTACTCTTCTGTATCGAGCGAACGAATATTTGCTTAAAGTATGTGATAGAGGACTGGAAAAACGCAGTGGACACTTATATCCGAGATACGATGAAAAAGAAGGCGTTAATTGGAAGACGTTTTTTCATTATATGTGGTTCGCTCATGTACGGAAGTGGCATACTCTTTAGAGGTATCATACCTTTAACCAGGGGAAAGATTACGATCAATGAGAATCTTACCATCAGACCTTTACCTTGTCCTTGCTATTTCATCTTCTTCGATCCACAACTTAGTCCAGCTTACGAGATCGTCTATTTTCTTCAATGTCTCTCCGGTATGGTCACATATTCGATCACAACCGCTGTATGTGGACTCGCAGCTTTCTTAATTCTACATATTTGCGGACAACTCGAGATCTTGGTGATGTTGATGGAGAGGATGGTTGAAAAAACGAATCTTCCGAGTGAGAAGGTGAACGCCAAAATTGCTCTCGCCGTTGAACATCAGATAAGAGTTCGGGGGTGTGCACGATTATCCTCCCTTCATTGTTCAATTATAATTCTACAAATTTCATACTTTTTCTTTTTTTTTTTCCTACCTACATTGATATCGCTTTCTTGTTGATCCTTTCTCAGCAAATTAGATATCGTAGTATCATCAATGATTTTCAGCTTTTTACGAGCGGTGGAACATACGCTGCAACAAATTTGCTTGATCGAAATAATGGGATGTACCCTGATGGTATGCCTATTGGCCTATAACATAATGACGGTATAATTTTTAAAAGTTGACGAGGCGTTCTAAGATACGAACAACTTTTATATAAAATTATTTATCTTATTATAGGAATGGACGAATCATAATCTTGCTATTGTTTTCATGTACAGCATAGCATTATCCTCTATTATATGTAACATATTCATACTGTGTTACATTGGCGAACAACTGACGTTACAGGTATATAGTTAAGTTAAGAAAATTTAAGTTAACTTTTAGAACGAAATCGAATCGATTCATTGATGAAAGCAGGCGGAAAAAGTGGCGAGAACATCGTGCACTCTCGATTGGTATAATCTTCCGTCGAAGGAACTATCGGGTCTCGTTTTGGTAATCGCAATATCTAATCGTCCAATGAAGATCACCGCTGGAAACATAGTCGAACTTTCCCTTCAAACTTTCGGTAACGTAAGTAACTTTTTCATAACTTATACTTACTTCGTCGTTGGAATCGATGATACGTAGGGACGATAGAGACTTTCTTCTTCAGAAGTTGATTGGAACTCAATGTCCTTTCTACACGAGTATTTATTATTTCAATCGTAAGGGGTAACTTTTTTCTTTCTGCTTGCATTCAACCGTCAGCTGTACTGTTTTATTCTGAAACGTTAAATAATTGCAGGTCATCAAAACAGCCGCGACTTATTGCAATATGTTACGAGCCGTTACATCGTGAATTTCGCTCGTGCATTAAATCGTAGAGAAAAATAACAAAAGAAAAGAAATTATGTAAGTGCTAAAGAATAAAGTAAAAAAAGAAACCAAAAAATGTAGTACTTATATCGTTTCAATAACGTCCATGGTAACTGATCATGGTAATCGATCCCATGTTCCATCTGGTCTACGTAGAATCAACGTTCACTTTTGGCAGTTACACTTTTGAAAAAAAATATAAATGGAAAATATTTTCCTCCGATCGTTCGTATACAATAAAAAGTACAGATTGAGTTAAAGTTTCGAAAAGAGCAATCGTTCCACTGCATGATTTATGAGCGCAAGCGCATTATATTGCTCGTCTAGGAAAACTTCGTCTGGCAGATCGTCGTACGTTTTTATTCAATCGTAGATATTATATATCTTTTTCAGTACAGTAAGATACGGATCGCGATCGAGAAATCGTCGATCTATCATTAGCAATAGATTTCACGAGATGGGACGAGAGAATGAGAATTATAAAAGTGACATCGAGCTCACGGTACACGTGAGTCGAGGTGTTTTAAAATTAATCGGCGTTTGGCCACATCGAGAAACTCGAGGGAGCATATTAAGAGGGATTCTTATAAAACTCTTGAGAATCATTTGTCACTTTCTATTATGTTTCATCCTGATACCCGGATTATTGAATACATTCCTAAAGGAAAAAGATCCTCGTCGTAGATTAAAAGCGATAGGACCAATGTGCAATTGTCTGATGGCTGTCTTGAAATACACGATGTTTCTTTATCAAGGAGAAAAGCTGGAAGATTGCGTGACTCGGCTCGAGGAGGATTGGAAACAAGTTGTAAGGTTGAAGGATCGTCGAACTATGTTAGAAAAGGCAAAAATTGGCCGAAGTATCGCGATACTTTGCGTGGCTTTCGTTTATATCAGTGGCTTCTCGTTTCGCATAATCGTTCCATTATCGAGTGGAACGATTGTAAACGCTCGAAACGTTACGATAAGACCTCTCGCCTTCTCTTGCTATTTCGTTTTCTTCGATCCTCAAAAAACGCCAGCTTACGAGATCGTATTCGCTATACAATTTATGGCTGGTTTCGTAACTTACTCTATAACTAGCGGTGCATGTAGTTTGGCTGCTCTATACGTTCTTCATGCTTGCGGACAACTCGAAATCCTTATAAGAAGATTGGAGGAGCTCGTTGAGGATCCTAATGCGAATACCGTCGCGCTCGAGGAAAAATTAGCCACATTGGTGAGACATCATATAACGGTTAACAGGTAAGGATCAACATGCGGCGACTTAGATAATCTGAAATTTGAATCAACGTATCTTCAGAGATATATTATATTTCTATTCATTATTCGCCATTTATTTGTAGCTTTTTAAAGAACATCGAGGACGCCATGCAACATATATGTCTGGTGGAAGTGGTCGGTTGCACATTGATTTTATGCCTTCTCGGATATTATATCATAATGGTTGGTGGGCCTCGAATTAACAATTTGAAGTTTCTTCGATAAAACTTACGATAAAACCCATTTATGTTCACAGGAATGGGAAAATAACGACACGGTAGCGATGCTAACGTATGCGATATTACTGATCACTTTTACGTTTAACATTTTTATCTTTTGCTTCATAGGAGAACTTTTAACAGATCAGGTAGACATTGTAATTATATATATATAAATATATATTTTTTTTTTCCTTCATTTTTCGTCATCTACTTACACATATGTAGGCTACGAAAGTCGCAAACACGTCCTGCACGCTCGAATGGTTCCGCTTACCAGGAAGAACAGCACGGTGTTTAATTTTGGTAATGGCCATGTCGAATCGACCGGTGAAAATTACAGCTGGGAAGTTTTTAGATCTTTCTCTCAATAGTTTTGGTACAGTAAGTATATCTCAACAAGAATCTGATAAAAAAATAAAAGTAAATAAATAGTATCAAAATAAAATTCAATTTTATCTGGTTTATAATATTTTTCAGGTAGTTAGAACGTCAGTAGCGTATTTGAATATGCTTCGTACTACTAGTATCTGATATTCCGGGAACACGGATTCATTTGAAATAAATTAAAGCATTTACCTCATCTCCACTTTGATAATATGTAAACGATTACAAGCACTTTTTTATTTATACGAATAAAAACGCGAAAAGATAGCAAATATATTGATTTTACAATAAGGAGCGCAGATTAAAATTTTGACGTTTCTTTCGATTTATCCGATACTCAATGATACTCGTGATCACACTTCGTAACACAAAAGTATTAAATAATTGTACCGAGGCAATTTCTTACGATGAAAATGCAAAAGAAATAAAGTATCCGTAGGAACAGGTCTATGTTCTTAATGAAAGGTTGGAATAATGCGCAAGATAATCTGATACGCAAGCGTTGACCCCTACTTCGTATAGCAACCAAGACACCCCACCGCTATACTTTTACTCTATACTATTTTCCTCTTTTCGTTTCGAGTCGTATTGCTTCCAAGTGAAGTTACAACTTTCAATTACTTCAGTGTTTACCGGGGGAATCATGCCGATCGAACTGCAGATAAATAACTTTAAGAAAGAACAGGAAAAGAGAATAGGACAAGAGAATATCGTTTCTAGAAACAAGAGATCCCTAAATTATTCTATGAAAATACCCTATTATATTTTACGAGTTATCGGTGTCTGGCCTATTCGAACAGACGCATCTCTGTGTGAAAGATTCGGTAGCTATTTGATGAAATGCATCTGCTACTTTTTCTTCGCGTTCATTTTGATACCGGGATTTCTTCGGATTTTCCTTATCGAAAAAAGTACACAACAAAAATTAAAAATATTCGGACCACTTTGCTCGTGCTCGACGAACGCTATGAAATACAGTATACTCTTGATGTATAGAGAGAAGATCAAAACGTGTTTGAAACACATAAGAGAAGACTGGGAAATGGTAGTTCTTCCGGAAGATCACGAACTCATGATGTCTCAAGCTAAAATCGGAAGAATTCTTGCAACCATGTCAATTTGTTTTATTTACGGTGCAGGATTATTTTATCGTACCTTTCTGCCGCTCTCCAAGGGCTCCGTTGTCGTCGGCAATCACACGATAAGACCCCTCGCTTGTCCAAGTTATTTTGTAATATTCGATGAGCAAAAGACGCCTGCTTATGAACTCGTATTTTTTGGCCAATTTCTTGGTGGCTTTACCGTTTATACCGTGGGCAGCGGAGTTTGTGGATTGGCAGCTTTCTTGATTATGCACGTTTGCGGCCAACTTCGGATATTGATGAGAAAAATGAACGACATCGTCGATGGTAATTATACCGACGAGAAGAATCCAAATAAACGCATTGCCGAAGTTATCCATCATCAAATCAGAACAAGAAGGTAATTTATTAGGTTCCTTCCTGAAATCAACATTGTTTTGAGTTAATAAATATCGAATCATTTATCTTACTTACAGTTTCGTTAAAGACGTGGAAGAAATTTTGCAATATCCTTGCATGGCCGAGATAATGGGTTGCACGAGTCTAGTTTGTCTCGTCTTATACTATTTGGTTATGGTACGTATTATTTTTATAAGATTTATTCCGTTTAAATAAATAATTTTGCCTAATGATGTCCATCATTTATATTTTGATTCAAAAGGAATGGGAGGATAGCGATGCCACTGGTCTGATAACTTTTATTTTACTTTTCGTATCATTCGCTTTCAACATGTTCATCTTTTGTTATATCGGAGAACTTCTTTCGGAACAGGTAGAACGATCGTGCATTATTCGTGCATTATGAATTTAAATTTTGGATAAATAATCATCTACGATGCTTTATCTGCTAATAGGGTGCGAAGGTTGGGTTGACATCCTGTACCTTAAATTGGTATTGTCTTCCTACAAAGGATACAAAATCTTTGATTCCAGTCATACTTATGTCTAATTATCCAGTGAAAATCGTAGCCGGTAAATTAATGGATATGTCTCTCAGTAATTTCAACAATGTAAGTACGATGATTGATCGTAGGCATTGCCTGTAAAAAAAAAAAAAAATGAACGAATGCTTTATTTCCCTTAGATTATCAAAACGGCTATAGGGTATTTCAATATTCTTCGAAACAGTGTTTAACGTGATATCAAACGGCGAATATTTTTCTAGCGGATCAACGAATTAAACAACGCCAAATGTTTGTATATACGTGTAGTGTAGAGAATAAATGACGATAGCCACGATAGAAAAAAGTTGTTCCGAATAAATTTTCCCGATTCTTATGGAATTCGCATAATACCAACTTAGGAATGAATATAATCGATGTTTCAAAGAATTTAAATTACCTTTAGAGTCCTTAAATCTCTCTATTTTTTTTTTCTTTTATTGATCTTGAAGAGTAAAAAGTGCGACTCTTATTATCAAAATAATATCAATCAAAAATGATACAATAGATGCATTCGTTCGATAAAATTAAGAATGTATTATACGTACAATTATTGCGATCATCTTTGTTTTATTAACATACTTTGAATGCTATGAAAGAGCTCGAAGAATAACTTAAAAAAAAAAAAAAAAGAAAAAAGCATCGATAAAGTGTCTTAAACCAAATTGTACCGAACTGTCATTGAACATATGTTACTTACGAAAATAGTAGTGATCACTATAAGTAAAGAATTACGAAAGCCATTACGTTCGCAGTCTACTTTGCAATCGAAATAAGTTCTCCCTCTGCGATGCGCTTCTGCGCGCAAAGCCTCTGTCCCATCTAGATTCTACAGACTGCTTGGTCAGTAACACTCTAGAGCCAGATAAGAACGGTCCAATCGTGATAAAATTGTATCTGAAATGAGACAGTTAGAGGAGAAAACATTTCGCGCTACCGCCTATTCCGATAGAAACGAATTTGCTTTAAATTATTCGATAAGAATCGGCCGTGGAATATTGAGAGTGATCGGCGCTTGGCCACTCTATAAAGAAAATTCAAACATCGAAAAGTTCTATAGCTATTTTGCAAAGGGCTTTTGTTATTTTCTCTTTACCTTTCTACTCGTACCAGGGCTGCTTCGAATTTTCTTCATAGAACAAAATACACGCATACGGCTGAAGATCTTTGGTCCTCTCTGCTCGTGTTCGATAAACGCTATGAAATATAGTATATTAATAACGCGGGGGAAAAAGATTCAAGAATGTATGAAGCATGTTAGGGAGGATTGGAAAAAAATAGTGTTGAAAAAGGATTATGAATCAATGATGTCGCATGCCAAGATTGGAAGGACTTTGGCGTTGATGTCAGTCTCTTTTCTGTATGGCGCTGGAATGTCTTATCGTACTATTTTACCTCTTACAAAAGGCAAACTCACCATCGGTAATCTCACAATATGACCCCTTGCTTGTCCGAGTTACTTCGTAATATTCGATGAGCAAAAATCGCCAGCTTACGAGCTCGTCTTTTTTGGACAATTTCTTGCTGGCTTCGCCGTCTACTCGGTAGCTTGTGGCGTTTGTGGTTTAGCGACCTTTCTGATCATGCACGCGTGTGGCCAACTCGAAATTCTTATGAGAATGATGAGAGACATTGTCGACGGGAAAGACGACGTCGATGATACTGATCCGGATACGCGTATCGCTGAGGTAATTAGACATCAAATCCGATCCAAGAAGTAAGTATTACCTTTTAACGTTTTACATCATTTTTACATGACTTTGCATTCCTTCTTTATATACTTTTAAAAGTTTGCGTGACTCGATGTCCGCATCCATGATGATCATCTGTAAAATTATACCAGATCTATATCTTAGCAATATTTTATTTTCAGTTTTGTAAAGGAAGTAGAAGAGATTCTGCAGTACATGTGCATGGTAGAGATCTTGGGTTGTACTAGTCTCGTTTGTCTTGTTTTGTATTACGTTATCATGGTACGCTTTTCAGATTTGTACATTTGAATAATATCGTCGAACTAATAAAAGAATCATCAAATTCGTAGGAGTGGGAAAATAGTGATACGACCGGATTAATTACATATTTCATTTTTCTCCTATCTTTCGCTTTCAACATGTTTATTTTTTGTTACATCGGCGAGCTTCTTTCGGAACAGGTGCGAAACGTTTTTCTTATTTTCTATTTTCCTATCGATCTTATTCTTTTTATTATTCATTTATTTTTTTTTTTATACTTTTTCATAGAGAAATATAACACTTGTATTATTTTTTCAAGGGTGCGAAAGTCGGAATAACTTCTTGTACTCTTGAATGGAATCGTCTTCCGACGAAAAGTGCTCAAAGCCTAATATTGATAATATTAGCGTCGAATCATCCGATAAAAATCGTAGCCGGTAAATTGATGCACATGTCATTCAGAAATTTCAATAACGTAAGTACATTCACAAACGCAACATGGTTTATAATATTCGCGTAAAGAATTTAGATGGTCAACGCGTACGATCTTACTTTTCTAGATAATTAAGACCGCGGTCGGATACTTCAACATCCTTCGAAGTAGTATCTAATATGGAAATCAATGACCAAAATTGCAATTTTTATAGTCACAAATCGAGAGATTTGAATAGTTGCCAATTTTGTAAAATATTAATGAATACGCGACGGTAGTTTAAATGAATAACGGATTATAATAAAAGTAGTAACAAATTTGTTTCGGTTATTTCTTAGAATAAAATCAGATAATTATAAAATTAAAAAATCTTTGCCATTATATGTTTGGCAAAGTAAATAATCCTCGTTCTTGGTGTACATTGAAGACGTATTAAAAATAACACCTTCGACATTGTATTCCTCCATAATGTCCCATCCTTATCCAATCATTGTATTCTACTGGTCTTCGATCGTCCAGTCCAATAACGCCTTGTAACTGGCAAACGTAAATACGTACTCTTTGTCACCCTAAGAGACAAAAGGAGGGCTGCACCCTCCCTGTTGCGCTTAAACCGTTCCCATTAGTTTTGCTTGAATCACCAACTGAAAAAGAAACGAGAGATTATGTTTTCTGATGTCCTAAAAAAATAATTTTTTGTGATTCTATATAACGAGAAGTGTCACCGATTATTTTAATATTTTTCAAGGAACAATGCCGAATTTAATTCTAAATAATATTCGATTGCAGTTACTCTGGGAATAAATGTAATTATCTAGAAGAAATTTTTTTTTTTCTTTTTATGAATTTATCTCCATAAACAAATATATTATTTGGCTAAGGAAAAAACGAATGCTTTTGAGTATCATCTATTCCATTAGACGCTTCTTTAGATACACTCAGTATCCTTCGGGTTTATTTTACTTTTCCGGAGACAATGTTATATTTCCGTTTTACATTTGCTGTCGTATTAGTTAACGCAACTGCTTGTGCAAGCGTATAAGCGCGTTCAATTAATTTACCGCTATTCTTTTTTACCTTTCTCAGTTCGTTGATTATAGTTAGTTTAGAATTTACAGTTGTCGTTTGGTGATGTTAAGAAACTACTCGAAGATTAGAATAAACATGGCATAAACATGGATTATATTGTTCAAGAGAAATTTGAGAGAAATAAAGTTAACGTTAGGAACGGGAATGAGTTCGAATATTCATCGACCATGCCCCGATATCTTTTGAAAATGATCGTAGCTTGGCCACTTGATGGAAATTCTTCCACATTCGAAAGATTTATTAAACGCTTCGTAAACCTTCTTTGTTACCTTTTCTTATTATTATTATACTTCATTCCCACCTTACTATTCGTGCTTTTCACGTCACAAGACATGCGAAAGAAGGTCAAGATCTGTGGCACCTGCGGTCTTGCCGCACTTATCGCAATGCATGCTTGCGGTCAACTTGAAACGGAACTCATGGCTTGAATATCTCGTCGATGGTCAGAGAAGATGTTTCGAACAGGCTCCTCAACAGATTGGATGACATCGTCAAACTGTATGCTTTCAGATTTTTCCGACACTGATCCTAGATTAATTATTATTTAAAATGATTTTTATCTGAAAGTACGAAAGCTGCCGTAGTATCTATTACTCTTGACTGGTGCAATATGCTTTTGAAAATATGCTCATAATAATAATGAGCCATAGCATACCTTTGCTCGTAGCTGGTAACACGATGAATACTTTCCTCGGCGATTTCAATGTCGTAAGCATTACGATCGGCTTGCATTTTACTCTTATCATTCAAATGATAATGTAATTTTTTTGTGATTGTAGATAACGAGAAGTGCCACTGATTATTTTAATATTTTTCAAGAAACGATGCCAAGTTTAATCCTAAACAATATCCGTTTAATTGAAGTTACTCTGGGAATAAATGTAATTATCTAAAGGAAATTTTTTCTTCCTTTTTTGTATATCGCCGTAAACAAATGTTATTTGGGCAAGAAAAAAATCAATGTTTTTGAACATTACCTTGACACTTTGACAAAAGCACACAAAACCCTTCGAGTGTATTTCACGTTCACAGAACAACGTTATATTTTCGTTTTACATTTGTCGTTGTACTGGCTAGCGCAACTCTTTGCGCAAGCGTAAATGCGCGATCAATTAATTTACTACTACTTTTTTTTCCCCTTCTAAGTTTATCGATTATAGTTACTTCAGAACTCTTAGTTGTCCTATGGTGATGTTAGGGAACTGCTCGAAGTTTGGAATAGACGAGTATAAAAAATGAAATCTAATGTTCAAGAGAAATTTAACAAAAATAAAGTTTACGTTGCCTACGAAGATAATTGTGAATATATAATAAGCGTGACCCGATACCTTTTGAAAATGATCGCCGTCTGGCCGCTCGATGACAATGCTTGTGCATCCGAAAGAATTTACAGATACTGCATGAACGTTTTTATTTTCGCTTTGATAATATTCTTTTTTGCACCCAGCATACTATACGCGATTTTCAAGACAAAAACCACAAGAGTTAAAATCAGAATCTTTAGCATGGTTATAATGAATTTGGCAAATGTTGTGAAATATATTTTTTTATTGATATATAATAAAGAAATAAAAATGTGTTTGTACGAGACAAAAGAGGACTGGAAAAATATTATATTGCAGCAGGATTATGAGAATATGTCATCTCGAGGCAAACTTGGAAGATCTTTGACGATACTGTCAACTTGCTTGACGTATGGTGCAATTTTATTTAACCGTGTGCTAATACCACTCTCCAAAGGGAACATAATTGTAAACAACGTTACGATAAGACGATTGCCTCTTCCAAGTTATTACATTTTTTTCGACGTGCAGAAATCACCAGTTTACGAATTCATTTACTTTGCTCAAATATTTACTGGATTCGTTGTTTTCACCATCGCTACGGCCGTATTCGCTTTAACGACATATTTTATCATGCATATCTGCGGTCAAATTGATATTCTGATAAGAGAAATTCAGGATATCGAGACGGCGAACTCGGACGTTGAAAATGCTGACAAACTCATCCGCTTGGCGATTCAGCATCAGATACAAATTAAAAGGCAAGTTGGAAAACAAGCGATGGAGTATACTCACAAACACACTTAAAATTAAAATATAAGATGCACATATCTAATCACTTTTAATATTCTTCATTAGAATTTGCATGTATGTACAATACGTACTAGTAATTATTGTTACTTACTTATATTGTTTGTTACAGCTTTTTGAAAAAAGTAATGCAGATTGTAGAGTACATGTGCCTAGTGGAAATACTTTCTTGCATGCTCAGTATTTGCGTCGTCCTTTACGCTTTGAATAGGGTACGATGAAGAAAATAAAAAGAGAGATAGAGTATACATCTACGATATTACAGAAGGCATTGGCCCAATTCAATACTTCGCTGTACAAATTTTCCTTTTAATTCGATCGTATAAACTCGTTATATACACGTCATTATATCATTTATTGTCAATTTCTAATTTTTTTTTTCAAATCTATCGTTCGAAAATTTTATTTCAATTCGTACGAAAATCACGTTTATTTCGAGCTTTTTGATATCGTATTAAATTTAAATAGAATGAATAATAAATACATAGGCATATAATACTCCTTTCATAATAAACATAACTCGTTAATAAATTTACAGGATTATACTTATAGCGTAATATCTTTAATAGGGTATTCAACAGTCATCATATCGTTCACTTTCAACCTTTTCATTTTTTGTTACATTGGAGAAATTCTGGATACTCAGGTATTTTTTTAATCAATTTTTAATGTTTAATATTTCTAATCAATTTTTAATCGGTTTTTCTACGAATTTCCTACATTTCTTTGTCATAATCGAAATTTATTCTCCAGAATATGAAAGTCATAGCAGTTTCAAGAACGCTCGACTGGCATAATCTCCTCCTTAAATCTGCCAAAAATTTGGTAATAGTAATACTTGCAGCGAATGATCCACAGAAGTTAATAGCAGGCAAGTTTGTGGCCCTGACATTGAGTAACTTCACTACGGTAAATATTAAGATCCTTTCAAATTCTCATCGATAGTCTAACTTTATTACGAATGTGATATAATTGACGATTACATTTTAACAGATGTTTAAAACAGCTATCGGATACTTCAATATTCTTCGAAATACTACTTCGTAGTTGTATCGAGCTTTGATCTCAATAGATACGATTAGGGACTATTAATATCTATGTTACACAATAAACAAACTTACTAGGAGAAAAAAAATCGACGAATACAAGAATTCTTTTTGCTTTCCTTGCTTTTTATCGTAAACATTGTTTTGCACTCTTGTTTTATCACTATCTTTGAGTTTAAAAAAAAAAATATATATATATATAGGAGAAAAAAGTACAAAGAACATTGAAGCAATCTAGAACAGGATGAATATATTTCATAAAATCTATCGTAAGTAATTCGTATTGGCGTTGTTCGTATAGCTTTGTGCACACTGGCCTCGCATATAAGTATACATTCTTATCAGTTTCGCCAAAAATAAAACGCAGCACGCTTGCGATGAATTTTATAATTTTCGTGAAAATCACATAGAACGTTGTCGAAGTTTTTTAAGGAGCACCGATAAAACACACACAGTCAATACTATCTCACAGTAGAATAGATCGAGAGTATGAACTAATATGGCCTATGACAGAAAGAATAGGCGGGACGAAATTAGCGCAAGCGCAAAACTGATTCGTTCGAGGGTGCATTTCTAATTGTGTCTTAAAGTTTCAGTAACGTTTTAGCATTGAGACTAGACAAACGACTCTGTCTTGTCGGTACTACATGGAAAATTTCACGATTGACAATTTCGAAAAGGACGTTGATCTAAGTGTCTCTCTAAATCGTTGGGTATCTAAACCGATTGGTACTTGGCCTTTTTCATCAGATGTCTCTAAAAACGATCGATTTGAGATTTTTCTAAAAAAGATTACAATCGTGATTTGCTATATGCTATTAGGTTTCATCTTGATATTTGGCGGAATGTATTTAGTTCTTGAGTTAGAAGACTTTTACAGTCACTTGAAACTTGGCAGCGCGCTCAGCTTTTTCTTGATGGCTGCTATAAAATATTTCGTTCTGATAGTTCGCGAGAACGATATACGGAGATGTATAGGTTGCATAGAGATGGATTGGAGGAACGTAAAATATCTCGAAGATAAAAAGATTATGATCGAGAATGCAAAATTTGGACGTAAACTCTTAATTATTTGTGGTGTCTTTATGTATGGTGGCGTTCTTTTTTATTACGTAGCCTTACCAATGACACGTCAAAAAGTTTTTGACGAAGAGAAAAACATTACATATAGATCTCTCGTATATCCTGTACCGAAGATCGTCGCGGACACTCGTCTAAGCCCAATCAATGAGATTTTCTACGTTCTTCAACTCTTTTCCGGTCTGGTCGCACACAACATAACCGTAGCTACCTGCGGTCTCGCCGCACTTCTCGCGATGCATGCTTGCGGTCAACTTGAAATACTTATGTCCTGGCTTGAATATCTCGTCGACGGTCGAGAAGATGTTTCGGACACGCTCGACAACAGATTGGCTAATATCGTCGAACAGCATATGCGTGCTTTCAGGTAAACCTACTTTAATGTTCTGTCATGCTCGCTTTCCTTCGACGGTATCAAATATAGTTGTATACCCTTGGACACTTAATTTCCAGTTCGCCTATACTCGATATCTTCTATCGATAATAGTTACGTCTACATCAATATGGAATTTTTACATTTTAGTTTCATTAAACGCACAGAAGAGATAATACGAGAAATATCCCTCGTTGAGTTAATGGGATGCACTTTGAACATGTGTTGCCTCGGATATTATTGTATGGTGGTACGCATATGATCTAGTAAATAAATCATTCTTGCACGTTGAACGATTTTTTTTTCATCCCTTTCTTTTTCATTTTCTCCTCGCTCCCTTTTTTTGTTTCTATTAATTCTACGCACAAATTTCCATTATATAGATTATTTACTTCTCTTATCTATAAATTGCAGGAATGGGATATTAGACGACCACTCGATAGCTTTACTTATTTAATATTACTTACATCGGTCACATTCAACATCTTCATATTTTGTTACATAGGCGAAGTTCTTGCCGAACAGGTATTTTCCTTAATCATCTTTGGCAGAATTTTTTAATATGATTATAATATTATATGATAGAAAAGCCTACATACGTAGAACGTTTATACGCAATACGTGATAAACGCGAATAGGAATACGAAATACATAAGAATTCGAAAAACATAAAAAATTCAGAAGACCCAGAACATTTGCGCGAAATATTTTCTATACTAATTGCAAAGATGTTGTAACAGACTGTGAAAGTTGGTGAAAGATCTTACATGATAGATTGGTACCGGATACCGGAAAGAAAAAGTCTTGCCCTTGTGTTGATAATTATGATGTCTAATTCGTCCACCAGATTGACCGCTGGCAATTTTATTGAATTATCTATAAGTAGTTTTTGTGACGTAAGTATTCAATCGGACAAATATAAATGATAGGATCCTAAAATTTTAAATTATCACTTGGTAGGATCCTAAAGATTGAAATTATTACTTGAATAACTTTTCTCTAAATATTTTTACTTTTAAATCCAGGTAATTAAGTCAGCTGGTGCCTACTTGAACATGCTTCGTACGTTTACAATCTAGAATATATTACTGGTAGAAACATGATTTAGTATTTATTAGACTGTTCACTTCTAAAAGAAAGTAACGAAAAAAAGGGAATAATATTATTTGACTTTTAATTTATATCCAAAACCATATTTTCAATGTCCACTTCATCTTCCAATAATCAGAATCATTAATTCTAAACATTGGTTGAAGCGGCATGAAAATACCATACTTGATAGTTTGCTACGGAAGGAATATCGGTGGTCGATAGATAAATCGTGCGTGCGTGCGTGACTTAGAACATTGTTTCTACGTATTTTCATAGAATCTAAAGACTGAATAAATAGAAGATATGCGTAAAACGTGATCGTAATAGGGAAATAATATCCTGTGTAACGTATCGCATAGAAGGGTCGATCCCTTTTGCGCAAATCGGACAATCGTTTAATAGCGTTCTCATATATTATTTCTAAGTTAAAAAGTCATAATTATGTATATCCCATATTAAGGGAGAGAGACAATGAGAAAATACTCGATAATTTTATGCATATAAGTTGATTACATTAGTAATAGCTAGGGGATAGTGAGAAAATATCACGTTAACCATCATTAATAAATACAATAATTATACTTACGTGAACGACAAAGACTACAAAAAGTACGTATATCACACAATAAAATCCTCGATTCTTTACTTTTCGATGATATTCTTTCGTCTTTGTATTTTACATTCCTTATGTGATCTTGAAGATTGGGAACATCTATGACAAGCTGCACATACTGATGAATTGGTTGGAAAGCTTGCTAGATGCTCGGGAAGCTAGATGTGCCCTAACGTGGCCGAAGGAATAGTAAGTATCATTCGATATGACGCTCAAATCTTCAAGTAAATTTCTTATCATTGATCGTACATTGATCTTGAAGAATAGCCATATTGCTTATCTGAAAGAAATTTTGCTTATTAGCTTTATAACATTCAATGAGAAATAATTACATGAGGTTTCTCAGATCGTCTAGGATGTATGTAATTGAAATAAATATTTAGTTGGGTATTACTGCATTATGATGATTATACGTTTTGTATAACAAAATGAACGACGAATAAACAATAAAATGTTTTGTTACAGGAATGAAATATTACCCGAAGTTTAAGTTGTCTAACGTATGGCATAATTTTTACATCTATTACAGTAGAATTGAATCACCAAGAAAAGAATTATATTTCAGGTTTATTTCTTTTTTCTTTCAAATTGTTCTTTTCCGTACAAATTCTTTTGGCCAGAAACTAGACTATGACGACGAGTGCAAGTCTCGAGAAAAACTGTATATAAAGTTATAGCGATTTCGTAAGAATGGCAGAAGAATAAATCGTGCGATACCAAAGTTAAAAAAATATCACGTATCTACACTCGTAGATCAATAAAATTAAAAATGTATTATAGTACAATTATCGCGATGTCTATTGTCATATTAAGATACTTTGTCCTTTCTGAACGAATAACGTGACGAAAGTAAAGAAATAAAGGAAAAAGGAAAAAGCATCGATAAATCATTGTTCCAACCAATGAAAATTACAATTTAAAACTTATAATAATTTTTAAATGTATGTACATACTTAGGTAGAACACACTCCGGCAGGTAGAAGATAACGTAAGCCGTTGTATTCGCAGTGCACTTTATAACTGAAATAAGCTCTCTCTCTGTAATGGGCTTTTGCACGCAAGCGTAAAGCCCATTGCCCCATCTACATTCTATACGCTGCTCACTCAGTGAAGCTAGAGATCCTGATAAGGACGTTCCAATCGTGATATGATCGTACCTGAAATGAAACACTTAGAGGAGAAAAAATCCCGCGTTATCGCATATCCTAATAAAATCGAATTCGCTCTAAATTATTCCATACAAATAGGACGTTGTATTTTGAAAGTGATCGGGGCATGGCCGCTCTACAACGAAAGCTCAAACATCGAAAAGTTCTATAGCTATTTTGCAAAGGGCTTTTGTTACTTTCTCTTTATCTTTATACTCGTACCAGGACTGCTTCGGATTTTCTTAATAGAACAGAATACACGCATAAGGCTTAAGATCTTCGGTCCTCTTTGTACGTGTTCGATAAATGCTACGAAATATAGTATATTAATAACGCGCGGGAAAAAGATTGAAGAGTGCATGAAACATATAAGGGAGGATTGGAAAAAGGTAGTGTTGGAAAAGGATTACGAATCAATGATTTCGCATGCCAAGGTCGGAAGGACTTTGGCGGTGATGTCAGCCTCTTTTATATATGGCGCTGGAATGTCCTACCGTACTATTTTACCTCTCTCAAAAGGCAAACAAATCATCGGTAACCTCACTATAAGACCCATTGCATGTCCAAGTTACTTCGTAATATTCGATGAGCAAAAATCGCCAGCTTACGAGCTCGTCTTTTTTGGACAATTTCTTGCTGGCTTCGCCGTCTACTCGGTAGCTTGTGGCGTTTGTGGTTTAGCGACCTTTCTGATCATGCACGCGTGTGGCCAACTCGAAATTCTTATGAGAATGATGAGAGACATTGTCGACGGGAAAGATGACGTCGATGATACTGATCCAGATACTCGTATCGCCGAGGTAATTAGACATCAAATCCGATCCAAGAAGTAAGTATTACCTTTTAACGTTTTACATCATTTTCACACGACCTTGCATTTCTTCTTTATATACTTTTAAAAGGTTGCGTGACTCAAAGTCCGCATCCATGATGATCATCTGTAAAATTATACCAGATATATATCTTAGCAATATTTTATTTTCAGTTTCGTAAAGGAAGTAGAAGAAGTTCTGCAGTACATGTGCATGGTAGAGATCGTGGGTTGTAATAGTCTCGTTTGTCTTGTTTTGTATGACGTTGTCATGGTACGTTTTTCATATTTGTACATTTAATTAATATCATCAAACTAATAAAAGAATCATCGAATTCGTAGGAGTGGGAAAATAGCGATACGACCGGATTAATTATATATTTGATTTTTCTCCTATCTTTCGCCTTTAACATGTTTATTTTTTGTTACATCGGCGAGCTTCTTTCGGAACAGGTGCGAAACGTTTTTCTTATTTTCGATCTTCCTATCGATCTTATACTTTTTATTATTTATTTATTTTTTTTTATACTTTTTCATAGAGAAATATAACACTTGTATTATTTTTTCAAGGGTGCGAAAGTCGGAATAACTTCTTGTACTCTTGAATGGAATCGTCTTCCGACGAAAAGTGCTCAAAGCCTAATATTGATAATATTAGCGTCGAATCATCCGATAAAAATCGTAGCCGGTAAATTGATGCACATGTCACTCAGTAATTTTAATGGCGTAAGTACATTCATAAACGCAACATGCTTTTCGATATTTTCGTAATGATTTCAAATCATTAGCGTACGATCTTATTTTTTTAGATCATTAAAACTTCGGTTGGATATTTCAACATCCTTCGAAATAGTACCTAAAATCATTGAGCAGAATCACAGTTTTTCTAGTAAAGAATTGAGGGATTTGAGTAGTAGTAGAATTATTATAATGAAAGTTGAAACAAATTTCTTTGAATTACATCTTACAATAAGAATAAGTAATTATAAAAATAGAAAATCTGTAATATATAAAATTTGTCAAAGTAAATAATTCTTTTCGTGGCACACTTTGAAAAAGTATTAAGAAAAAAAATTCCTGCGATATTGTATCCCGTCCGAATGACCTATCAATATGCACAATTACAGTTGTACTGTAATTGTCCTACGATCGTTCATGTAATAAGTCAGAGTAAAAGTTCACTCCTTATCACCCCAAGAAAATCTCTGCTACTTCATTCCAAAAAGTTATTTACTTACTATCACACGAATCGAAGTTGCGCATGGACCGTGTTTATTAATTACGTTTGAACAACAGTCTTGAAATAGATTGAGATGTCGTGTATGAATATTCTGTGTAACTTATCGCATAAAAGGGTCGACCCCCTTTAGCGGAAATCATACGATCGTTTAATAGCGTTCCCATATACTATTTCTAAGTTAAAGAGTAGCATTTACGTATCTTCGATCTTAAGAGGGGAATGAGTAATGCTTGGGTCAACGCAGGCGCACAATAACTCCACAAATATATAAAATGATGCTAGTATTATCAGTAATAGTTCAGAGGTAGTGAAGATATCACGTTAAATATGATTACCAAAAACGATAACTATACTTCCGCGAACAATGAGTGCGACGACTACATGAAGTACGTAAATCTTACAACTGAACCGAATCGCTGGATTTTGGAGCCATTGGGTATTTGGCCATTGAAAAGAGATTGCGTCGAGGTGTCTTGGAAGGACAATTTTCTCCGTAGAGGAAAAAACGTGATCTTTTATTTTCTAATGATTTTTGTCTTTGTATCTTGCGTTCCTTACGTGATTTTTGAGGTCGAAAGTCTCTACGATAAGTTGAAGCTTACCGGTCCATTGAGTTTCTGTGCGATGGCCATTCTCAAGTATATCTTTTTGACTATTCGAGAGGAGGAGATTCGATGTTGTGTGAAGTCTATCGAGATGGATTGGAAGAGGATAACGCATTTCGAGGATGAACAAATAATGATCAATAAAGTTTACTTTGGACGTCGTCTTGTGACTGTTTGCATCATTTTCACATACAGTGCTGCTAGTTTTTATTACATTGTCTTACCTTTGATGAGCGGAAAGGTTTTTGCATCTGCTATAAACGTAACATACAGGCCAGCTCCTTTTCCGGTAGCTAGCTTCTTCATGGATATTCGTTACAGTCCGGCAAACGAAATTATTATCTTTATTCAATGTCTTTACGGATTTGCGGCTCATTCGATCGCAGCTGGTACTTGCAGTTTGGCAGCCGTTTTCACGATGCACGCTTGCGGGCAGCTGCAGGTCTTGATGAATTGGCTGGAACACTTGTTGGATGGTCGGGAAGGCATGTGCTCCAACGTGGACGAAAGAATGGCGAGTATCATTCAACAACATGTCCGAATTTTGAAGTAAGCTGTCTTTCATTAAACTTTTTCCTTGAGGAAGACTAGCCGTATTGTTTTGCCTGAAAAAGATTTTGTTTTTATAGTTTCATATCGCTCACTGAAAATTTATTAAATGAGGTCTCTCTAATCGAGGTCGTCGGATGTACTTTAAATATGTGCTTACTTGGATATTATTGCATTATGGTGGGTATGAGTTTAATATAACCAAATGAACGACGAATGAACAACAAAATATTTTGTTACAGGAAAGTAACATGTCCGAAAGAATAGGTTGCATAACGTATGGCATAATTCTTACATCCGTGACTTTCAATATTTTCATATTTTGTTACATAGGAGAGCTACTTATGGAACAGGTTCGTTAAATTATTTATAATTCATTGAATGGAATCAGTATGATGAGATAAATTCATACAAAATATTTTTTCTATTAGTGTCAAATATTAGGAGAGCGAACGTACGCAATCGATTGGTATCGTTTAACAGGAAAGAAAAGTCAACCTCTTATTCTCCTAATCGCCATGTCGAGAGCAACAACGAAATTAACGGCCGGAAATTTCATGGAGCTTTCTTTGAGTAGTTTCAGCGACGTAAGTATGTACTAAAAATGTGAATTAGAAAAAGAAATGTTACCTTTATTCTTTCATTCATGACAGATTATCAAATCTTCGGTCGCCTACTTAAATATGTTACGAACATTGACGTAATCGGTTATCGAGTTCTGAAAATGTAAAGGAACATAACTTTTGACGATTATTTGATTAAACCACAATATTATTTTTTTGATTTAACAAATATTTAACTTTTTATCCTGTCCAGAAAAATATATTTTTTTCCCCTTTACATACCTTAAAACTTAAGATCCGTAACACTCGTAATAAGTCGTAAAAAATCACATAGATCACATTATTTACACTAAATTATTGTTACGTCTCTACGGCAAATCCTGCTGAAGGAAATCGAATGAAGAGCATTCGCGCCTATTTGCATTTGCATTTGCTTTACTAGGTTCGGTCAGACGAGCTTTGTTACGTTTAATGACGTAAATAGTTAATTACTACCGAGTGATTGTTCACACGTCGATCATGGCTGATGATGCATTCATGACAAATTCTTAGGGCTCGTTCGAGATTTGAACACTGACGACGAGTGCAAGTCTCGAGAAAAACTGTATATAAAGTTATAGCGATTTCGTAAGAATGGCAGAAGAACAAATCGTGCAATACCAAAATTAAAAAAATATCACGTATCTACACTCGTAGATCAATAAAATTAAAAATGTATTATAGTACAATTATCGCGATGTCTATTGTCATATTAAGATACTTTGTCCTTTCTGAACGAATAACGTGACGAAAGTAAAGAAATAAAGGAAAAAGGAAAAAGCATCGATAAATCATTGTTCCAACCAATGAAAATTACAATTTAAAACTTACAATTTAAAACATAAATGTATGTACATACGTAGGTAGAACACACTCCGGTAGATAGAAGATAACGTAAGCCGTTGTATTCGCAGTGCACTTCATAACTGAAATAAGCTCTCCCTCTGTAATAGGCTTTTGCACGCAAGCGTAAAGCCCATTGCCCCATCTACATTCCATACGCTGCTCGCTCAGTGGAGCTAGAGATCTTGATAAGAACATTCCAATCGTGATATGATCGTACCTGTAATGAAACAATTAGAGGAGAAAAAATCCCGCGTTATCGCATACCCTAATAGAATCGAATTCGCTCTAAATTATTCCATACAAATAGGACGTTGTATTTTGAAAGTGATCGGGGCATGGCCGCTCTACAACGAAAGCTCAAACATCGAAAAGTTCTATAGCTATTTTGCAAAGGGCTTTTGTTACTTTCTCTTTATCTTTATACTCGTACCAGGGCTGCTTCGAATTTTCTTCATAGAACAAAATATACGCATACGGCTGAAGATCTTTGGTCCTCTCTGCTCGTGTTCGATAAACGCTATGAAATATAGTATATTAATAACGCGGGGGAAAAAGATTCAAGAATGTATGAAGCATGTTAGGGAGGATTGGAAAAAAATAGTGTTGAAAAAGGATTATGAATCAATGATGTCGCATGCCAAGATTGGAAGGACTTTGGCGGTGATGTCAGCCTCTTTTATATATGGCGCTGGAATGTCCTACCGTACTATTTTACCTCTCTCAAAAGGCAAACAAATCATCGGTAACCTCACATTATGACCCCTTGCTTGTCCGAGTTACTTCGTATTATTTGACGAGCAAGAAACTCCAGCTTACGAGCTCGTCTTTTTTGGACAATTTCTTGCTGGCTTCGCCGTCTACTCGGTAGCTTGTGGCGTTTGTGGTTTAGCGACCTTTCTGATCATGCACGCGTGTGGCCAACTCGAAATTCTTATGAGAATGATGAGAGACATTGTCGACGGGAAAGACGACGTCGATGATAACGATCCAGATACACGTATCGCCGCGGTAATTAGACATCAAATCCGATCCAAGAAGTAAGTATTACCTTTTAACGTTTTACATCATTTTCACACGAGCTTGCATTTCTTCTTTATATACTTTTAAAAGATTGTGTGACTTGAGCCCCGCATACTCGATGATCCTCTTTAAAATTATACCAGATCTATATCTTAGCAATATTTTATTTTCAGTTTTGTAAAGGAAGTAGAAGAGATTCTGCAGTACATGTGCATGGTAGAGATCTTGGGTTGTACTAGTCTCGTTTGTCTTATTTTGTATTACGTTATCATGGTACGCTTTTCAGATTTGTACATTTGAATAATATCGTCAAACTAATAAAAGAATCATCAAATTCGTAGGATTGGGAAAATAGTGATACGACCGGATTTATTACACAATTCATTTTTCTCCTATCTTTCGCTTTCAACATGTTTATTTTTTGTTATATCGGCGAGATTCTTTCGGAACAGGTGCGAAACGTTTTTCTTATTTTCTATTTTCCTATCGATCTTATACTTTTTATTATTTATTTATTTTTTTTTTTATACTTTTTCATAGAGAAATATAACACTTGTATTATTTTTTCAAGGGTGCGAAAGTCGGAATAACTTCTTGTACTCTTGAATGGAATCGTCTTCCGACGAAAAGTGCTCAAAGCCTAATATTGATAATATTAGCGTCGAATGATCCGATAAAAATCGTAGCCGGTAAATTGATGCACATGTCACTCAGTAGTTTTAATGGCGTAAGTACATTCATAAACGCAACATGCTTTTCGATATTTTCGTAATGATTCCAAATCATTAGCGTACGATCTTATTTTTTTAGATCATTAAAACTTCGGTTGGATATTTCAACATCCTTCGAAATAGTACCTAAAATCAATGAGCAGAATCGCAGTTTTTCTAGTCAAGAATTGATGGATTTGAGTAGTAGTAGAATTATTATAATGAAAATTGAAACAAATTTCTTTGAATTATATCTTACAATAAGAATAAGTAATTATAAAAATAGAAAATCTGTACTATATAAAATTTGTCAAAGTAAATAATTCTCTTCGTGGCGCACTTTGAAATGGTATTAAAAAAAATTTCCTGCGATATTGTATCCCGTCCGAATGACCTATCAATATGCACAATTACAGTTGTACTGTAATTGTTTTTCGATCGTTCATAACGTGTAATAAGTCAGAGTAAAAGTACACTCTTTATCACCCCAAGAAAAACTCTGCTACCTCATTCCAAAGAGTTATTTACTTACTATCATACGAATCGAAGTTGCGCTTGGACCGTGTTTAGTTATTGCGTTTGAACCACCGTCTCGAAATAGATTGAGATGTCGTGTATGAATATTCTGTGTAACCTATCGCATAGAAGGGTCGATCCCTTTAGCGGAAATCATACGGTCTTTTAATCGCGTTTCCATATACTATTTCTAAGTTAAAGAGTAGCATTTACGTATCTTCGATCTTAAGAGGGGAATGAGTAATGCTTGGTTCAACGCAGGCGCACAATAACTCCACAAATATATAAAATGATGCTAGTATTATCAGTAATAGTTCAGAGGTAGTGAAGATATCACGTTAAATATGATTACCAAAAACGATAACTATACTTCCGCGAACAATGAGTGCGACGACTACATGAAGTACGTAAATCTTACAACTGAACCGAATCGCTGGATTTTGGAGCCATTGGGTATTTGGCCATTGAAAAGAGATTGCGTCGAAGTGTCTTGGAAGGACAATTTTCTCCGTAGAGGAAAAAACGTGATCTTTTATTTTCTGATGATTTTTGTCTTTGTATCTTGCGTTCCTTACGTGATTTTTGAGGTCGAAAGTATCTACTATAAGTTGAAGCTTGCCGGTCCATTGAGTTTCTGTGTGATGGCCTTTCTCAAGTATACCTTTTTGACCATCCGAGAGAAGGACATTCGATGTTGCATCGAGTACATCGAGATGGATTGGAAGAAGATATCGCATTTCGAGGACGAACAAATAATGATCGATAAACTTCATACCGGACGTCGTCTCGTAACTCTTTGCATCATTTTGACTTTCGGTGCTGCTGGTTTTTATCACGTTGTCTTACCTTTGATGAGCGGAAAGGTTTTTGCACCTGCTATAAACGTAACATATAGGCCAGCTCCTTTTCCCGTAACCAGCTTGCTCATGGATATTCGTTACAGTCCGGCAAATGAAATTATTATCTTTATTCAATGTCTTTATGGATTTACGGCTCATTCGATCGCAGCTGGTACTTGCAGTTTGGCAGCCATTTTCACGATGCACGCTTGTGGACAGCTGCAGGTCTTGATGAATTGGCTGGAACACTTGTTGGATGGTCGGGAAGGCATGTGTTCCAACGTGGACGAAAGAATGGCGAGTATCATCCAAAAACATGTGCGAACATTGAAGTAAGCTCTCTTTTATTAAACTTTTTCCTCGAATAAGACTAGCCGTATTGTTTTATCTGAAAAAGATTTTGTTTTTATAGTTTCATATCGCTTACTGAAAATTTATTAAATGAGGTTTCTCTAATCGAGGTCGTCGGATGTACTTTAAATATGTGCTTACTTGGATATTATTGCATTATGGTGGGTATGAGTTTGATATAACCAAATGAACGACGAATGAACGACAAAATATTTTGTTACAGGAAAATAACATGTCCGAAAGAATAGGTTGCATAACGTATGCCATAGTTCTTACATCCGTGACTTTCAATATTTTCATATTTTGTTACATAGGGGAGCTACTTATAGAACAGGTTTATTATATTATTTATAATTCATCGAATGGAATCAGTATGATAAGATAAATTCATACAAAATATTTTTTCTATTAGTGTCAAATATTAGGGGAGCGAATGTACGCGATCGATTGGTATCGTTTAACAGGAAAGAAAAGTCAACCTCTTATTCTCCTAATCGCCATGTCGAGAGCAACAACGAAATTAACGGCCGGAAATTTCATGGAGCTTTCTTTGAGTAGTTTCAGCGACGTAAGTATGTACTAAAAATGTGAATTAGAAAAAGAAATGTTACCTTTATTCTTTCATTCATGACAGATTATCAAATCTTCGGTCGCCTACTTAAATATGTTACGAACATTAACGTAATCGGTTATCGAGTTCTGAAAATGTAAAGGAACATAATCCTCGACGATAATTTGATTAAAGCACAATATTATTTTTTTGATTTAACAAACATTTAAGTTTACATCTTGTCCAGAGTAATATTTTTTTTCGTATTTTTTCTTTTGGTTTTTTTTTTACATACATTAAAACTTACGATTCGTAATAAGCGTAATAAGTCATAAGTTATTAGGTAGATCACATTATATGCACTAAACTAATTTTACGTCCCTATGGCGAATCCTACTGAAGGAAATCCAATAAAGAACACAGGTGCCCATTTGCATTTGCATTTGCTTTGCTAGGTTCGGTTAGGCGAGCTTTGTTACGTTTAAAGACGTAAAATGTTACTTACTACCGTGTGATTGTTCAAACGTCGATCATGGCTGATGATGCATTCATGATAAATTCTTAGGGCTCGTTCGGGATCTGAACACTGACGACGAGTGCAAGTCTCGAGAAAAATTGTATATAATGTTATAGCGATTTCGTAAGAATGGCAGAAAAATTAATCATGCAATACCAAAATTAATAAAATATCACGTATCTACACTCGTAGATCAATAAAATGAAAAATGTATTATACGTACAATTATCGCGATGTCTATTGTCATATTAAGATACTTTGTTCTTTCTGAACGAATAACGTGACGAAAGTAAAGAAAATTACAATTTAAAACTTATAATAATTTATAAATGTATGTACATACATAGGTATAACACACTCCGGTAGATAGAAGATAACGTAAGCCGTTGCATTCGCAGTGCACTTTATAACTGAAATTAGTTGTCCCTCTGTAATAGGTTTTTGCACGCAAGCGTAAAGCCCATTGCCCCATTTACACTCTATATGCTGGTCGCTCAGTAAAGCTAAAGATCCTTATAAGAACATTCCAATCGTGATATGATCGTACCTGAAATGAAAAAGTTAGAGAAGAAAAAATCCCGCGTTATCGTATATCCTAATAGAATCGAATTCGCTCAAAATTATTCTATACACATAGGACATTGTATTTTGAAAGTGTTTGGGAGCTGCCCACTCTACAAAGAAAGCTCAGACATCGAAAAGTTCTATAGTTATTTTGCAAAGGGCCTTTTGTTACTTTCTCTTTATCTTTCTACTCGTACCAGGGCTGTTTCGAATTTTCTTAATGAAACAGAATTCACGCATACGGCTGAAAATCTTAGGTCCTCTCTGCTCGTGTTCGATAAACGCTATGAAATATAGTATATTAATAACGCGGGGGAAAAAAATTCAAGAGAGCCTGAAACATATAAGGGAGTATTGGAAAAGGATTACTAATCAATGATGTCGCATGCCAAGATCTGAGGGACTTTGGCGTTGATGCCAGTCTCTTTTATATATGGCGCTGGAATGTCCTACCGTACTATCTTACCTCTCTCAAAAGGCAAACAAATCATCTGTAACCTCACTATAAGACCCATTGCATGTCCGAGTTACTTCGTATTATTCGATGAGCAAAAATCACCAGCTTACGAGCTCGTCTTTTTTGGACAATTTCTTGCTGGCTTCGCCGTCTATTCGATAGCTTGTGGCGTTTGTGGTATAGCGATCTTCCTGATCATGCACGCGTGTGGCCAACTCGAAATTCTTATGAGAATGATGAGAGACATTGTCGACGGGAAAGACGACGTCGATGATACTGATCCAGATACTCGTATCGCCGAGGTAATTAGACATCAAATCCGATCCAAGAAATAAGTATTACCTTTTAACGTTTTACATCATTTTCACACGACCTTGCATTTCTTCTTTATATACTTTTAAAAGGTTGCGTGACTCAAAGTCCGCATGCACGATCATCGTCTGTAAAATTATACCAGATATATATCTTAGCAATATTTTATTTTCAGTTTCGTAAAGGAAGTAGAAGAGATTCTGCATCGAAAAAGTGAAGTATTTCACAACAAGGTTTTTAATATTCTCGTAATGATTCCAAATCATTAGCGTACGATCTTATTTTTGTAGATCATTAAAACCTCTATTGGATATTTCAACATCTTTCGAAATAGTACCTAAAATCAATGAGCAGAATCACAGTTTTTCTAGTAAAGAATTGAGGGATTTGAATAGTAGTAGAATTATTATAATGAAAGTTGAAACAAATTTCTTTGAATTACATCTTACAATAAGAATAAGTAATTATAAAAATAGAAAATCTGTACTATATAAAATTTGCCAAAGTAAATAATTCTCTTCGTGGCACACTTTGAAAAAGTATTAAAAAAAAAAATTCCTGCGATATTGTATCCCGTCCGAATGACCTATCAATATGCACAATTTCAGTTGTACTGTAATTGTCCTACGATCGTTCATAACGTGTAATAAGTCGGAGTAAAAGTACACTCTTTATCACCCCAAGAAAAACTCTGCTACCTCATTCCAAAGAGTTATTTACTTACTATCATACGAATCGAAGTTGCGCTTGGACCGTATTTATTAATTACGTTTGAACCACCGTCTCGAAATAGATTGAGATGTTGTGTATGAATATTCTGTGTAATGTATCGCATAGAAGGGTCGATAGCGGAAATTATACGGTCTTTTAATCGCGTTTCCATATACTATTTCTAAGTTAAAGAGTCGCAGTTACGTATCTTCGATCTTAAGGGGGGAATGTGTAATGCTTGGTTCAACGCAGGCGCACAATAACTCCACGAATATAAAAAATGATGTTAGTACTATCAGTAATAGTTGAGAGGTGGTGAAGGTATCACGTTAAATATGATTACCAAATACGATAATCATACTTCCGCGAACGATGACGTTGACAACTACATAAAGTACGCAAATCTTACAACCGAACCGAATCGCTGGATTTTGGAGCCATTGGGTGTTTGGCCATTGAAAAGAGCTAACATCGAGGTCTCTTGGAAAGACAATTTTCTCCGTAGAGGAAAAAACGTTTTCTATTATTTTCTGATGTTTTTTGTCTTTGTACCTTGCGTTCCTTATGCGATTTTTGAGATCGAAAGTGTCTACTATAAGTTGAAGCTTATCGGTCCAATGAGTTTCTGTGTAATGGGCTTTGTCAAGTATACCATTTTGAATATTCGAGAGAAGGACATTCGATGTTGCGTGGAATCTATCGAGATGGATTGGAAGAGAATAACGCATTTCGAGGACGAACGTATAATGATGGATAAAGTTTATACCGGACGTCGTCTCGTAACTCTTTGCCTCATTTTGACTTACGGTGCTGCTGGTTTTTTTCACATTGTTTCACCTTTGATGAGCGGAAAGGTTTTTGCATCTGCTATAAACGTAACATACATGCCAGCTCCTTTTCCCGTAACTAGCTTGCTCATGGATATTCGTTACAGTCCGGCAAACGAAATTTTTATCTTTATTCAATGTCTTTACGGATTTATGGCTCATTCGATCGAGGCTGGTACTTGCAGTTTGACAGCCGTTTTCACGATGCACGCTTGCGGACAGCTGCAGGTTTTGATTAATTGGCTGGAACACTTGTTGGATGGTCGGGAAGGCATGTGTTCCAACGTGGACGAAAGAATGGCGAGTATCATTCAACAACATGTTCGAACTTTGAAGTAAGCTCTCTTTCATTAAACTTTTTCCTTGAGGAAGACTAGCCGTATTGTTTTATCTGAAAAAGATTTTGTTTTTATAGTTTCATATCGCGCACTGAAAGTTTATTAAATGAGGTTTCTCTAATCGAGGTCTTGGGATGTACTTTAAATATATGCTTTCTTGGATATTATTGCCTTATCGTGGGTATGAGTTTGGTATAACCAAATGAATGACGAATGAACGACAAAATATTTTGTTTCAGGAAGGTAACATGTCCGAAAGAATAGGTTGCATAACGTATGGCATAATTCTTTCATCCATGACTTTTAATATTTTCATTCTTTGTTACATAGGGGAGCTACTTATAGAACAGGTTTGTTAAATTATTTATAATTCATTGAATGGAATCAGTATGATAAGATAAATTCATAAAAAATATTTTTTCTATTAGTGTCAAATATTAGGAGAGCGAACGTATGCGATCGATTGGTATCGTTTAGCAGGAAAGAAAAGTCAACCTCTTATTCTCCTAATCGCCATGACGAGAACAACAACGAAATTAACTGCTGGACATTTCATGGAGCTTTCTTTGAGTAGTTTCAGCGACGTAAGTATGTACTAAAAATATGAATTAGAAAAAAAATGTTACCTTTATTCGTTCATCAATGCAGATTATTAAAACGTCGGTCGCCTATTTGAATATGTTACGAACATTGACGTAATTAAGATTATAAAGTTCTGAAAATGTAAAGGAACATAATTTTTGACGATAATCTGATTAAACCACAATATTGTGTTTTTGATTTAATAAATATTTAACTTGTTATCCTGTCCAGAGAAATATTTTTTTTTTCTTTTTTTTACCTACCTTAAATCTTACGATCCGTAACACGTGTAATAAGTCGTAAGGTATCACGTAGATCACATTATTTGTACTAAACTATCGTTACGTCCCTACGGCGAATCCTGCTGAAGGAACTCCAATGAAGAGCGCAGGCGCGCATTTGCATTTGCATTTGCTTTGCGAGGTTCGGTCAGGTGAGCCTCGTTACGTCTAACGCCGTGAATAGTTACTTAGTAACGAGCGGTCGTTCAAACGTCGATGATGGCTGATGATGCATTGTGCGTGCCAGGTGTACGAGATAATTATGATGAGAATGCGAATTTCAATGTTCAATTGAATCGTTGGATTTTAAAATCAATCGGTGCTTGGCCAAAATCTTCCGATTTATCGTATTGTCAGATTTATTTGGATCGATTGAGCAAAACAATTTGTTATGCACTTATTATCTTTCTCATGATACCATGTGGATTATACTTGATGCTTGAGGTAAAGGATACTTACGATAAATTACGATTGACTGGACCATTGAGCTTTTGTCTGATGGCACTCATAAAATATTGTGCTCTAACTGTACGAGAAAACGATATTCGTCGGTGCTTCGACTACATCGAGTGGGATTGGAAGAAAGTTAAACATATCAAAGATCTCCAAATAATGAAGGCTAATGCAAATTTTGGTCGTCGTATTGTCATCGTTTGTGCAACATTCATGTACAGCAGTGCTGCTTTTTATTACATAGCTGTACCTTTCGCAAGAGGAATGATAACCGAGGAGGATAGCAATATCACGTACAGACCTCTCGTTTATCCAGTTGCGAAGATCATCGTTGACGCTCGTCGTAGCCCGATCAACGAGATCTTCTTTGGTATTCAGTGTATTTCAGGATTCCTTGCCCATTCTATTACGGCCGCTGCTTGCGGACTTGCCGCTACTTTTGCTATGCACGCTTGTGGACAATTGGAAATGATTATTTCTTATTTGGAAAACCTGGTCAATGGTCATGAAAATTCTTGCGACACCGTCGAAGAGAGATTTACGGATATCGTTCAACGTCATGTCCGTGCATTGAAGTAAGTAAAGAAAAAGTTATTGTCTCTGTAAAAAAAAAATAAATATTGTAATAATTTCATCATTTTCTCTCAATTATGATTCTGTTTAATTATTTTTACCTTAAAACATTTTAGATTCATATCGCTCACAGAGGAAGTGTTGAATGAAATATCCCTCGTCGAAGTTGTTGGATGTACCTTGAATATATGTCTTCTTGGATATTACTGTATCACGGTAAAATAAATGATATGAACAGCGTAATCTATAAGAGAATAATTATCAATATTTATATTTACAGGGCTGGCAATATAACGAAACCATGGGTCGTCTAACTTACATCATATTATTTATATCAGTTACATTTAATATTTTTATATTCTGTTACATAGGTGAAATTCTTGCCGACCAGGTATAATATGAATTTCTATCTTAATAATTTATGTTTTTAAAACCATGAAAATTTGTCTACATCAAAAGTAACATTAAAAGTAGCATTTTTAATTATTCTTAAATCAAAACTTAAGATGTTAATCGATCTATATCACAGAATAGTCAAAAGAAATCCTATAACAGTGCCAAAAAGTGGGAGAAAGATCCTACATGATTGACTGGTACCGTCTACCATGGAAAGATGTTCGTGGCCTTGTTCTAATCCTTGCAATGTCCAATATGCCGAACAACCTAACAGCAGGATATTTGATAGAGTTATCGCTAGCTAGTTTCGGCGATGTAAGTATCAAATTATTTAAGTGCATTTTATATTACTTTATCTGTAAAATATTTTGTATTCTTTTTTTTTACAGGTTATCAAATCATCGCTCGCATATTTGAATATGTTGAGAACACTGACCGAATAAAATTCGGCCGATAAAGAACGAAGTCGCACGAAAAACGATTCTTACGATAATCGATATACCTATGCAAGATCAACGTTATTAGAATTTGAAAGTTCTCTTTCATTGTAGATAACAATGTAAATTAGAAAAAAACAATGTAGTACCTTTGGATTATATCTTGACGTAGGTAAAACTTTCAAATTCTATCTCGCCTCTCACTCAATAAATTCAAAGACACACGTGTGTCAGTCACGAAATCGCTGGTATCGATCAGCGTGCCGAACTATTGTTGTACTCTTCTTCGTATTAATCTTTCTACAAAAGAGTTTCGTACGCGCAGGCGTAGAGATTAGGTAATGTGCGTTACGTAGAGGAGGGTGAAATTGACGGAGCACAGATGTTATCAGTAGCTTGCGTGGTTTTGTACGACGATCATGGGTAAATTGACGAATTCGTCGAAGAGAAACGAAGTCAATGTTACTTACGTTAACGACAACGAATATAGTATTCGGTTGATACGTTGGTTATTGACGTCGATGGGTGCTTGGCAATCATCTATGACAAAGACTTCAATTGAAAAATTATGTTCTATAATTTTGATCATTCTTTCTTTTTCTTTAATATGCTTTACTTTTGTACCGTGTACTTTGTACGCTTTCCTCGAGGAAAGAAACTTGCAAGCGAGGATGGAGGCGCTCGGTCAAGTGAGTTATTGGCTCATGGGTGCCATCAAGTACAGTTACATCTTGTTTCATCGAGGAAACGTGCGTCGGTGTTTTGATCACATCGAAAGAGATTGGCGTATGGTTAGAAGATCGAAAGATCGTGACATCATGTTGGCTCATGCCAATAGTGCTCGTTATTTTATCCTCGTTTGTACGGGTTTTACTATTGGCGGCGTTTTGATTTATAATCTGGTCAAAGGAATGACACTTGTTCCTGTTTCCATAGAAAATCATACGGTCTACTTGCATCCGTTACCTTGTCCTTGCTATAGCAAAGTAGCGGACACGAGATATAATCCGGCTTACGATATCGTATATGCACTCCAACTGCTCTCCGGTGTTATCACCAGCTCCATCTTCGTATGCGCTTGCAGTCTCGCTGCGGTCTTTATTATGCACGCCTGTGGTCAACTGACGATGACGATGGCATGGATGAAAGATTCCTTCTCAATTTCTTCGATTGAATCTACGAATTATCAACTTTCAGACATTGTCGGACTCCACGTGCGCGCTTTGAGGTACGAAAGAGAGCTAAAGATAGCTTTTACAAAACTCTACGAGATACGAAGAAATCCATTGATTACAGTTTTATACAATATATAGAGAACGTGATTAATCGCATATGTCTCGTCGAACTTTTGGGTTGCACATTAAATATGTGTTTGCTGGGATATTTTTGTATCACGGTATGCCAAGATTCGATATAATACACGATTAATGTATAATTTTTACTATTGTATGCGTAATCGCAATACAGACAACTCATCTTTATTATCATTTAGATCATTGTAAGGCGATAGTCTAAAAAAGTAGTAACATTTCCGTATCTGTCTAATAGACATTTAGCACCTACATATATATTTGTCGTTTCTCTACGATATCTTGAAAGGAGCACATGCTTTCGTTCAGATTATATTCGTCCGTTTTACATTTAAAAAGTTTCGTATTTTTCAGGAGTGGGAGAACAACGATATAAAAATTACCATAGGATACTTTCTTGTATTTATCTCCATGATGTTCAATATTTTCGTATTTTGTTTTCTTAGCGAGAAACTCTCACATCAGGTAGCGTCTAATACTTCATCGAAATTATTTATATAGTAAAGACGACTCGATATCAAATTAGATTTCTTAATAGTGCATGCAAGTAGGTGACGTCGCTTACGCGTGCGATTGGCAACTTCTTCCTGATTGCACAGCACGCGGATTTATATTAATAATACTTAGATCCAATTCTGTGGTACGATTAACTGCCGGAAAATTCATGCAAATCTCTATTATCACTTTCGGCGATGTGAGTAATTAATAATATAAATGAAATTGATGATATTGCGTACGACGGATCCGGTTGAATGAATCTGAAAGTTCAATTTTTCTTTTAGGTAATAAAAACATCTGCGGTATACTTCAATATGCTACAAAAAATGACATAGAGTATTTCACGTAGTATAATTACAATGAGATATTTATAAAAAAAGGAAAAGATATAGAAACTTCTATTGGACAAATAAATTAAATTCCTACGTAATGAAAATTTTATGAATTATAAATGAGAGTTCTAACGAAATTTTTAGTACTTGAGCAATTTCTAATAAAAAAAAAAAAAGTATTCGTATGCGTATTATGAAACTTTCTAGTAACTTTAATCCTTAATAGTTAAATATTTTGTTACATTAGTCAAAAATCAAAAGAGCACATAAGTAATAAAATTGTACTCACACACATTATCTGGGATATAGTCGATTTAGATGATAATAAAATGGTGATACGTAAATTCCGTTAGCACTATTTTTTAGATCATTGTCATAGTAAAGTTTACATTTTGTAACGAATATAAAAATGACCAAAAAGGTTAAAATTGATACAAAATAAAATCCCTTTGAATTCTCTGAAAATAACGACAAGAAGATAGAAATATTTCATTTTAAATAATATAAAGACTCACTTTGCTGTAATAAAACATTAAAAAATATAAATTGCTATGACATGAAAAATACATAAGTATAGTAAAAATTTTCTAAACACAAATAAATTTTAAAGCAAATCGTACTATGATGAAAAAAAGAAGATTATTATCTTTAAAGCCGAGAAAAACACTATTGATCAGTGTATATTCAACGCACATATGGTATTGTAGGAGAAAAGAATCTATCGTCAATCACTCGTTGGTAATAGATGGTAAGTATGTCATAACTTGCGCAAGCGCTTATAACGAAAGAAGTAGCAGTGAGTTGCTGCCGAGGAACTTCAACTTCAATAGTGCGAAGCGTTTCCTTGCGCGATCATGACGACTTCTACCAAGAAAAGTAACGTAAAGAGCAATTATAAGGCTGACGTTAATTACAGTCTTCAAGTAAATCGTTGGCTTTTAAAACCAATTGGTATTTGGCCGTATCCAGCGACAGCTTCAACGGCAACGAAAGCTTTCTCTTTTATTTTATTTGTAATATGCATTGGAATTTTGATATTTTCGATAATATCCTGTATATTGAATATTATATTTGAGGAGAAAGATCCACAAGTCAAATTGAAGACGATAGCTCCGCTCAGTTATTGGTTATTATCGTCAGTAAGATATTGTACCCTTCTGTTTCGAGCTAATGATATACGTCGATGCGTAGATCGCATAGAAGTTGATTGGCGAATGATCAAGAAGATCGAGGAACGCGAAACAATGCTGAGATGTGTGAAAACTGGCCGATTCATTGTTTGTTTCAGTGCAGCTTTCATGCATGGTGGAATTTTTGCTTTTAACATTCTCAAAGGAATTACACCGGTAATCGAGATCATTGATAACGTCAGTGTCTCAATCTATCGATTACCTTATCCGTTTTATAACAAGATTTGGGATACGAATTTCACTCTAGCTCATCAAGTTATTCTTCTGTTACAATTCGTGGTGACGTTCATCGTTAATTCCGTAAGCGTTGGAGCCGTCGCGATCGCAGCTATGTTCGTTATGCACGCTTGCGGTCAGCTCGATATTATGAGATTATGGTTGGAAACTCTTGTCGACGATGTTAACGATAAATACGATTTGACGCAACGGAGAATAGGTGTCATCGTCGTTCATCATTTACGCGTTCTCAAGTACGTATTCGAAATATCCTTTGAACAGTATTCCCCTGCACCAATACGTATGCATACCTAATATTATATTTCTTTCAGTTTTGTAACTTGGATAGAGAAAACCCTCAGTTTCATATGTCTCGTGGAAATATTTGGTTCCGTATTCAATATGTGTTTCCTAGGATATTATTGTATAAAAGTAGGTAAATTTGTTCTTTGAATTGAAAAGATCTTCGAACGAGTACTTACATATATACTTATTCCAATTTTTTCTTTTTTTTTTTTTGCATCGGTTTCACTATCTCTCGCAATACTTTTACTTTTTAAACAGCAATTCAGTGAAAACGAATTTGGAACGACCGCCATTTACGGTACAATATTTATATCCGTAGCTTACAACATTTTCATATTTTGTTACATCGGCGATATTCTGTCGGAACAGGTAACCATTGTACATATAAAAAATTAAATTTCTAAAAAGGAAAATAAATAAGCTTCGCACTGTGCACACTTGATAATCCTCGAAAATTATATCACATAAATATACGATCGACTTTGAATTTAATTTAATAGTGCAGCGTCATTGGTATAAAAGCTTACCTGATTAATTGGTACAATCTACCTGGAAAATCACCCCTTGGTATAGCTCTAATAATTTTAAGATCCTCTCGAGTAACTACTCTCACTGCTGGAAAAATGATTCCGTTATGTATGTCCACATTTAGCAACGTGAGTAATATGCAAAGAAGTAACGTCTATCGAACGTCAAGTCGAACTTATGATAAAAACATAATGCTACATTTTTGAACATAGCGCGCAAAAAGAAATTTTTCTTGTAAAAATTAATATATTTTTTATACCATTTAAATCAACATTGCACTGCATAAATAATATTATGAAAGTATATTTAACGATTAATGTTTTAGGTCGTCCAGACGGCATTTGCATATTTGAATATATTACGTAAGGTAGTTCTCTAAACTGATTAAACTGAATCTACAATAATATAGAAGAAATTCATAAATAATTAATAATAACGAATTTCATTTTCTATCGATGCATACATGTATTCATATATACGTAAATATGTATGTATTTGTGTAATTATAAAAGTGAAATATGTTGCTTTCATTCAATATGTATAAATATACATTATGTGTATTCTATTTGAAAAATATTATACGTACAAGACAAACGTAGATGTTATTTTTATTTGTAAAGTTTGATTGAAGTTTACCCTACAGAGACAGTTATACTTTCCCCAGCGCGAATTGACTACGCGAAACATTCCCATAAAGGTGTACAATACTTTTACCCAATCCTTTCATTGTACGATCAGTAGAGCGGACGCACATGCGCAAGTTGAATTCCAAGGAATCAATCTATCGCAATCATTAAAGGTTTGCCAGTGAGTAAGTTGTTTCCGTACGATTCGCATCATGTTAAACGGCAACACGCTATCTGAAACATTAATATCATTCTCAAAGTTTGCTAAACAGGATTGGAGTTATAGTATTCAGTTAAATCGTTGGTTCTTAAAACCGATTGGAGCCTGGCCTCTCTCGTTAAGCGTTACTTTTATAGAAAAAGTGATTTCCATCTGTTTGATGACTATCAGTAGCTTTCTGATAGGATTTCTGCTCGTACCATGTGCTCTATGCACGTTCCTTGATCGAGAGGGTGATCTCGACGCAAAAATCAAGATGATAGGTCCTTTGAGTTTCTGCGTTATGGCAGCCGTCAAATATTACATCCTGACATCTCGAGGAAAAGCTATAGCAAGATGTATCCAACGTATTTGTGTAGACTGGGAACGTGCCTCGTATTATTACAAAGATCGTAAGATCGTCGTCGAGAATGCAGAGTTTGGTCGATTTTTGGTCATTTCCTGTGCAATATTCATGTATGGCGGTGGTTTCTTTTATTGCACCGTGATGCCACTCTGTGCCATAAGAACCGAGATTATCGATAACAAAACCATAAGAGCACCATCTTTCCCGATTTATCGAAAGCTTATCGATCCACGGACCACTCCATATATCGAGATAGTTCAGTTTCTCCAGTCTTTAGCTGGCTACGTAATCTATTCCGTTACGATAAGCGCATGCAGTCTAGCTGCAGTTTTTGTCATGCACGCTTGCGGACAGCTTAAAATTTTGATGTCTAAATTGGACGATCTCGTTCTTGGCGAGAGACAAACAAATGATCTTGGTTCCTCGGACAAACGGATGGGAGACATCGTAAAGTATCATTTGCGAATATTCGAGTGAGTTCATCTTGATAATAATGACAATGATAAACTGAAAATAAAAGTACTTTTTTTTTTTTTAATACAATTAATCATTTTACACTCGCCAATCTCTTTAGTTTTATATCTTGGATCGAAGAGCTCTTCAATGAGATATGTTTTGTAGAATTAGTGGGATGTACATTAAATATATGTTTTTTGGGATATTACCTTATGACGGTATGAAAATCAAGAATTTATGTGTTATTAGAGTACTCGAAGGATTTTAGACAATCGTCAACTTTGAAACATTCAGTTTCTTTCAGGAATGGGAACGTAACGAAACAGTAGGAACATTGACGTATTGTACCTTGCTTGTGTCTTTTATTTTTAACATATTTATACTGTGCTACATTGGAGAGCTTCTTGCTGAACAGGTATTTCTGTACAAATTTATTCTGTTATTGTAATCCATCGCCATCCAATTCGTTTGACAGTGTAAAAATGTCGGTAAAACTTCCTACATGATGGATTGGTATCGTTTACCAAAAAAAAAAGCACTCGATCTTACACTCGTAATCGCTGTTTCAAATGCTCCTTTAAAGCTGACAGCTGGAAAATTATTTGAATTGTCTTTGGCTAGTTTTTGTAGCGTAAGTAACATTAAACACTCGATGTTCTTTCACTTTTCATTTATTGTTATATTAACGTTTCAGGTAATCAAATCAGCCTCAGCATATTTGAACTTGTTACGTACTCTCACTAATTAATTTATTAATTTGTAACATTAATCGATTATCTAGAAAAAAAAAAAAATTAAGAGAAGAACGAACGATTATTATCAAAGAAAATTTTACAGCCATTTGCTAAAAAATTATCAATAAGATATTACTTATGAAATATATATAATTATCGTTAAATTATTCCTTTTTTCTTCCACATAACATGTGTACGTAGATCAATGTAGGAAAAACTTACGAATGAATATCTGATTTTTGGCAATATAGAAGCACTTCTTTTAGCACCAGTACAAGTTACCCTTGCCTTATAAACAAGTGGAACAAGTACACCTACTTGTGCTTACCATCTGGAATATTGTACCGCCCCTTGCGTGGCGCACGCGCTGTTATACCACTCGACAAACGCACGTTAGGAAATTGAACGACAACTTTCAGTAGTAATCTTTCTTCGAACACGATGGTCAACACATTGACATCTGTAAAAAATAGAAACTATAAGAAAGACCTAGATTATAGTACAGAATTGAATCGCTGGCTTTTGAAACAAATCGGTGTTTGGCCTGCATCCATCAATGCATCCTGGATGGAAATAATCTTGTATCGTTTCTTGAACGTACTATGCACTTCTCTTATCAGCTTTCTTATATTATCCGCGTCTCTCTATATTATTATAGATGTGAAGGACATAGAAATGAAATTAAAAACGATCGGTCCTATAAGCTTTTGTCTGATGGTACTCGCAAAGTATTGGTTATTTATAATACATGAGAAAGATATAAATCGTTGCGTAAGTCATATGGAGACCGATTGGAAAAATGTCAAAAGTGAAAATGATCGAAAGATTATGATCGATAGTGCACATTTTGGTCGTCGTATCGTGATAGTATCCGCGACATTTACGTACGGCGGTGTTTTCTTTTATCAAGTAGTGTTACCTTTAACATCGGCCAAAGTAGTCATAGGAAACTATACGTTTAAACCACTGGCCTATCCCATCTCCAGGATCTTCGTCGATGCTCGTCAAAGTCCAGCGAACGAATTGATGATACCATTAGAATGTCTTTGTGGTTTCGTCATGAACGCTGTCACTGTGGGTGCTTGCAGTTTGGCCGCTGTATTTGCTTTACACGCCTGTGGACAATTAAAGGTCATGATGGCCTATTTGAACAATCTCGTGGATGGTCGACCGGAAGAAAATAATAGCGTTAATGATCGATTGACCGACATCGTTCAACAACACGTACGAATTCTCAGGTAAAATATTTCTTTCATAATATTTCTCGATTAAAGTGATAAAAAGTACGATTATGTTAAGACGTTTTGTCTTTGCTATGCCGTTAAAAAAGTAGTCATTAGCAACATTAATGTCTGTAGATCATTGTATCTTCTTCCAGTTTCGTTACGTTTACCGAAGATCTATTACAGGAAATTTCTCTCGTCGAAATATTAGGATGTACCTTGAACATATGCTTGCTTGGATATAATCTTATTGCGGTATGCTCGTAGACGATTATTACATTTTAAATCGTTCCCCAATTCTTTTGCTCTTCGAATCTCTGTGATCTCAAAAATAGTTACCTTGCATTCATTCTTACAGGATTGGGATAAAGGAGACATGGTCTCCGATATAACTTATATCGCATTGATTATCTCTTTTGCATTCAATATATTTATATTTTGTTATATAGGTGAACTTCTCGGCGAAGAGGTACAATAATATACATACATACATACATACATACGTACATACATATATATATATATATATATATATATATATATATATATGATATGTAGACCCTGTATAACAGTTGAAAAAGCATTGTTAAATTATTTAATATCATTTTAATAGTGCAAAAGAGTAGCCGAAGCAACTTATATGATCGACTGGTATAGACTAAAAGGAAAAAAAAGTCTCGCTCTTCTTTTAATAATTGCCATGTCGTCGTCTTCGATAAAATTAACCGCTGGAAAGTTCGTCGAATTATCTATTAGTAGTTTCGGTGATGTGAGTTAAAATGAACAATAGTTCGCACATTTTTGATCTATTAAATATCATAAAAATATAAAAAATATGAATTCGTACAGGTTATCAAGGCATCCTTTGCATATTTGAACATGCTCCGAACAGTGACTACGTAAAAGATTGATAAAAATTTAAAAAATGAAAAACACATGTAGTGTAGTCATCGACATCGTAGAACAATAGTACGAGCTTCATAGTAATTAATCGTAAGAATTAAAATATATATCAGGCAATAGTCGAATAATTCAATAATATAAAATGGCAAATTTTTTTAGTCATGATGCAGGTGAGGTTACTAAAAGGTGAATAAAATAAACGTACTTGTCGAAAATCTTTCGTATGAAAAAGTATAAAAATTTCACTCGTTTTTTTAGGATTTCCTATCATAATCAAAAGTGACATTTATTATAAATACTAATAGATATATGCATATGATGTCACGTAAATATATTATATTATAAATTAGTAAAGAGCATGATTAAATAAAATATTTACTTTATTAATTAATATGTTTCTTTTTTTTTAACATACTATATTCGTATTTTTACTATTTCCTGACGAACCATTCACACGAAAACTTTTTTATTATCATATAAAGCATTATTATATAAAATGAATTATTAGAATAGAAGAAAATTGTAGAGACAACTTACATAATTGATATCGACTTTAAGGAGGGAAATCTTTTGATGTCCTTAACATAGTTTGATATCCTTTAAGTAGTCCTGGAGACATATAACTTTTAATATTCATAAATCCTCAAGAAGCGTGATTTGCTTACTAATTCGTAAAAATAAAGCTATATCTATATATGTGAGTGTTGTTATTTAATTTAATCAACAAATGACGTATAATTATTTAATTGTCTTCAATATAAATAGAATTCTTACAAATTTCACGTTAGGAGAGAAAGCTATTTTAAAAATCTTTCCAATAATCTATAATAGAACAACTGTTGAGGTATGTGCATATAGACGAATAGCAGCAGATCGAGTCTTCGTTTCTTTAAGAAATGACTATCTCGATGGGGCGCATGCGCTGCGAATAGTTTTGCCTATCATTAAATGTTAGCAGAGCAAGGAGCTCTCAGTACATCTCGGTCTATAGCGAGTATAATTCGTAATGAAGTCTTATTGAGTTGTCTTAAACAATGTTCAATCTGAATTACAAAGAGGACATTAGATACGCAACTAAATTAAATCGTTGGTTACTTAAGCCAATAGGTATTTGGCCAAAATCCGTGGAAACTTCATGGATAGAAATCATTATTTCACGAATTGTTAACGCGCTATGTATCTCCTTTATCGGGTTTTTTTTTATCTCGATGAGTCTTTACCTTATCATAGACGTGCAAGACATACATGTCAGATTAAATAAAATCGGCTCGCTTACTTTTTGCATAATGACTTTAATGAAATATTGTTTATTAATAGTGCATGAGAAAGATATACGGTACTGTTTGAACTACATGGAAATCGATTGGAAAAATGCGAGATGTAACAAGGAACGACAAATCATGCTCGATTGGACAGATTTTAGTCGTCGTCTTATTCTTATTTCGGCGACTTTTGCCTTCGGGGGTGTAATCATTTATCGATTAACAATACCATTGGTTTCACCAAGAATCGTTGTAGGTAATTTGTCCTTTAGGCCATTAGCATATCCCATTTCCAAGTTCGTCATGGATACTCGTCAAAGTCCGATGAACGAAATTATGATCTGTTTGCAATGTTTGGCCGGTCTCATCATGAGCGCAATTACGGTTGGATCTTGTAGCATGCTTACCGTATCCACTATGCATGCCTGTAGTCAACTGAAAATTTTAATGTCCTGGTTAAATTATCTCGTAACAAAACGACCCAACGAAACTGACGATGCCGAGGGAATATTGGGCAACATAGTTAAACGACACGTACGAATATTAAGGTACCAAAAGAAATTTCTTTGTTCTACGATGTTTTCTTTTTTGTATCGCAAATTAATCAATCGAATGAAATATTTTCTTTCAGTTTCATTTCATTTATACAACAATTTTTGCAAAATATTTCTCTCGTAGAAGTATTAGGATGTACGATAAACATGTGCATGCTTGAATATTATTTAATCATGGTACGCTTTTTACATATTTCTATTTACATATTTCTATTATTGCACCATAAATGACAGATCATCTATATTATAGGGATGGCAAAATGGCAATCATAGCATATGTTCAATGCAAAACATTACTTATACAACCTTAATATTATCTTTCGGATATAATATATTTATATTTTGTTACGTCGGTGAAATACTCGCCGAAGAGGTATGATTTTATCCCGATTTAAAGATGAAATTATACATTAATATCTACATTTATATATTGCAAAAATTTATATAGTGCAAAAAGGTAGCTAAGGAAACCTACATGATCGATTGGTATAGACTTAAAGGACGAAAAGGCCTCAGTCTCTTATTAATTATCGCTATGTCTTCATCGTCAAACAGATTAACCGCTGGAAAATTCGTCGAATTATCAATCAGCAGTTTCGGTGACGTGCGTATAATCACGTATTTTTTTATTACTTTTGCAAAATTTTCATCACAAGACCACACATAATACATGTATTACAGATGGTAAAGACATCATTTGCGTATTTGAATATGCTTCGTACGTTGACTTCCTAAAAGAATTGCACACTTAAAAATTGAAGCTCACTTTATATTATATTTCTGTAATATATAATATTATATAACATTATAACTATTGACACAAAACTAGTAGATCATTAAGACGTTACTTCTTCAAGTTTCTTTCTACTATTTATATTCAATAACTATTTCTCATTATTGAATATTTAAAAATAATCTGCATCGAATCTTTAGGAAATGTTCTAAAGAATGTTCTTGAATGATATCAAGTCCAGAAAAAATATACCATAATATTCTACCGTGGCGTATCAACACAATAAAGTTGAATAACTACGGTGAAATTGATCGGTCTATTTCATAATTTCCTGTGCGAACGTAGAATCAGTCAATACATAAAAAGCCATATTACATATATCCTTACCTATAATTTCTCCCCTCTCGAGTAAAGAAAGATAACGCACGCGCTAAAACTTCATACTCGGAAATATATTGTCGAGGGGTTGTCAGTCAAGAATCGATCTTCAAAGATGCCAGGTAAAAAGGATCTTGTCGTTGATAATTCTTTGTCGATATCGAATGCGAATCATCAGAAAGATATAAATTATAACATCGAATTAAATCGTTGGCTCTTGAAGGCAACTGGTACCTGGCCCAGAAACAAGAATACGAGCTTGCTTGATATACTTCTTTCTCGATTTTTAAACGTGCTACATACATCTTTAATAAGTTTCCTTTTAATCGGTACAGTTCTTTACATACTCCTGGACGTACAGGATATTCAGGCGAAGCTAAATAAAATTGGTCCGATCACGTTCACCACTGCAACCTTGATAAAATATTGGTTATTGATATTTCATGAAAGTGAAATTAAACATTGCTTAGACCACATAGAGATCGATTGGAAAGGGGTTAGGCGTCAGGAAGATCGACGGATTATGCTTGAAAACGCTCATATTGGTCGACGTATCGTTGGAATTTCCGCCTCTTTTGGATTTGGCGCTTTATTTCTATATCGTGTAATAGTCCCCTTAAATTCACCGAAAATGGTAATAGGTAACTTGACGTTCAGACCGTTAGCCTACCCCGTTTCAAAAGTTATCATCGATACTCGTCAATCTCCGGCCAACGAGTTAATTCTTTTAATACAATGCATTTGTGGTTTCATCATGAGTGCTATCACAGTGGGTTCCTGCAGTCTGGTAGCCATTTGCTCTCTTCATGCCTGTGGACAACTGAAAATCTTAATGCATTGGCTGAATCATCTCGTAAACGGGCATAGCGATGAAAATGATACTATAGATGATCGATTAAGAGAAATCGTTAAAAAACACGTGCGAGTATTGAAGTACTTTGTTTCTTTTATACCAAGTCTAGATCTTTACACCGATGCTATGAGTGACCATCATACAAGTCATCTTGCGTTCTTCCAGTTTCATCACATATACGGAAAATTCTATGAATGAAATTTCTCTCGTAGAGATCTTCGCGTGTACTTTAAATATGTGTATGGTTGGATATTACATGATTAGGGTAAATAGATCACTTTCTTCTTATTTCTTTTACATTTCTTCTATTCGCTTTTGAATATATAGTATTTTGAATTTATCGTTTCAGGGTTGGAATCACATCAGCACGATTAATATGTTTGCCTATGTCACACTCCTCACATCATTTGTGTTTAATATATTTATCATTTGTTATATTGGTGAACTACTTGAGCATGAGGTACGATTAAATGATACTAAATAAAAATAATAATGCACCATCTATATGCATGAGCTATATTTAATTAAAATTTCTTTCACCTATATTATTTCATAAAATAAATATTAAATAAATACACATATGTAGTTGTATAAGTATGCAAATTTGAAATTCATATTTTCAAGCATTAATAGCGCATAGGCAGAAAGTTATTTGAATATTAGAAATCATTAATACGACTAGCATTTTTTTTTTTTGCAATGTGAAAAGTAACTTAAACGTTAAATGTAAAAACTTTTATGTAACGTGCGAACATAATCGTATAATAGTGCAAGAAAATAGCAGAATCGACTTACATGATCAATTGGTATCAACTTAAAGGAAAGAAAGCTCTCAGTCTCATTCTAATAATTTCGATGTCGTTATCATCGACCAGACTTACTGCTGGAAAGTTCATCGAGTTATCTCTAAAAAGTTTCAGCGATGTGAGTATCCAATTTTTTCTTTGTTCAAATTGGATTAACAGAAAAAAATTTTATCCACGTAAATACATGTGCTGTAGGTTATCAAAACTTCGGTCGGTTACTTGAATATGCTTCGTGCCATTACATCGTAAAAAAATATCTACAAATTTAATTAAAATTAAATAAAACTATGAAAATCGATCAGATATATTTCACAGTATCTATATGGTAAAACAGACAAAATCAATTAATAAAAAATCCTGAATAATCCTGAATGAATTGCATTATTTACTCATGACAGTACCAGTGGATATCTTTTTCGAGCTGAATCATTTATCATATTTCTTATATTTTTCATCTATAATAGTTTCTTATTTAAGAACTAATAGAGGAGGTAATCAACTTTTCGTTGCATGAATGTATTAATTGCATGTTAATGAATTTAAATGCTTACTTATATATATATATATATATATATATATATATATATATATATATATATCCACATACAAATACGTTTACTCGTTCATCGAGTAATTTCTCGAAACTTATCCACGATCATTATCATTCAAGTAGGCTCTACTTTCCACCCCATGTCAGAGTGAAAAGTTCTTTTCATATATCCTTACTTATACCCACTTGTACGATTATCCCTCTCGCACACACAATCCTTGTTACGGTGTCGGATCAAAACGTAGAACGCCGAAGTGCATTCGCGCTTGCGCGTATCAAAGCTGTGGGAGCATAAATATCCTTCCGGTAAAGTCTTCAGTAGGTCTCGTGCACGCAAACTGTCATAATGCACGATCGATTGAACGATTGTCGAGACAATAATTCGGGAATAGGAAATAAAAATTATCAGAAAGATATTCGATACGCTCTGCAATTCTGTCGTTGGGTTCTCAAACCGATTGGTATCTGGCCGTTGATATACGATGGTGTAACGAAAAGGGAAATAATTATTTCGATCGTTCTCGGTTTCGCTTGCGTTACCTGTTTATGCTTTGTCCTCATACCATCAGGTCTCCATACATTGATCTACGAGAAGAATATAAACGTTAAATTGAAACTTTTCGGGCCTGTTGGCTTTTGTCTCACGTCAACGATAAAATATTGTTACCTTGGTATAAAAGGAAAAGCCATTGGTCGTTGCATCATCTGCATGGAGAAAGATTGGAGGCATATAGGAGACGAAGATTATCGAAAGATCATGATCAAGCACGCTACGGTAGGTCGCAATCTTACCATTCTTTGCGCCAGTTTTCTCTACAGTGGTGGCATGTCCTATCATACGATTATGCCGTTGTTCTCGCGCAAAAGAATCGATGAGAATCATACGATCAGACCTCTAACTTATCCGGGATATGATCACTTTTTTGAATCGCAAGCTAGTCCAACTTACGAGATCATTTTTATTACACACTGCATATACGCTTTGATAACGTACAATATAACTACGGCGACCTGTAGCTTGGCGGCTACCTTTGTCAGCCATGTTTGTGGTCAAGTGCAAATTATTATATCTCGATTGGACGATCTCATCGATGGTAAAAGAAGCAAAAATACATTATTAGCGGATCGTCTTGCAGTAATTATTCAGGATCATGTCAAGGTGCTTAGGTAACTTTATGGTCTAACAATCTGGAATGAAAATTCTTTCTAGAATACAATGTCTCTGATCGTACACCATGCAGGTAAGGTAAATATTTCTAGATTTTCAGAACAAGTCGATAAAGTTCTACGTGAAGTGTGTTTAATGGAATTAGTTGCCTCCACTTTAATTATATGTCTACTTCAATATTATTGCATGACGGTAATTAATTTCAAAATATTATTAATATTAATAATTGTAACGATAATGTCTTCGCATTGTCAATGAATATTCTCATAGGTTTCTGATTTTTAGGAATGGACTAATAACGACGCTATTGCCATTCTCACGTACTTTATCCTCCTAGTTTCTTTCACTTTTAATATTTTTATCTTTTGCTACATCGGTGAGCTGCTCGTTAATCAGGTACTCCTTGCATTTTTTTATTTTTCTATATTTTCATTTCCGAATGAAAACTTTAGGTTCTTTCGATCGTTCATTAAGCTTGAACGCTAACAGTGCAGAAAAATTGGTGCAGCCTCTTATAACATCGAATGGTATCGTCTGTCTGCAAATAAAGGTTTAGACCTCGTTTTATTGATAGCGATAGCGAATTATCCACCAAAAATAACGGCTGGGAAGATATTCGAGTTGTCATTCGCGACTTTCGGTCGTGTGAGTATTTGTAATAAATATTTCTATGAAAAAAAGCAAAAAAAAGAAAAAAAAAAAGAAACAAAAAAAACACTTTTTCTTCGCCTGTTCTGAAACAATTTTTCATTGGTAAAAAGAAAAGGAAGAACAAAGAAACAAAAATTCCAGGTCCTAAAATCGTCGGTCGTATACCTGAACTTAATCCAAGCAGTAGCAGAATGAATTGAGAATATTTTGTATATAATTAAACGTAAAAAATGTATATCGAATTTGTCAATATCTAAAACTAATAAGACGAATAACATAGATACTTACTTTTTCTTTATCTTCATATAACAACCATAGATATTCCATAATAGAATAGAAAAACTTTCGCTTCCTTCCTCGAAGAGTAAAGAAATAAAGAAAGAGAAAATATCATCGATTGCTCGTTCTGACCTTTTTACGTACGTGTACTAACATCCAGGATTATATACTATGAGAATACGCGCAAATGCAATGAACGAAGTCATACTCACGCATGTGTTCGTTCGTGCGCGCTTGCGCGTGCTATCTCGTCAAAGAGCCTCGTGGAATATCGTACGATACCTGCTCGTCAGTCGGTGTTTGTGTATATCCAAGCATCATGCACGATGCATCTTACTCAATGACGTTCATAGAGAAGGATATCAGGAAGAACGCGTATTACGAGAGCGACAAACGTTATATAATGCGATTTCCTCGTTTGGTTCTAACACCAATCGGTATTTGGCCTTTATTAAAAGGAAAGGTATCAAAAACGGAAAAATTTCTATCGTTTATTTTTCTCGTAACATGTTTTGTTCTAATGTGCTTCATCCTGATACCCTCGACGATTAATATATTGGTGTTTGAGAATGATATTAATATATTAATGAAAAATATCGGTCCAACCATTTTTTGCTTCTCTTCGGCCATAAAGTATTTCTATTTTATTTGGCATAGACACGACTTCAGAATTTGCATAGAATATGTGAAAAATGATTGGAAGGTTGTACGAGAAAAAAAAGATCGTATTGTCATGTTGAAATATGCGATCCTCAGTCGAAGACTTACCAAACTCAGTGCAATCTTTCTTTACGTCGGCGGTATATCTTTTCACACGATCATGCCGTTTATCGCTGGACACCATTTTGTCGGGAACGTGACAGTCAAAACATTGATATATAATGGATACGATATATTTTTCGATTATCAAACGAGCCCAACTTACGAGATCGTTTTATCCATTCATTGTTTTACGGCCGTCATTATGTATAACATTACTACGGCGTCATGCAGCCTCGCTGCGGTATTTGTCACTCATGTCTGTGCTCGGATCGAAATAGTGATGTCGCGTATCAATGATCTCGTCGATGATACCTCTGACAATTACAAGTACATCGGTTATTGTCTTGCTACGATCATCCGGGAACATGTTAACGTATTAAGGTATTATCTTTACTCGATGATTTATTTGTTTGTTAAAATAAAAAAAAAAGAAAAATGTTCCTTTAAACTGCCATGGAAATGAAATCTTCTTCTTATACGATTAATACCACGATCGTATCTAAAAAGAAAATTAAGTTTAATGCATTGTAAGAAAATTTTGAAAGTATAATTTTCTTGTAGGTTTGCAAAAATCATTGAAAGGGTCTTACGCGAAATATGCTTATTCGAGCTAGTTGTATCCTCGCTTACCACATGCTTATTAGAATATCATTGCATAACGGTAAATATTTGATGTAATATTAAATAATGAAGATTTTTTTCTAGTAATTTTTGGCCAATCCAAATATTTTCTTTTCAGGAATGGGAAAATAGCGACGGAGTTGCGATTTCCATATATTTTATTTTGTTCGTTTCTTTGAGTTTCAACATTTTTATCTTTTGTTATATAGGAGAACTTCTCGTCGAGCAGGTATCTAATTATTACACTGCTATATAGATATTGCTTTTTGTACTTTCATTGTAGAGCTTTATAGATAGTTTAATTAACAATTTCAGAAAATATTATAATATAACTTATATATAAGACAATATTTAGTGCAGTCAAGTTGCCCAAGCCTGCTACAATAATAGATGGTATTATCTGTCCAAAAAAAAAGCCCTCGATTTTCTTTTAATAACAATGATATCTCAATATCCTCCAAAAATTACGGCCGGCAAAATAGTCGAACTCTCGTTATATACATTTGGTAAAGTACGTATTATAGATTCTCTCAGTATAACAATTATATTATATCCTTATTTTTAATACAAATATTTTATAGGTTCTAAACACCTCCTTCGTTTATCTAAACGTACTTCGAACGATCACAAAAGAAAACATATCTATATCATAAACATTTTCATGGTACAAGAAGTAGGACGACTAATATAAAAACTATAGAAACATTTAGCCTTCCACTTTGGTAAAATGTAAAATAATTAAAAAGATTATTTCTTCTTTCTTCTTATTTTACAATCTCGAAAGCATGAGACAAATGCACGTACTACAAAAAAAAAAAACTATACTGAAATCTTCCGCAATGTCTTCTTACTTAATATTTTTTCTTTTGCGCGCACGTCATATTAGCGATCGAATAAATTACGCTGAAGATGTGGCGCGAAGGGTGGACGCGCTTGCGCGTTTGTTTAAATGAAACTATATATTCCTATCTATTCCTTCGCCTCATCCTCACGTGCGTGTCTATCTCATGCATTCAATCTCACTCTCAGTCGAGCTTATACTCTCGAACCGTTCTGTCCTGCGTCTTATCGATCGTTGAACCGACCTGTCAACGAATAGTTTTTTTTTAAACGAATGGATATGAAATTGGAGGAAGACGGCAAGGGTTACGCGATAAAACCCTGTCGTTATGTGTTAAAGCCGATCGGACTTTGGCCAATGATCTATAGACGTGTGTCACATACGGAAAGAATCATTTCTGCTATATTAGCTGTCACGAGTTTCTCTAGCGTTTGTTTTGTCCTGATACCGGCCGGTCTCTATACGCTCTTTTACGAGCACAATATAAATAGCAAATTAAAGCTTTTTGGACCAATCGGTTTCTGTTTGACCTCGACTATCAAATACTGTTACCTTGGGCTAAAAGGTGAAGCCATTGGGCGTTGTATCGCGCACGTCGAAAATGATTGGGAGATGGTGCTCGATCGGAATCATCGAACGATCATGAGGAAATATGCTACCGTCGGTCGTAATCTCACTATTCTCTGCGCCCTTTTTCTTTACAGCGGTGGTATATCCTATCATACGGTCATGACGCTATCCATGACCAGGAAGATCAATGAAACTCTCACAATAAAGGCGCTTACCTATCCAGGATATGACAGATACTTCGACGTGCAGGCTAGTCCAACTTACGAGATCGTCTTTTTTCTGCATTGCGTGTGCGCTATGGTGATGCATAGCATAACTACGGCTGCCTGTAGTCTGGCAGCTACTTTCGTCACTCATGCTTGTGGCCAAATACAAATTATCATGATTAGATTGAATGATCTCGTTGAAGGTAAAGAGAGCGGTGACATCAAACTGAACGATCGTATGGCTATCATTATCCGAGATCATGTAAAAACATTAAGGTAAATCAAAATCTTCTTTTAACGTTGCACGTATTCTCTTTTTTCTCTTAGCACTCATATTAATGAGAATGTAACAAACGTGTCGACGGAAACGAACGATTATTGCAGATTTTCCGCGGAAGTCGAAAAGGTCTTATGCGTCGTATACTTGTTAGAATTAATAGCATCTACCTTGATCATTTGTTTACTGGAGTATTATTGTATTACGGTAAATATTATTAAGGGAATTATATACCAATTGTAAACAATATTAAAAAAATTCTGTGATTTTAGGAATGGGAAAATAACGATCGGATCGCAACTATGACATATTTCATCTTATTGGTTTCTTTCACTTTTAATATATTCATATTTTGCTATATAGGAGAACTATTGGTCGATCAGGTATATACTTGCACGTTTTTTTAGATTCTTCTATCGTTTGTAGATCTATTAATTACTAAGCATTCGAATATTACTTTTTTTAAATGAAATTACGCTCGTTAAATATTGCGACAGTGTAGAAAAGTCGGAGCTGCGTCATATAACATCGAATGGTATCGTCTACCAAAAAACCTTAGCTTTGGTCTGATCTTATTAATAGCGATTTCGAATAAACCACCAAAAATGACAGCTGGAAAATTATTTGAACTATCTCTTTTTACATTTGGCAGTGTAAGTATTCGGACCTCATTCCTTTTAATAGAAAATACATACGTATCTTGAAGATAGGTATCTTATTTTTTATCCCACGATGAACTTCAGGTACTTAAAACGTCTGTCGTTTATCTCAACTTGATTCGAACGATTACAGATTAAGTGAAAGATATCAAACAGACATACGATTCTCTCCCATAGATTATTTTTTACATATTATTCATTATGTTTGTATTAATTCTACGATAAATTATAAATCAAAATTTATAATTAATATGAAGTAATATAATAGAAATATTGTTACAAGATGATCTTACGTGATAGAGAAAAAAGTACAACTTACCTATTTATTAATGATTTAAAAATAGTTTTAACATCTAAACATTGAATTAAACGAATGAAAATAATCGAAAAAAGTTCATCTATCCTCCACATTCCTCATATGTCTATTCTTATTAGAAGACCTTTGGAAGGAAAGTTTTATCACACACACAAATGCATAGTATACGCTCGATAGACTAACTCACTCATAATATCGCGCGAATCATTGAAGAGTGGACGCGCTTGCGCATCCCTTTAAATCGAATTATTCCTATTCCTTCGCATCATCCTCATGCAATCAAATTGACGTGAACAAACTCCCGCGCTCATGTTTACGTTCAGTCACGCTCACGCTCTCAAGTCGTTCAACTGTGTCCTATCGATCACAAGACTGAGGTATCGGTGAATAGTTTTTCTAAACGTATTGGAACAATGTTGGAGGAAAATAACAAGAATTACGCGATACAACTCTGTCGTTTTGTGTTAAAGCCAATCGGACTTTGGCCAATGGTTTACAAAGACGTATCGAGTACAGAAAAAATCCTTTCTGCTGTATTAGCAATCACGTGTTTCTTTACAATTTGTTTCGTTCTACTACCGGCCGGTTTTTACACGCTATTTTACGAGCACGACATAAATGCCAAACTGAAGCTTTTTGGCCCAGTTGGCTTTTGTTTAACCTCAACCATTAAGTACTGCTATCTTGGATTGAAAGGCAAGGCCATTGGACATTGCATTGCGCACGTCGAAAACGATTGGAAGCTGGTGCGCGATCGGAATCATCGAACGATCATGATTGAATATGCTATGCTCGGTCGTAATCTCACTGTTCTTTGCGCCCTTTTTCTTTTCAGCGGTGGCATGTCTTATCATACCGTCATGACGCTCTCCTCGAGCAAGAAGATCAATGAAACTCTCACAATAAGAGTGCTTACCTATCCAGGATACAACAGATATTTCGACGTACAGGCTAGTCCAACTTACGAGATTATCTTCTTCCTTCATTGCTTGTGCGCCATGGTCATGTACAGCATAACAACGGCTGCCTGTAGTTTGGCAGCTACTTTTGTTACACATGCTTGCGGCCAAGTACAGATAATCATGACAAGGCTGAGCGATCTCGTCGAAGGTAAGGACAGCAATAACATTGAACTAAACGATCGTCTGGTCATCATTGTTCGAGATCACGTCAAAACCTTAAGGTAAATCTGATTCTTGAGTCTCTCTTTTGAATTCTAAAGTTAATCCATTTTTTTTTTCTTTAACTTTATCAATTTTACTTTGATCATCCTAATCTTTCATTGTCAAAATAATGTGTCTCTAAAAAATCTGAATGGATCATTGATTGTTTCGTTATAAGAATTTGTTTATAAAAATTTATAATAAATTATTAAATAAATGTATTTTTGAATATCTTTACGTTGGTAAGATTTTGACGTCAACTTATAAAAAAATTATTTAGTAGAATTGTTTATAACAAATTATTTATAACAAATTGTTTATAACAAATAGTATATAATAAATTGTTTATAAGATATAATTAAATATTTATATATATGCATATATAAAATTGCACGAATCATTTGTTGTCAGTTTATAAAAAATTAATTTGCCAACATTGTTTATAACAAATTGTTTATAACAAATTGTTTATAAAAAATTATTAAGTATATACATATACATGTATATATGTATATCTACAAAGATAATTTGTTATTGAGTTATAAGAAATTGCTTCTCGAAATTGTTTATAACAAATTGTTTATAACAAATTGTTAAATAATTTATTTTTATATGTATATATATAGACATATACATAGATCCATTTTGTTAAACTATAAAAAATTCCTACATAAAATTATGTATAACAAATTGTTTATAACAAATTGTTTCTAACAAATTGTTTATAAAAAATTATTAAATAAATACATACACATGTATGTATCCATACGTACAAAGATCATTTGTTGTTAATTTATAAAAAATTATTTTTCAAAATTGTTTATAACAAATTGTTTATAACAAATTGTTTATAACAAATTGTTAAATAATTTATTTAGATGTATAGATATATACTCACATAAATTTATTTTATGTCAAATTATTAAAAAATCCTACACAACATTATTTATAATAAATTGTTTATAGCAAATTGTTTATAACAATAAGATGAAAAAATAGTAAAAAAATTGCCCTTTACAATGGTACTTTTTTCAAATCTCTACGATTATTAGTTCCAGAGATATGACAATATTAATAATTATATTTACGATGACCCACTGACCTACATAATTTCTTGGAATGCGTACTAATCTACGTAAATTCATTGAAGATTAACAGCTGTAGTAATTCTTATAATAGTACTATTAGTAGTACTACTGTAGTACTACTGTAGTACTATCGTAGTACTACGCACATATGTTATGAATAATGAATGAAATCTTTCGAAGGCGATATCTCCGCAACGAAAAGTCGTAGAGACTTGAAACAAGTACCATTTTAACGGGAAAAATGCTGTCTTTTTATCTATGCATTTGGATTATATCATTATCAATATTTCACAGACTCATATCTCGTTAGTCCATGCATTTTACTATTTGTCAATTAATAGAAAATCGCTCTCCTTTTATTTTCCCCTTTTTATACGATTAAAACGTTTCGTCACGTCCACAGAGACGAACGATTTTTGCAGATTTTCCGTACAAGTTGAAAAAGTGCTGCGTGAAGTATGCTTACTGGAATTGGTAGCATCCACATTGATCATATGCTTGCTCGAGTATTACTGTATGACGGTAAACATCAAAAGGGCGACAGTACCGATATTAAAGATATATTTAAAGAGCTTGTGCTTTTAGGAATGGGAAAATAACGATCCGATTGCAACTTTGACGTACTTCATCTTGTTAATTTCTTTCACTTTTAATATATTTATATTTTGCTATATCGGTGAATTGTTAGTTGATCAGGTTCGTTTTTTCTTTATCGTTTGTTACTAACAATTAAAGGTTAAATGATCTGCCGAAAATTCTTCATATCGAACTATGCTTGTAAATTTTATAATAGTGCAAAAAAGTCGGAGCTGCATCATATAACGTCGAGTGGTATTATCTACCAAAAAATATTGGCCTCGGCCTAATCTTATTGATAGCAATCTCGAATTATCCACCAAAGATTACTGCTGGAAAATTATTTGAGTTATCTCTTTTTACATTTGGTAGCGTAAGTAACATTTAAATGTTATTTCTTTTAACGAAAAAATAACTAAATATTGTATCAATCTATCAACTTTAGGTGCTTAAGACGTCCCTCATTTATCTTAACTTAATTCGGACGATTACAGATTAAATTGAAGATATCGAACAATCAAATTAGTTTTTCTCATAAGTATATGTAATTAATTAAATTTGCATTTATTTTACGATAAATAACAGATGAAATTTATTAAGAATATAAAACTGTTGCGTAATACGAAACAGGTAAATTTACTTTTTGGAATATAACTTTTACAATACAGACATCGAGTTAAATGAATGTAATTAATTAAAATTATCCAATTGTACTGTTATTTATAATAAATTTCAATGTATAATTTAATCAATAATTTAGCATTGAAATTCTCACCATTGAAAGGCGGTTCTTTTATTCTCTGACTGTGTAGTATCATTAATAATGAAAGATCTGGTTAGTCCATTCGTTGAATCGTCTTAAGACTCCGCCCTCGTGCGCCGTACGGTTGCGCGTAAAGTTGACACGTTTCTGCTCCGACAAAATGGTAATCTAAGAATATTTTTTCTTCATAGACATCTGTTAACTATCGATCGATAATCGAAATATCTAAAATATATATTTTATATACCTAAATTAGTTATAATAAATGATACAAATGAAACGAAATGTAATGAAGAAATTTAAGGACGAAATTAATCGAATATTAATATTAATCGAAAGTATAAGAAAATGAATAATAATAATCCTGAGAGAGTTTAAAATGAAATAATAATATATTAAATTAGAGCTTTATTAATTGTGAGTAATTGTAATTTGACATACCTATTTAGGTATTATATTTATTATCGTTATTGATGTATAGTAAAAATATCTCGTAAAAACGGAGGTTCCACGCATAGCTATTCATTAAGAAACTCATTGAAAAATCGTATCCGATATCTATGAGATTAAAGATTGGTCTAGTGATTATTTGAAAGACAAAGGATACGTAGCGCATATAGGCGCAAGCGCAGAAAATAACGAAAGAATAATCAATCGTTCGATGTTTACCTGTATCAGTCTAAGATCAATCCGAAATTAGTTTAGCGCAGAACTTCCTGCCACGAGGATGCATCATTCGTCAGATTTTTTCAATTCCGTAGACTCTCTGAAACGTCGTGAGAAAGATATCGAATATGCAATCAAATATAGTCGTTTCGTACTTAGATCGATCGGTATTTGGCCGGATAGAGAAAATAAAATACGCCAATATCTTTCAAATCTCGCAATCTTGACGGGTAATCTTATATTAAGCTTCGCAATAATACCTTGCGCTCTGCATATAGTTTACGAGGAAAAAGATACAAATTCGAAGCTAAAACTTTTCGGTCTTCTAAGTTTTTGTATCTGTGTGATGATCAAATATTTCGCTCTTTCTATACGTCGATCAAACATCGTTCGATGCATCGAATGGTTGAAAACTGATTGGTATCAGGTTAGCGTATCGATTATTTTAATTAATTTATTCATACAATATTTTCAAAAATATCTCTTTAAATGAAATATGTTAGACATGATGACGAAAAGTGTGATAAACCGTGTTATTTTCTGTTTAAGAAATTTTGTACATTTTTTTTTTTTTTTTTAATCATCAAACAATTCCACGAAACTATTTAATATTAAACATTATTATTATGTGATAATTAATATTCAAATACATATAGCGTTGCAGTTTATAATTTGGATAAAATTTAAAACAAACAAATAACAATCTATCAAATAGAGATAACACTTGATCATTTTACAAGTTAGGAAATTCAACGACGTTGCAATAGGTAAAGCATCAATCACACCGCAAACTAATGCTAAAGTATGCAAAGACCGGAAGAAATCTTACCATGATGTGTGCAATGTTCATGTACACAGGCGGTATGATTTATCACACGATCTTACCTTTTTCTGGTCCACGTATTATGGATGTATCGAATCGTACATTGAAACCGTTGGTTTATCCGAGCTACAGTGTCCTTTACGACGTACAGAAGAGTCCCATTTATGAATTCGTTTATCTCACTCATTGTTTGTGCGGATACGTGATATATTCCGTAACGACCGGTGCTTGTAGCCTAGCAGCAATCTTCGCGATGCATATTTGCGGACAAATCGAAATTATAGCGTCGTTGATAGATGATCTTGTTGACGGACAAAAATACAATGATACAAGAACTTGTGCCGGTCAACGATTAGCTACCATTGTGAAACATCATTTATATGTAATACGGTAATAATTTCGATTCATTTTTCTGATAAAAAATTAAAAATAAAAAATATCCATACGCGACGCTTTACAGATTTGTCACTGCTTTAGAAGATCTCCTGCAAGAAGTTTGTTTGATAGAATTCACGGGTTCAACTTTCCTGATATGCTTACTCGAATATTATTGCATCACGGTGCGCAAGTAAACATAAAATAAATTAATCAAAGAATACGATTAATCTATGATATAGCTTATTTACTTACTATTATCTAATATAAATATCTATTCTAATCTTGAAATTTATACTCACGTAAATCACATAGTTCACGTAGAAAATAGGACACAAGTAGTCACAATATAAATATTTTAATTAAAATTTATTCTTCGTCATTTTTACGCAGGATTGGGAAGAAAATAATAGGATTGGTGTATTTACATATAGCATATTACTGACTTCTATGACTTTTAATATGTTTATATTATGCTATATTGGAGAATCTTTAACAAACAAGGTAAATTGATGATCAATGTAAATATATATTTCGTATCCTATTAATATTTCAACTTTCTCCCACTCTCTCTCTCTCCCTCTTGATGTTTACATTTAATAAAAGACAAATAAAGTTGGTGAACGATGTTGTACGATCGAATGGTATCGTTTACCATCGAAAGTAGCAGCAGGATTGATCTTAATCATCGCTGTATCGAATAATTCAGTTAAAATCACTGCTGGAAAAATGGTCGACTTGTCTTTGCTTACCTTCAGCAACGTAAGAATTTTATAATTAATTGTGAAATTATATTGAATTAAACCCTTTAATTAAGCGCCATCGTCTTTGCAGTTATTGAAAACATCGATAGCATATTTGAATTTCTTACGAAAGTTAGTTATATAAATTAATATTTACTATATATGTACATGCTTAAAATTAGAAAATAAATTATAATTGATAAATGAATCTTAGAATTTTTTGTTTGTTTATTTAATTAGAAATTTATCATCTTCGAAATATAAATGTTCCAATTTTTTTTATTACTTACAAGCACTTATATGATATTAATTTCTTTTTTACAATTACTTTGAAGTTTCGAAATAGATATTAATACAAAAAGCTATCGAAATTTATATGGAAATATAATTAATTAAATTATAATTACTTGAAGAAGTCGCAAATAGAAGAAGACGTTCTAAGAGAGCTGTTGATCGTATCGCCTTCCACTACGTAATGAGACAATAACTGAGTAATAGGCATTCAGAGATTAAGAATGTATTTACATGAGTTCGATTTAAGGTCAAACGCGCGATCATCTCTTGTTTTGTTTTTACTTGTGCTCTCATATCTCTTCGAAGATTTATTTACGTAGATATGGTTTTATTTCGAAATTCGAGAATTCACACGAGAGGAAATTTGTTTACCTTATGGACCAATCAGTAATCGTGTTTGAACCGTAAGTATTCTCTCATTGGAGCGTTAGAAGGTTTCGAGATATCGATATAAATCTCGAAAAAATTGGCAAAGTGTATGAATCATCGAAAGAGAAAAAATGTAGGAAGTGCGTAACTTTTTTAAATTCGAGTGCAATTTTTATGCGAATAATTATGATAGAATATAGTAATGCAGAATATGCATTTCTCTTTATATTATGTGCGTGATCTCTGTTTGTATTACGAAGTCTTTGTTTTATGAAGCAACATAACAATCAAAGTCGAGATCATAACCTAATTACATTTTATGTTGTATACGAATGTATGGATCCTTTGTATTACTTGTTTTATGTTGTCATTCGACGACAGCAATCCTCTCTAATTTTGATCTTCATCAGTAAGTAAGTATTTAATAAATAAATTAATAAAAAGTATAAAACCATATCTTTTTTATGTTTCTATTGTTATAGGTAATATATACTTTGCAAGATCGTATTGTACTTCTTTGTTAGAAAATATAATCCTAAAATGTCAGAAAGACAAACAGTTGGAGGTATTCCGGTTGAATGCTTGACAGGAGAATTGGGTGCTATATGGTCAGGTTGGCGTATATTAGGTGATCGAGAAGTTGTAAGAGAAGCATCGGCTAAAGGTACTCATATAAATTTAGCCTATAAATATCTGGCATTTAGAAAGAATTATAGCTTGGACAAAGCAAAAAGTTATTTCAATGAAGAAGTTGAACTTTGGATTCGAGAATTAATAAACAAGTGTCAAGTTTATAGAGCTTCTCATATTTTAAAAAATATGGTATGTTAAAATTGTTTAAATAGCTTCCATTCTAATTTCATCTAATCTCATTATATAGTTTGATATAACCTATTATGATTATTTTAGGGAAAAGATCCGACCAAGTATATATCTGAAGTTTGTATTAAATCTAAGGAACCTGTATTGAGAGATTACTTAGCAAATTATATGATAAGCAGTAATGGTTTTGATGATATGCAAAAGGAAGCATGGGCTATTATACAGAGTATTTTACAGTATGAAAAAAGATGCATGTAAGTTCCTGCATGGATTATCAGATTAAATATATTAATCTACATTCGTTTGAAAATCACATTAATTTCTCATAGGCTTGAAAATCTATTCGGTAGTACAATATGTATAGAGGACATGATAAATTTACCTGAAAATATTAAGCAGGCATTATGTACAGAATTATATATTCAATTATTTGAACCAAAATTGTTAAGAAACATGACAAATAGTGTTGTCTGGGACTGTTTGTTATTATATAATAAGATTGATACAATTAAATATTGGATTGATAAAAGGTATAATGTTAATGTAATAACAGAAGGGACATATGAAATTGATGAAAATTTAAAAGACCTCATTGATAATCTTACCATTACTCCTGAAATGATAGAACAGATAGATCTTTCAGATGCTAATAATCTTATAAAAGATCTGACAAAGAATCATTTATGCAAGTATGTATAAGTAATTATATTAAATTTTAGATTGATTTTATGAAAATTAAAACTAATACAATAAAATCTATGTAATCTTTTAGGTATGGAATATTTACCAAAACTGAACAAGATAATCTGAAATTAATGCTAGCAAGGATATTTAGTAGTCAACTCACATTACAAGATTTTGAAGAAATATTAACTTATGAAAGTTGCAATATTAATAAAATTGAATTTTTAAATAACATTAATATAAATTATTATCTCATGCAACAAAATTATACCATAGAGACTACATCAAAAGTAAAGAACTTATATAATATTCTAAATAGAATGAGCGATCCACAATGTGATATTTTAGATACAATAACTGATGCAATAGTTCAGAATATTCATTATATTTCTGATAATCTTACCGACTTTTTAAAAGAAAATTATTTAATTTCTTTTGCATTAGTTTTTTTACAATATTGCAAGATAAATACTATATCAGATTCTATAAATAAAAATATAGAACTTACACGTGACAATTTCATAAATATGTTAAACAATAAATGCGGATTAGAAATTGGTGCTAATACTATGCCATACGAAATTCTTTGCAATATACTAGAACATATACCGATCGTACGACATATTATCCAAAATCGATCAAAGGAAAATGATATTACAATGTATGAACTGTTAGATGGATGTCAAAAATTTACTGCAAGGTCATTCTTTAAATGGAGATATAATAATGGACCAATACCACATTTCTCAAATGAAAGTTTAGCTAAGAAATATGGATATAAGGAAACATTAACGTATGCTTATTATTTAAAAGAAGGAAGACCCAATATGGCTTTATATACGCTTAAACATCCACAAGGCAAATCTCTTGGAACTATCTCTTCTAGAATGTAAGTTAAAATTTTTTTTTAATTTGTATTTAATCTGAAAATAACTTATGCTTTTGTATTTCAGGAAGTGTAAAGCAGCTTTTTATGCCCATAATTTTGCTTTAAAAAATTTACATCATTCTGAGATAGTCTGTAGCTGCATTTCGTTTCTTGAAATGTTAGGAATCAGTTCTGAAATTTTGAGATTACACATTAGTGCTGCAGATTATGTTAAGAAAACTCTTAATATTTCTATTGGTAATATTAATTTTTCATATACGTGTAATTATTAGAAGAAATTTATATCTAAAATAATTTTGATCTTTCAGAACATCTACTCGAATCTATTATGTTTAAAAATCAAAATAATTTGCAAACTATAATGTTATATTTGGAAAATAGTTTTCAATCGTATCTAAATGATAATGTAATCAATGAAGTGACTATGTTTTTTGATGCATTGAGAACTTGGGAATTTATAGTACAATTTGCAAGGACTCATGATTTCTTTTTACCTGATACTCTTTTAAAATATTTAGCCCAAAAAGATTTGTGGTTTGAGTTTATATTAGTGGGACATGTTTTTGCTTATCCTACATCACAAGTATGTATTTCAAATTTTTTTAAATACAATAAAGAAGTTATTATGAAAATCACTAATCTTAACTCTGTTATAGATTTTAACACTTGCAAAAGAATTTCAAAATATAAATATACGTGAACATTTGTTAACTTGTTTGAATACAGAATCTACAAATGTTGTTTTGTTACATTCCAAGCATGAGACAAAATTGAAGTCGAGAGATGCAAGGCAATCTTTATATTGTAAGATTGGATTAAAGCAAAATGTATGAATTAATATTATATTTGCCATAAGTTAAAATAATATTCTATTCAATCTATAATTTACACTTTTTGTAGGAACTATCCTTATCTTCTAGTACATCATCTTCATTAACAGATAGTAGCTACAATACATATTCAATCGTATCTGAAAGGGTTTCATTTGGTGATAATATATTTTCTTCGGATGATGATTTGTGGATGACATTTTTAAAGTGTCATAATAGTCAGGATCCACCTGGTGCATTATTACATGTATCTCATATTACTTTAAGACCTATATTAATTATTTTGGCAACTTGTTATGAGGTATTGTAAAATCTATTACAATGTTATACTTTATACAAATTTACTAATTATATTTCTTTTAGCCATCATTAACTGCTGCATATTGCTATTCCTGGATGGTAATATCTACAGCAAATAAAAGTATTCTTTCTGATTATGCAGAGTGTCTAGATCAGATAATGTGGCCAGCTAACAAAGTATTAGAATTGATACCAAGATTAGTATCTTCTGGATATGTCTATACGTTAAGCAGAGCATTCAAAATTTTCATGCCTGTAAGCTTGCATTTATAATAATGATAAATTATTCCTTAATATCACGATTATATTATTGTTGAATATTGCAGGACAGCATATTAAATCCATTTTTCGAATTCCTTTTACGGTGTACAAATTATGGAGAGTTCAAGGAATGCCAACAATATTTGAAGGACTTTAAAATACAATCCTCAACACTTATATTTAGTGTATGTTAATAATATTATGATATTAAATTGAAATGTCTACAGTGTGAATAATTAATAAGATTTTATCTTTTTAGAAAATTGTTAATTGGGAATCGGTTGATGACACATACTTGAAGAATTTTTATTGGGTTGCATTGTTAGTTATAAAATGTATTGTAGTAGCACTTGCTCATAATTTTCGAAGTACGCAGTTACAGATACATTTTTTGAGCTCTCTATCAAAGTGCAATTTTCATTGTGAATTTCCAGGTAATAAGAAGTAATAATTTATAATAGCGCAAAAAATAATATCCACAGATTAAGATAATTTTGTTTTCAGCTGACATACCCAATTTTCAAAAGCTTTTAAACATTACAAAGGTTTTATTAAAAACTGAGGTTACAATGAATTTTGCAGCCTTCACTGTGACGAACAATGTATATTGTTATGACCAAGAA